CTGAGCCTACTGAGCCTACTGAGCCTACTGAGCCTACTGAGCCTACCAATACAACCGATACAATTGATACATCTCATGAAGCTGAGACAGCTCACGAGTCAACGGAAGCTGCTGAGCCTGCAGACTCTTCCAAAATTGTGGACGAGTCGGTTGACGTAAGTGATGAACCTGTTAATGCTAGTGAAACTGCTGAAGCCACCGTATCTGAATCGGTAGATACTACAACTGAGCCAAGCGAAGACACACAGGTCGGAGATGATAAGCCTACAGAGGAAGAAACACAAGATGATAAATTTGACGATGTTGATATCAACTCTAACGCCAACGAGGAAGAAGAACAAGATGATCAAGCTGATAAAGCAGATGAAGGACAAGTACAAACCAATGTGACCAAACCAACAACAGGCTCGAATAATTCAAAAAAGAAGAACAAGAATAAGAGGAAGGGTAAGAAATGATCTTCCTGTACTGTATAACTACAAACATATATCTACAATTCAAAATCGTAAATCACTCTATGTCCTGCATTGAAAAAAAAGTGCTAATGATTGTTCTACTATCCAAACAAATTGACATTAAATTACGTTCCATTGTGGTTGTCTGCATGTATTCATTATTCTCCAAAGAGTCTTCTTACCCTTCTGAGCACGGAATCCTTTTCAGGGTCATATGGGTGTTCCTTTGAAGGTATCTCCAAAATTGCTGGGAAGGCATTGGTGAAATTATCTACCCTAAATCTGATTCTCTCGGCAATATGTTGGTTGATCAAGAGAATTGCAATGTCATCTCTTTTGTCAACATAATCGTCAAATGCCTTATCAATCTGTTCATCTGTAGTTTTCCCTTCAACAACGTAAAAGTTCTTCTCCGAAGAAGAATCGTCAACTTGGCCAATTCCAGCAAGAAGCATACCCGTGATTGTGTCTTCATCACCAATCACTGCAATGAGCGTTCTGTTCTTTATAGAGTCTGCCATCTTAAATGTAACCTTGCTCTTTCTTCCTCCTTGTTAATAGAGACCCTACCACCGTTGTTTGGGAAAGAGTGCTCCTGGTTAAATTTGGCTGCTCGTATGCAGACTCCCGCAACTGAGAAGGACAGATATAACGTAGGGTAACACTTCCAACGTATGGTTGAGAAAAAAAAAGAACGAAGACAGAGGGAGAAGAACACGCATAGAAATTTCAGCTGATGAACATGTGCAAGAGAAGAGCACGGTGTTCGATTTGTGACCATACCCAATGCTTCTAAGATCCTTTAACAGACAATCGGTCAGAGTCTTCTCCACTACCCCTTGTTCTCTTGCAGGACATTCGAAATGGGCAAACATCAAGCACGACAAGGCTAGAAACGATGCACAGAAGAACAAGATCGCCAACAAGTTTGCGAATGCCATCGCAGTCGCTGCGAAGCGTAAGTGTTTGGTGAATTTTTGTATTTGATTTCCCCGTATATCATCAATACGTGTGCTAACATGAGAGACAGTTGGTGGTCCTGATCCTTCAAAGAACGTTAGGCTCTCTGCAGCAGTGGAGGCTGCGTCAAAGGCCAACGTTGTGAAGAAAGTGATTGAAAACGCCATAAGAAGAGGTGCCGGTCTTGGTTCCGACGCTGCGAAGGAAAACGTTGAAACCGCTGTTTATGAAGGTGTTGGTCCAGGCAATGTGTCGTTTGTCGTTGAGGCACTGACCGATAACAAGAAGAGGACATTTAGCGACGTTAGAGCGGCGTTCTCCAAATACGGTGGAAACCTATCTCCAACGCTGTTCCAGTTCGATAGAAAGGGTTACATCGTTATCGATCCGAAGGAGGATGACTTCGACACCGTCTTTGAGAAGATTGTCGATCTCGGAGCTGATGACATTGAAGAGGTCGAAGGTGAGGATCGGATGAACTTTGAAGTCATCACAGAAGCCGGCGACACTGGAAGAATCGCATCTGAGTTGAAGAAGGACTACACAATCAAAGAAGTGGGCATTGCGTACCTCCCAAAGGACGATGCCATTGTTGAAATCGCTGATGAACTTGTCAAGGAAAAGTACGACAAGTTTGTCCAAATGCTTGACGACCTTGAAGACGTTACAGACTACTACACAACGCTACAAGAGTAAACATAAGCACTCTTGCATCATGTACATATATCAAGACAAAACCGACAAATTTATGGGCATCATATACCAATGTACATAGCTCTAGGACATTAAACCACTACATCACTATATCTTTCACCAATATCAATGTTTATTCCGTGGATCAAATATCAACAAGGGGAAAAAGAAAGAAAAAAATAAATAACCATATAAATGCTAAAAAATTTAATAAAGGGTCTGTCACAACGATTCCCCTTTCATGTTCAACCCCCCTCGTCTCCATAGTCGTTCCCACTTTATCAATCTGGTCAACCCATAAACGTTGAGCACAAAATAAAAACACCGATATAAACCCTCGTGAATATGAAGTTGATTGTAATAAAACTGTTGCAAAATGACAACTAAGCCAATGAAGATACTAGAGATATCAACAAAAGAGTGAATACATCACAACCAGGTGTACTGTCTCTCAATCCTCCGCCGCTATCGTTTCTTCTATTATGAAAAAAAGAACCTCTGATCCTTTTACTCAGACTTTTCAGCAACTGGCTCAGCGACTGGAGCTGGAGCCTCAACAGCTGGAGCTGGAGCCTCAGCAGCTGGCTCAGACTTAAGCAACTCAGAAGTAGCAGCAGATTGGGCTGGGTTTCTGGCCAATCTCAAGGATTTGTCGTGAGCAAACTTCTTGTAGGTGAAGAAAGTAGCAGAGGAGACAGCGACACCCATAACCACAAACAATGGGGTCAATTCAAGTGGAATGGCAACACCAGACTTCTTGGCAGCGTTGAACAAGTATTGGGAAGGTCTCATCTTTTTCTTTGGATTGCTTTATTTAGAGATTAAAACTGAAAGAATAGTATCGTTCGAAGTGTGTTGTGTATGATTAGTTTTACTGTGACGATTTTTTTTCCTTCACTTTCCCTCCTCCCCCCATCGAATCACCTTACGATTTTTGGCGCGACATTGAACAGCGAAAGTGGGAAGAAAACCACAAAAAGCAGTGGTTGGAGCTAACTAAAAATCGCGAAATTGAAGTTATTTACAAAACTTTTGGTTGGCTACAAGGGTTGACTTCCCAAACAGGAAGTTTTGTAGGATATGTGCCAGTATGGGTGATATTTACAGTAGGGTAACCTTTTTTTCTACCTGGGTAGGATCTCTATAGCTTCACCATCCAGTCTTTGATAACATCATAGGTCAGCCATGACACAGCCATTGAGGGCACCACTTTGAACAGATTCGCTACCAGGCCTTTGTATAGCCCTGCAAATCCTTCGGTCTTGACAATTGTCTCAAGGGCGTTCCACACAGATGTGTACTTGAATCCCAATTCGCTCTCGTGACCACCCATGGTTAACACTTGAAATCTTCTTCGTAAAAGGTCAAACGGGTATGTCAAGGTTTGAGCAATACCACCAGCAGTGGCACCTAGCAGCAACTTGATGAGAGGGTTGGAGTCTTCAGGAACGAATTCTTTTAACTGTTCGTAAACAGCAAAATTTATAGCCACATAAGGTGCGACACCCAGAGTCGTTGGATAGACACCTCTGTACAAGCCTAATATTCCACCTTCTGTTTTATAAATCTTCCCCAAGAGTTCCATTACACCAGGTGGTTTTTGACCAGCGTGTACCTTGGATTCTGATAATTTGGCCAAATTTGCCGTTTGAATACTTAACCTCGTTCTTACCAGATCGAGTGGGTAAGTTGCAAAGACACTTGCAATTCCACCAATGAATCCTGCAAACAGTCTTTGAAAGTTGTTCAAATCAATTTCTCCAGGCTTCAAGAGCATGAACTTTATCCTCTGATAAACAAAGAACTGTACTGCAGAGTAGGGGAAGATTCGAACACAGTTTAATCCATTCCCGCGGAACAAACCTTTTACACCTTCTTCTTTGTACATCTTTGCAATTGTTGGGAACATTCCCTGATAATTGGCCTTTCCTGGTCCTTGCAATTGAAACAGAATCTTTGCCCTTTCAACAGGCGCAATAACAGTTCTCGACACGATGCCTCGCCGCTCCCCCTGCCAATAAGGAAGCTGTAGAGTCTTGTCTGAGCATCGATCTAAATGCATCCGCTGTGGTGGAATAGTCAGCCATTGTTTCTTTCTTCTAACTGCTATCTAATGAAGACAATTGAACTGAAACTTGAAGAATATAGACTGGGCTCTCTTCTTCGTTTACTGGATCTGAAATCACTGGTTAACGTCCCCGTCTTGTGATCATCTTTTCCACTAAAGTTGTTGGAATGTTTACTCTTTTTTTCAGCCTGAACAACCCTCGGGGAAGGGAAAAACCCCCAGTGTTGGAAGAATTCGCGATGTTGGTTTTTAACGTGGGGGACGCTGTAAGTAAAGACAAACCTCACTTTCCCTTAAGCGTTTGAGTCAGATGGAGTGATCTGGGTATTTGTTCTTAGGAGGAATAAAACACAACAAATCATGGCTCTTTATTCTTGCTTTGGTTTCCTGGTTTTGTTTTTTTCGTTCCTCAAAGCGCTTTTCAGGGGTTTGATCAGCGGTATTATTCAAAGCCCTTGCGGTATGTAAGTACGCTAAGTGTTCAGGGAGGTTCTTAAATTTTTGACAGAGCTGTTATACACAACACATCGGCCTTTGGACACTATGGTGCCTATCATCGTGGAATATAAGGTGATGATTCGCTTGTTTTAGGTATACGAATACGTGGTGCAATTCCTAATCGCACTGTCATTTGTTTCTTATCTCTCAGTTCAAGTGGAAAATCAAAGAAGAAGAGCAGAACACTTGGCTTGCTTGAGTCACCATGACTCAATTCTCTTAACTCCACGATGTAGGTGTTGCACAGCGCTGCGAATCGCAAATCATCGTGCCTTTCAATCTCGGATTTCACAGTGGCAGGGGGGCCAGATTCGATTTGAAGAGATCCCCTGTGTGTTTACTGTGTGTATGTGTGACGTAAACACCCTCACGCGAAGGTCCGGGGTAGACAGCTCCTTTTCGGTTCAGCACAACAGAGAAGTATCAGTATCAACGGCTGACGGAGCTTTACCAACAAACGCTGAAAAATCATATGCCACATACAGCTCGTATAACTAGTATGGGGTGATTGGAACCACTCAAGTCAACCCAACCTACACTCCCCTAATGCTGCGCACAGTGCAACGACTGTCCCAACAGGTCTACACACGCCACATGCTCCAAAGCGTACCGGAACTTTTAGTGAGTCGACTCGAGCCAAATAGAAAGATAAAATAGAGTTAATCGAAAGACCCGTGGCGTGTTTCAGAGTTTGTAGCGTCTGTACACTACAAAACACCACATAGGGGTATCCTCATGGGCTACAGGAACCAACGTCCTTAGTGTTGATTGGCTTGTTTTTCCAGAGGGCTGGGTGTGTTGTGAGTTTTCTTGCCTTTTCTTTTTCGTAGTATAGATTTACTTCCGTTGCAATTATAACGTCATGAAACGTTGAGATGGAAACAGCCCGTATCACCGTGAGTGAGTAGTGCGAATAATTCATCGCTGTCCTTGGTTTAACCCATATTCCACCTTGTGAACACCCCGCCTTACACAGGGGATTTGGCCAATTCACATTCAACGCTGTGAACTGTTTGGTTCTTTAATTCCAATTGGCTTTGAAGAACATGCTCACCTTAGCTCGGGTCTCTCTTTCCCTCCTTTTTTGTGTCATAATTCGCTTTTGCCGAATGGTTCCAGTTCGTTTTGTTCAGAAGCAATGAAACTTCCAAATTTCCCGGCCCGGAGCAACGGTTGGTGACTCAAGGATTAATTTTTTGTCTTGTTTTTTGTGTGTGTGTTTGCTTAGCCTTCTTGACTATGCAAGAATCTGGGGCAAATGACGTACTTCTCCGGGGGTCCCAACCGCACACAGACAAAATCTTACCAATTCCTCCATGCAACAACCGATGGACAACCGGGGCGGTCTTAAGGACATGACAAATTAACGTGGTTGTCAAAATTTTGAAAAGCACCTGTGTAAATCGTACGCACGATAGGGAATGGCGTAGGGGTCGCATATATAAGAAGGCCCTCATACCCCAGGTTTCCACGTCCCTCCATTGTAGAGTTTTATAATCATCAATCTACGAGATCCATATTCATTTAACATTCAAACACATATATTCAGCACAATGAACGCCAGACACGTCCTCAAGCTTAAGAATGTTGCAACTGCTGCCCGTATCAGACTCCCAAACTCCAGAACTTTGGCTATGTACAACACACAATCACAGTTCAGATTGGTGAACAAGGATGTTCCAAAGGAACAACAACAACAGAAACAAACCTCTGGTTCTTCAAAGAAGACCACCTCTGAGAGACCAACCATCTACTCTGAGGGTGAGGTTGAGACCGCTGGCCCACACATCAGATTGTAATTTTTATACGGTCGGTTGAAAGTCTCTGGTAGACTTGGCTTTATGTTCTTTTATGGCTCTTATACATAGCTTGAGAGAATCTTTGAATGGTTTCTTCTTTGGTTTTATAGTTTATTACAAAGGTTTTTTATAGTTTATTACAAAGGTTTTTTGGCGGGATTTTCAAAAGTTTTACGAATTGTAGATTGGCCTGTAAAATTACAAGAATGTTTATAGAACGTAATCGTATCTCACATCACCAACAACACCACCGTTCATGCTGGATCTCACCTGTCTCGCAAATAATCCCTTGTCCTTCATGAGGACACTAGCACTCTGCTTATTCAAAGGATCTGTAGGGTTTGGCTCGAGGAATAGGAACAGCAGTCCCACTAGTATCGAGTTCAAGTTGAGAACCGGCGACCAGTCCTCTCGAAGGATGTTGAGACAGATGTTACCTTCAAGGTCAATGTTTGGGTGGAAGATTCTTTGTAGACACTTCACTTTTGGCGCCTCTATAGGGAAATTCTGTCCTATTTGTATGCTGAATTTGAATCTACCGTGTTGATAAAACCCCTCGTCAGGTGATATGACAACCTCCAAGTTCATATTTGTATCATCCACACATTTCAGCTGAATGGTCTTTGGTAGTTGAATCTCTGCTAGGTCTTTTTGAATGCGAAGCTGTGCTGGTGTTATCTTTGTTGTTGAGCTGGTCTGGCCCTCCATTTGCTCTTTCTTCTTTTGTTGCATCTGTCTTAGTTTTAGCTAAAAAGGCGTTAGACTATCTCTATTGTTCATCTGACACTGGTTACTCACCATCTTGGCTTTGTTACTGTGCGATATGTGTATTCTGATTTGTTCGATTTTGATCAAAAGACAGGAAAGTGTGCTGAAGATGGTAAATAAATAACACCAGGGAGCGGGCGCTGAGTATTTCGCGAAGATTTCCTGATTGGAAACTACTAGTGCGTCAACCATTGGTGTGTACGAGCTTGAAGGTACTCGATCTGCCACTGAAGAAAGTACGCAGTTGCAACTGACTGGACAAAAATGAGTATTGGTTACTTAATGATGTCTTTCTCTCATAGTCAATACATGCAATTGGATATTTGCCTAGACTGCGAAATATTCAGCACGATCGCTACTACTTGTGTCAGTGTCAAGTTTACCGTAGCATGTTGAACAATCACTCATCTCAACGCCACCGAGTCACATAGGTATGAGGTGTGGTCTGGATATTCGAAATCATCATGAAGATTAATTAATGAGCTGGCTTCCATAAGATACTTCGTGTAATCATGGCAGGACTTATTCGATAACATTACGACCACCATTCAGGTGAGAACACTGGGCCCGGGAAAAATCGACCAAAAATTGGCCATTTTTCTTCCGCGAAAAAAATGGGCAATGGCTTATATAATCAGGTGGTTGGAACACGTAATGTCGGCAAAGTTGGACTCAAACCGACATGGGACTAGAGTTGGATAGTGCTCCAACCAAATTCGGGATTATGATTGATTACATAATAAATTCGGAATTAGTTATAATTACATAATAATTAAATTTTTGATATTTTTATTGTTTTAATTTTCGTTTTATGAAATTGGCAAAAATTCCAAATTTGGAATGCAATGCATGCAGTAAAATGCGGAAATTATTTTTTGCAAAAATAGCAAAAATAAAATCCAAATATAGAAAACCCTCAGCAAACTTGAAATGGAAAGAAACCCCGAAATGGAAAGAAAGCCTGAAATGAAATGAAAGCCTGAAATGGAAAGAAAGCTCGAAATGAAATGAAAGTCTGAAATGAAAAGGATAAACTTACCAGAAACTTACCAGAAACCAACCAATGTCACGTTACCAACGAAATAAAACAAAATGGATCATGATAATAGGCCAATTCGAGAGAAAGAACAACAAGGGATATCAGACTAGTGCAATGGCTATTATGTAAAGGCACCCAGCAACCACCTGTTGTCATCTGTATAAGTGTGTTAGTAGTGTTCATCTTCCAATTCCCCCATCCCTTATCCTCAATTCAACATACCTAGTAACTCGTTTGATCAGTGGCTTTTCTGCTTTCCCCAGCCCAACCATTGCCTTCTATTTTCGTTAGTAGTAAAGGTGACTCTTCGTGGTAAGAACAGGTGTTCTTTGAATCGAATGTACTGGTTGAATACATACAACCAAGCACTATAGGAGGGTAGCATCAACCATGCCTAATTGTTTCAAGCCAAAGCTCCTTGAAGTAAACTTGTTTCCATGGAGTGCTTGGAAGGAAGGGAGGGAAAACATTTTTGAAAGATTGGGAGCTACTTTTATACCCTTTGGCCACGGAGGACAGGTGGGTATGGCAACTTAGGTGGTTATGGCAACTAAGGTGGGTATGTCGACTTAGGTAGCATCGTCCAATCAATTGTTTACTTGCTTCAATGTTTACCTGTTTACGAAGGTTTGTTTACAAATTGTACATTTTAGGAACCTGTTTTAGGCCATCTATGCGCCTTTTTAGGACATTCCGTCGATCCATGCAGCAAGGCGTTCCCAATTGGGTTGTCTGAAAGCTAGAACATCATAGCGAATCACCGTACCGAAGCCGCTACAGATCAACTTGTTAAACGTGATATCCTAGACCGTCTTATAGCTTTGAATCTATCAGTGATAGTTCAGAATCATTGAAGAACTTGATGGGCTTTAATTTAGCTCCTTAGCTGGGTGCTTTTATTGCTTGTTTTGAGCATTTTACAACACAAATAGCTCTTTAACTTTTCTGATGTATAATGGACGTGTTTTTCTTAAGTAAATATTCAAATCTCGCCAAACAAAATTCTTAAAAAATAAAACCAAATCTAACTTTAGTATACTATAGACCATGAGTTTAGTGTTTAATGCATTAACTGTGTCAGTCTATTGTTACAATGTCTTCTTTTAAGAGGAACAAGTAGACTATTATTTGTTGAGTGAGAGATTCCTCAGCTGCCCCTGCCACTTAGTTTTTCGCAAAACTGTACTTTACAGTGTGTATACACTACTGTGCACCCCCTATTTACGTAGCGACAGAGACTTCTCTTTATGTGATCAGGGATTACAAGACTGGCCCTTGCAGGAATCCAACCTCCATGGAGGATTACTGTTTCAGGGCGAGTCTAAACCAACGAATCCAAAGAGTGGCTTCATTCAAATTCAGATGTCCAACTTCAATCAAATTTGAGTTTCTGGCCCACAATGACTTATGACTAGCTAAGATATCGCTTCTTGCAGTTTATACAGTTTACAAGTCTAATGCGCTTATTGCTCAACAAACATCTCAGATTCATGTAGATATCGCTCAGGTATGGCTTTCTAGGCATAATTACATATCTTGTTGCTGTTCTTCAAAGTGTTTCCTATGTATTTACACTGGTAACTTGCCTTTAATGGAAATTAACGTCAACGTTGAGGTAACCACCGCGTGCACTTCAAGCTAACATCAGGCCCCTCATAAGTTGTGAGCCCTGAAGAAAATCTACCAAAAAGGTCTGAAAAGTCTCATATCCGGTTGCGATCCCCCCTGAATTTTCATCTTTCTGACCTTGAGTCTGCCAATTTTCACCAATTTGTCCGTGCAACTTCCGATTTTCTAGTCCCTGCCCGGTTAGTCTGCCAATTTCCACCAATTTGCCCGTGCAATTTCCAATTTTCAAGTCCCATCCCGGTCAGTCTGCCAATTTCCACCAATTTGCCCGTGTAACTTCCGATTTTCAAGTCCCAGCCCGGTTAGTGTGCAAAATTTTTACCTATTTGGCCGCGATTCTGCCATTTTCACCGACTTGACCACAAAATCCCCCCCAAACTGCGAGATTCTCAGCCTTTTCCACCCTTAACTATGGGGAGCCGGCGGATTTTCGGAGCTCTTGTTTTGTCCAATATGCGGCGAAAAAAAATTAGTATGGTGAAGCGGCCGTTTTCCCGGGCCCAGTGTATGCGGCGAAAAAAAATTAGTATGGTGAAGCGGCCGTTTTCCCGGGCCCAGTGGAATGGCAAAAAAAATGGAAATATTGAGGACCACGAGATTCGAACTCGCGCATCCGTAGATATCAGAGCCTAAATCTGACGCCTTAACCACTCGGCCAAGCCCTCATATACCATACCTGCTCAAGTCATTTTTAGATCATACACACAACAACTCTCATAAGATGAACTTGTTCAATATCATTTAAACTGGCTTAGTTTAACTTCCAATCAAGCATGCAGTATTATCAGCATGCTAGCAGTGTAATTTGACATTCTTTTCACTTGTATTTTCCATTCAATGATGCTTTACCGTTGTCATTTCACTATGAATTTGTCCTTTGCTTTGCCTGTGACGCCTGCATAACTAATCAACCCACCGCAAAGTTACGTCCGGCTTCTCATATAAAGAAGCTTCTCCATAGTGAAATTTCCCCTCTCATTAAAACCATCTTGTTCTGTATAACAAGCTAGGAAACTATGGCACATAGTAGATTACAGTCACCCAAACCATCCTCAAGACATGGTTCAAGACCACAGTCGAGACAGGCTGGTAATGAAGACGACGACGAGTTGGCGATGTACTGCATCAACTTCAACAACTTGGACCAGTTGATTGCTGATAGGTTGGAAAAATTCTCAAAGAGCAATTCAGTTGAAGACGAAGAGAAGAAGAAGAAGTACCCCTTGCACAATGTCAAGATGCTTACTGATTTGTTAATTGCACCAAAGACTCCTATCCCATCTGGCGATCGTGAGATGCTGCTTAACCAACTCTACACTTTGAACGTGAAGAATCCAACTTCGAGTCGAGACTTGTTCCCGGAGATGGTTCAACTCTTCAAAATCTCACAAGCATATGACCGTTTGATTGCCATAAGAAATGTTGCAGCCACTGCAGTGGCACACTGTGATGATTTCGCTGACGAAATCATCGAATTTCTCTCATACCTGGAGTCCAAGATCCTGTCTGAAGATCTGGAGAACCCTTTCAAAGAACAATACATCTATGCATATGCAGTTATGACACTTGCTGTTTATGAAGGTTCTGGAACTTTTGGTGTTGATGACAAGTTGCACTTCTTAACAGACACACTCCTGGGATATGGAACGGACGTTGATACAAACACCGATGTCATAAGCGCTCTGTTGTACGGTATTGGCGGTCTATTCACACTGTTGTTGAACAGCTCTGCTCTAAACGAAGAATATGAAACTCTACTGGAGTCCTCGATGGAGTATTTCCTCGATTATGATATTGACTTGCCGATCCACAGGCCAATGGCAATGCTCATTGCCCTTGCCTATGAGACCTATGACTACTCCGATGAAGATGGTGAGGCATTTGACGAACCAGCCCCTTATGACAATACTTACTTGATTGAGCAACGGTTAAAAGAGCTTGTCAGTGGTGCTAAGTCAGTAACGAAGAAAACATCAGCTATGGATTCGAGATCTGTGTTCAGAGAGGCAATGCACACCGTAGAGTACTACTCTGATAAGGCTAAGAGGCTGGAAATCATGGATAAGAGCTACCCAGATTCTTCTAGACAAGTGTTAACTCATGTCAGATTGAGTAAGTCAAGATCCATTGCAGTGAAATCGTGGGTGGCCCTGTTTAGACTTGTTCTGTTGAAGTGGGTATTTGGTGTTGGATTGCACAACCAGCTTGCCCACAGCTCTTCGTTATCGAGCATGGTTCAATATTCCCCTTCTTTCAAAATTGTTAAAGAACTTGCAAACGATGAATCAGACGTTGATGACAATGATGATATGTATCACGAAAAATCTCACGTTTCACATAAACGTAAGCAGAAGGAAATTGCCAACAGAAGAATGGAGAAGCTAACTAGTAAATTGGACCAGTCTGGTCTGAACGATGAAGATGAGCCTTAGCTACGCTGATATCTTAATTGTATAGTCCAGAAATAATTTATATTTTGAATACTAGAGATGTCCAAATTAATTAATGGATGAACAAGCACTAACCCGTAATTATTCAATCTGTTTTCTCATTAGGGTCCTTGTGTGATAGGGGAGACCAACCAGCAATGGCACCACCAACTACTGTAGGAACCATGGTGAGAGCAGAAAGAGCATGAGTGTGTTCACCAATGGTGCTTTCCTCGTCGTTTGACAGCGAATCTCCTCTCCATCTGCTATACAACGATTTTGGACTGAAAGAGGATCCCTCACGGACGTACAGAATGTCATTTTTAACATTCTTGAAAGCAGGAACTTCAGACCATTTCATTTCGTACTCATCATAATCATGAAGTGATATCCGTGATTTCTTTGAACGCTTTAAGAAACTCAATGTGATAATACTAAGGAATATGTTGAAAGCCTTTTGTGGGAAAATAGCAATGACCCATTCGTCAGGGGTTATACGGATAACAACACCCCATGGAAGGGAAAGCATTCCACAGATGATAGCAGTACCCCACATTGCACCTGTTTGTCTGGCAATGGAAAATGCAGAACCACCCACAAACATGATCAAGACCTGAATACCTGCGATGAGAGCTGAAATTCCAAGGAAATAGTAGTTTCTAAACAAATCCTGGAAGAAGTTCAGGTTGAAAGCAGTACAACGAGCTCTGACAGAACTGATTCCATCAGCTTCATCCAACTTACGGGTGACCCACAACTTGAAATATTGTAACCACACAAATGTGTTGAAAGTCATCGCATCTAATTGTTCCTTCTGGTGATCAGTCACATGTTTATCACCGAAAAAGATCTTCTCACCACCAAAATGAAGGACAAATGTAACAACAAGTTGTAAACTCGATTGACCAAGAATCATCTTCCACATAGAAACAGAGATAAGAGAACTCTTACGGCCATCTGGTTTCCTATCAAGAATTGTGTTATCAGGTTTATCAGTTGCAAGTGCCAAAGCAGCCAGGGTATCCATAATCAAATTAACCCATAAAAGCTGGACAGCAGTTAAAACAGATTTACCCTCTGATGATGCCACAGCAGACACAAATGTAAGAACAACGGCTGTAATGTTGACAGTAAGTTGGAATTGAATGAATTTCTTAATGGATGTTGAGACACAACGACCCCACTTAATTGCATCAACAATAGCAGCAAAGTCATCAGTCATAAGAATAATGTCAGATGCCTCTCTGGCAACTTCAGTACCAGAAATACCCATAGAAAAACCAACATCGGCTAATTTCAGAGCAGGGGCATCATTTGTACCATCACCAGTGACCGCAACAACATCTCCTTGTTTCTTCAAGATCTCAACGAGCACTCTCTTGTCTTCCGGAGATGATCTAGCCAACACTCTCAGTTTTGGAGCAATACGTGACTTCTCTGTAGAAGCCAGCTTTCTAAAAACCGGTCCCTCCATACATACATCGTCGTCTTCCAGATCTTGCTCATGAATTATACCACAATTCAATGCAATAGCTCTCGCAGTTATGACATTATCACCAGTAACCATACGAACAGTGACACCAGCTCTTTTACATTGTGCCACAGCTTCTTGAACACCAGGACGCAATGGATCTTTGATACCAACAATACCGTCAAAGGTGAGTCCAGTTTGAGTTGAAGGGATCGTGAGGGCCTTACCAAGAAGCAAATCAGCATCAGCCTCTGGGTTATCATCCTTTGTTAGTTCCTTCGGAGGCCAGGAAGAAAGGTTGAAATCCTTATGGGCAAGAGTTATGGTTCTCAATGCCATTTTTGCATAGTCAGTAATCTTCTGCGTAAAGTTCTCAACGTCAACTGGTTGTAAGTCAACCACCTTGCCTTCTTTATTCATTTGGGTACATCTTGCGAAAATCACTTCAGCAGCACCTTTGATGTAGAGTCTATAGTTGTCCCCTTGGTACTTACAAACTATACCACCCCATTTTCTTGATGATTCGAAGGGGATAACTTGTACAACAGACTCAATCCCCAGCAGTGATGGGTTCGTTCTCAATATATGTAAAGCTTGATCACCTTTCATATTCAAAGACTTTTCAGCTAACATTAACAATGCAGTTTCTGTTTTAGAACCGATAAACGGTTCAGGCTCAGGATTACCAAATGCATTGCTTTGTTTCGACTTTCTTGACCACCAATGCTTTGTAGGTTTAACAACGGGGTTTTGATCAACATCGGATTGCTTGTTTTCAAATGCTGTTGAGTTGAGTGCAATGTTAGTCAAAACATCTCTCTTAACAGCTTCAGGGAGATCCAATTCATCTGAACTTGCAATTGTTGAAGTAGAATTATCGTCAAACTCCTTGTTGGAAATATTACCATTGACCACTTTCATTCTGTTTTCTGTCAATGTACCAGTTTTATCTGAACACACGGCAGTTGCACCACCCATAATTTCACAAGCTCTCAACACTCTAACCAAGTTGGCATCCTTCGCCATTCTAGTTGTGGCAAAGGCCAAAGCCAGAGTGACTGCCAGAGGTAAACCTTCTGGTACTGCAACAACAATAAGAGTGATAGCGGTGATGATGATATCCACAAACTTTGAACCCTTCAGCGCTGGTGATAGATCTGCATACTCATGACCACTCCTTAGATTTGCACAGAACTTGATGAAAAGTACAAAGAAAAGGACCAAAGATGCAATGATACCATATTTGGTGATACCACCAGCCAAGTTGTCCAGTCTTATTTGAAGTGGTGTCTGTTCAGTTTCCACGTTTAAAGATTGCATTGTACGTCCGTGGATAGAATTTGGACCCACTGCTGTGATGATTGCTCTACCTAAACCGGAAATGAGCCTTGAACCAGATATGAGGAATGGATCTGGAACACCTTTAGTTCCAATATCGGCCTCGCCCTCTGGGAACTTCTCGTTATAAGTCAACAATGCAGGTTCCAGTGCCATCTTACGTACAGAATGGGATTCACCGGTGATTGAGGATTCATCACATTCACATGATCCTGCTACCATGACACCATCCGCAGGCAAGACATCACCAGTTTGTAGAGTGAGAATGTCTCCAACCAAAAGGTCATAGATCGAAATGACGTGTTCCTCGCCTCCTCTAATGACGATGATCTCACGGTCACTCTTCTTTGCGTTCAGTCTGGCAAACTGAAGCTCCTTTTGGTAGTTGTTCAGTGCACCAACAAGCACAACAATCGCAATCGCAACAATAATGGCCACACCTTCAACCCATTCAACTTTTGGAACGACGTTACCTTCCGCGTCGTATTCATCTGGTTGTCCAAAGTATTCGTATAGCCCCAACGCCAGCGAAACCACCGCGGCAACAGATAGCAATATCAACACTTTATCGTGCATTTCCTGCCACGCGAGTTGTAGAAACGACTTGGACTTCTTCTCGGGCAGCCTATTGACACCAAACTGTTCCACTCTAGCGTCGACATCGGGTAGCGATGGACTCAGCCCATTCTTGGCGTCTGTTTTCAATGTCTTGTAGAACGTTGTGGCGCTTCCGCTGAAGCGCTGCTTGAAGAACTTTATAGACTTCGGGTCGTGGATCTCAGCGAGGTCATCCAGCGTAATGTCGCAGAGCGGATTGCTTGTTCTCTTCGTAACGGTTCTGGTCAACGTCCCTGCAGTTGACCTTCTCGATATATTGCCAATCACCGCTTCCGCCATGGTGTTGGAATCTCAGCCTGACGTGAAAGTGGATGCCTTTGTTGTTGTACAGTTATAAACACACACACACACGCACTTCACAGCGTAAGTAAAGAAAATCAAAAATGTGGGATTCTGTGGGAAACTGGACAAGTGCAAACGTGTGTCGACCCTCCAATGAAACCAAGGGAAATCGGTAGCGTTTTAATACTTTCTTATCAAGAGCTTTCTAAAGCAGCAAACCAAGAAAATTCTGGTACATGTTAAAGTACAATTAAAATCCCATTCTCGTGATCACAGAGGGCATTAAGGCTGGAGACGAGCCAGAAGGAAGCCACTCCCAGTAAGTGGGCTGTGTAAAGGGAGCAGCAGCGCATGCATGTGTCCTTGCCTGTGTGTAATTTCACCTGCCGCGGGGCCCTGAACCCTAAGCTCGCAGAGCTCTCTGCGTGGGTGCGCCCTAGTGGGCGCAGCACGATCCCACGGTGGTTGTTATACGGAGCAAGAAATCACCAATCTTGTTGAAGAGTCGATCATCTACAATGTACAGATTCCATCGACGCTTCGATGTCTTGTGATGTAAACCATGGTGAATGGTTTGCAGTCTGACGTGTTACAGTCTCACACGACCAGAATGGCTCTGAATGGCCGAGCTCTGCTGGAGGAGGCCACCACGACTTGGAACTAGCGCGTATGGCTTACTTGTGTGTGTCTGCTTAGGTAAGCAGGTACCTCGGTATGAGAAGTAGGATGCGCTTGTCAAGATAGTTCGTTGCCATAGGCGATCTGCACTTTCTTCAATGCGGACGCTTTTATGTCCAAGAAGGGAAATACACATACCTCGGAGATTGAAATTTTTATCGCATACACACAGTAACTTCGAAAATTGCTAACACCAAGAGCTTTCGTAGTCTGTCCATTACCTCATCGTTGGTACTTATCCTTGAGAAAGTTGCTGAAGTACAACGACGATCTGTGGTTGATGCAACTAACAGCTTTGGAGGATTTTGACGGTTGACCAAAGGCGTAATCATGACCCAAGCTTCGCCCATTTCTATCTCCGTTGTCGCTGGGCAGACATTCCTATTGTTCAACATTGATGACATCAAATATGTAAGGCAATTGGGTATTGTGGGATCACTAGTTGGTACACTGCCTGCTGCTCCACAGCAGAACCTGTTCTTGGGCGTGCCGTTACAATTGATGGCCGAGGAGGCACTATGGCTGGTGGAACATGGCTATGCAAAGTTGATACCCGATGACCGCTTCATTAGAGACATATATGACCATCTCTCAGATAGTGACATCATGTTAATCGAGCGTGAGTTGGAACAGACGAGGCAGAAGGAGAGGAGTTGGAAGATTCAGGAACATCAAGCTAAGCTGGATAGACTCGGAGTCACGAAAAGAGGTGGCAGTAACGATAAGGAACTAATTGAACAAGGTTTAACTGTTGTTGTGAATAACACCCCTTCAAGGTTACCAAGCTATGTATTCTTCAAAAGGTTGTATGAAGAGTCAGACATTTTACAGAAGAACCTCTTGTCTGGTTTACGGAAAGATACCCTCTCCTATAGAGTATTCTCGTATTTGAAATCAACAGGCTACTACATGGCACCAGGCCTAAGGTTTGGTGGTCGGTATATCGCATATCCAGGAGATCCACTAAGGTTCCATGCCCATCTTATAGTGAATTGTGTTGGATGGAACGAAGACATCGGCCTGGTTAATATGGTTGGAGGTGGTAGATTGGCAACAGGTGTGAAGAAACTATGGGTAATTGGAAGTCAAGATCCAGATAAAGATCAGAACGTACAATGTTTTTCTGTTGAATGGGCAGGATTTGGGTAAATTTCGTCTATTTAAGAATTTTTGCACTCAATTCATCGTCTAATGATTTCGTTTCCAAGTATTCGTCTTTCTTTGACTTTATAGTCTTTGCAAATACACTGTACACAGTGTTGAACTCGCCTAAACTCTTGAAAACAGGTAATAGATCACAAAAGTCATCCACTTTTTGTAACAACTCCTTGTCCACTTGGAACTCATCCTCAGTCTTTAGTCTGTTCTTGAGTTGTTCAACAATTGTTTCAGACAGGACATTCAACGATTCCTGTAACTCTGATGGCGTTATTTGAATAGTCAATTCATCATTGCTTTTCGAGCCAGTAGGTGCAACACGAGATTTCTTAGTGTTTGACTTGCTTTCATCGTAAGCAATTGATACAACAGACTTGATCGTCTCAAGTGCATTTTGAACCTCGAGCAAATTTTGTTTGGCCTTAGTCAACAGTAAAAGCTTATTTATACCTTTAAAAGGGCCCTCTGAGTCCTGGTCTTTATTCTCCTTTAATTTCGTACCAATAGCAGCGATTGTGTCGTTAAGCGAATGTATAGATATTGACAAGGAGTCAATGTAGTACTCCAATCTCGTTGTCGGCATTAGGTTGTTTGAAGAGCCTACACTCCCCTTCGCACTGGCGTCATAGGAATAGGAAACAATAGAGTTGCAGTTGTACAGTTTTGAAATTTGTGACTCCAGCTCATTCGTCAGTTCATTCGTATAGTAATCCATGTGTGTCAGCAGAATAGCCGACCGTTCCTGGAGTTGTTGGATGTACTTCAGATTAGTCAGGTTATTACCACCACTTGACACAGCACTCTGGGCATACACGGCATCCAGGTAAGCGTGTGGAACAAACTCATCGTCAAAGAACATCGACAGTAATTCATCAGACATGTTGGCTAAAGGGTTGTTGCGATGTTGTGGGATGCAACAGTGCTAGAGATCAACAACGTGGAAACCCAAAAAGTGTTTGTTTGAAGTTCGAGAAAATAACAATGCCTGAGTTAGCTGTAGCAAAACACAACAACTCGTTCAATTGTTTGTATACGGTGAATTACAAACGTTGTCAAAGCACGCCTATACAGAGCTTCGGTGTACACAATCTCCTAGTCGATATTAGATGTTGAGCTGGGTTTAAAATCAAGAAACTAAGAGAACGCACTTGGTCAAGGGCTCCTCTACGAGAATTGTATTGTTTTCTTCAGCACTTAACCAACACATGTTTTCTACTTTTCAACGTTACGGGCGAGTGGCGTAGTTGGTAGCGCGCCTGCCTTGCAAGCAGGAGGTCATCGGTTCGACTCCGGTCTCGTCCAGATTATTTTTTTTGAAAAATTCACAGGAGAGGGCTATCAACGTTGGCTTGATTTATCAAGAAGCCATGAAATACACACAGAAAGACTGTCTGCTGGCTAATTGAAGCTTTCCTGGAGCTGTTATGTGTTTCTCTCTACTTGAAAAGTATTTGCGTACTAATTGCTTTCATTTTTAAAACTAATATATAGGGAACCAAGGACAATGAAGCTGATGTGAAGCCAAAAGGCCTGGGTCCATGTCTAAGCTGTATGAACAACCATTACACCAGTGGTGGGCGATGTGTAGTATTGGTTCAGTTTGAACGATCAGCACAGCCGAAAACTCCCCATTTAAGCAAGAAGGAGCGTTGAAGTCGGTTAATTCTTTCTCAACAGTGGAATTTCGGGTTTGCCCTTTTCAACCATGGTAGTGATCAGTTCGTAGACAACTTGAGATGCAGCAGTAGCTGTTATTTCAGAGGTATCATATGGTGGTGACACTTCAACAACATCTCCTCCAACAAGGTTGAAGTCCATTCCACGAAGTAGATAGATGACTTCTCGAGGAGTCAATCCACCAGGTTCCATGGTACCTGTTCCTGGTGCGAATCCTGGATCCATGCAATCAACATCGAGCGAGATATAAACTGGATAACCTTCTGGGATTCTGTCCTTGATTTTCTTAAGCACGCTTTCCATAGCTGGGACTCCGTTGATCCAGATGTCATCAGTGCTGAATCTCATCCATCCTTGGCTAGTATCCTCGTGATAATCATCCATATCCTTGCCACCAATACGTGCACGCAAACCAACATGCACATTATAGTCCTCACTGATCAAACCTTCTTCACAAGCCATCCACAGCATTGAGCCATGGGTGAATCTGGTCTTCTCTGAATCCCAATACCCATTCTTCTTGGATGAGTTGTATGTGTCCAAGTGGGCATCAAAATGAATAACAGCAACACGGCCATACACTTTACGAAGTGCCCTTAGATGTGGAAGAATGATGGAATGATCACCACCCAGTGCAATGTATCTTGGAGGATGGTTTGGCATGGATGCAGACTGACGACGCAGAACAAGTTCTTCAAAGGCATCAGTCATTTGCTCTAACGCAACCTCGTTGCACACAGGCGTGACAGGGATATCACCACAATCCATTAAAGTGGCCCACTCCTTGTATGGATTGTAGCCAGCTCTCAGGTTGTACCCACGCTTCTCACTTTGGCGTTGCGAAGCTTGACGAATGGCACTTGGTCCAAATCTTGCACCTGGACGGTAACTGGTTGCAGTATCAAACGGAACACCAATAATACCAATATCAAACTTCTTCTCTGGCTCTAAAAGAGCACGACATGTTTCAAAATGGGCAAAGGTGACAATGCCAGAGAAGCCAGGACCGGCTCCCCACTTGTCTTCGAGGGTAGCCTGGGGGTCTCTCGATGAGGCGGTCATTGTTCTTCTGAGATATGGTGGCCACCATGGGAAAGGGCATTAGATTTCAGCAAAGTCACCCCATGTTATATACATCATGGATGTCCAAAATGGAATTCAATCAACAAAAGAGATAAGGACTTGATACAATGAGAAACAAAGTCTCATCCAATTACGGATTCCAGATTAGGAAGTCTTCGTCCCGGAAAGTAGCCTCCGCAGCTCCCAATGCAGAAAGACCGTTGCACCCCCAATTAGGAAATCGAAGAGAACACCAGCGATACACAACAAACCTCAAGTATCAAAGCGTGGCGCTGTCTGTTCTAAGGAATCTACCAGATTGGTGAAGTAGTAACTCTGGTATCATACACTGAACAAACCATGAGCCAATATTTACATGTCCTTGGATAAATATATATAAAGATTCCCTCTATGACGTTGGCCGCTGATTGTGAGATTGCGGTGCAATAAACCACCAACGATTCCTTCGATGACTGCACCAGAAATCAACAGAGATACTTTCAAGCTGAACAGTGGCTTTCTCATTCCAGCTGTTGCGCTTGGGACTTGGAAATCATCACCGGAAGACTGCTACAACGCCGTCAAGCATGCGTTGAATGTTGGCTACAGACACATCGATACCGCCAGAATTTACTTAAACGAGGCCTCTGTTGGAAAGGCTATCAATGATTTCCTCAAAGAATCTGACGATGTGAAGAGGGAAGATATCTTCGTTACTACCAAGCTATGCCCATGCGATTATCACGACCCTGAAACAGCAATATTGGGCTCCTTAGAAAGACTTCAGCTGGATTACGTTGATCTGTACCTGATGCACCATTCTTTGGCTGAGGTTAGCGGCGAAGGTTTAAAACCAGTTGACGAGGACGGATTCAGAAAGCACATTCCATTTGAAAAGCTCAGCTACGTCGATGCCTACAAGGTAGTGCAAACCTTCGTCAACAAAGGATACACCAGATCTGTAGGTGTTTGTAACTTCAACGTTCCGAAAGTGCAAAGGCTGCTTGAAGTTAGTGAAATACCACCAGCGGTGGTTCAGTGTGAGATTCATCCCTACCTTCCACAGCAGGACTTGGTTGACTTCTGCAAAGAACATGGCATCGTTGTTGAAGCATTCTCGCCTCTTGGATCTACTGGTGCTCCATTGCTTAATGAGCCTATCTTGGTCAGTGTTGCTGAGAAATATCAAGTGTCACCGGCCTGTATTGCCATCAGTTGGGCCATTGCTAGAGGAACAGTGCCACTCCCGAAATCAACTAATGACAGCCGTATTGAGGCTAACTTGAAAACAATCAAGCTCAGTGATCAAGACGTTGAACTCATTAATAACATTAGCAAGACCACCACTAAGAGATATCTCAACTCCAAGTGGCGTATTGACGTCTACTACAGTGATGCAGAGTTCAATCCTGTTAAATAAGGAATATAGAGACCTTCAATAAACCGTTTTTTCCGTGACTCTTCACATTAGTACTAGCTATACCCATTATCTATCGAAAGGCTTGACCTAAGCGATCAACATGTGGCCTCCTTCGGACACTTACCCCAAGTATCCTGCCAACTCCCTACAGTCTCTTGCTCATGTTGAACTTCATTCATATGATAAACACACCAGTCACATTCATCATCACCTCCCCTACATCAACACGTACGTCCTCTTCCCCTTGCTTACGAAGACACTCCTCTAAGAGACGAACTGCTTTTGTAATATGTATTCCCCAGCCTTTGGTGCTGTACTCTTTAAATGCGTCGAGCACCCACGCCTGATAAATAGGATCCGTCGTCTCTATTCCGGCTATCAAAAGTGGGAAAGGCCAAAGCTGAGACCTTGGGTATTGTGAATCCCTGATAGTGTTTAACTTGACTGCAATCTTGATGATCTCTTTCGCAGCATCTTGACAACGCTCATTGGACTTGATATTCGGATGGATCTGCCTGTCTAGTAGGATCACTGCACAGTATACCAGAGCGTTACATATAAGCATTGATGACTGAACGTTCCTACCAGACATTTTGGTGCTCTTGAAAGTCTCATATAACTGTTCATTCTCACTAACCAACTCATCCACTTCTTGTTGAAATGACTCTGGGTCGAACTCTGTCGAATTTCCACACTGATCAAGCCAGTTCCTCAATCTGATGACTCGACCAAGTGTCATTATATTCCTCATGGTGGTGACAAGAATGTGATCTAGTAGCGTGTCATCATCTGTAAAAGATTTAGGATAGTCCTTTCCGAATATGTCACTTGAAACTCCCCTAGTTTGCCATGCAATGTCGGAGGCTTTGTCATCATAAAGCTTTGAAGTTGTCAAGTACACAATATTGACGTTGCGTTGATTCTTTGGTATGATAACATAGTCTGGGAAGCTTATATTCCCAGTAAATAATGAAGATCTTATGTCGATGTGTAATAAGAAATATAGGATCTGATACCCATACGGACTAAGCTGTGGTCTTGAAGACTGATCAATGTCTCCAAAAAAACGTCCAATTTGGAGTTTCGACCACACGTGGCGTAATATTCTCTTTGCTTGTCTGGTCCCCATTGCAATATCAAATTGCAATAAAAAAAAGCAAGTGGTGAGAAGAAGCTCAACATGAACTTTACCACCTATGAACTCTTCACGCATCACAACGTTTAGAGCCTCATTATAGTACTGTTGAGCAACATCCTTTGATGAGCCATTAACAGTGGCATAATGTAGAGCGGTCCACGAAAGTATGGCGTATTTCAATGGCAAGTACTGAGAGGCAAGCCTGCCTCCCATGTATGCGTATATGGTCCAATCTGGGGACTTTAGGGAATAGAACTGACACATGGTCCTGGTGAAATACATTATCAGCCAGAACTCGTTCTGATCGTTGTACGGGGACGTCACATTGTTCCCTTCGCCAGTAATGCGTGGTACTTGATCCCCTTTGGTACCGTCGCTTGAACCAGCGCCTGAACCAGCGCCTTCCGTATTCTGCTTGTCAAACTCCTCGTCATAAAAATCAAAGTTCTTATCAACTGATGGTTCTTCAAGACCAGGTAACCCATACGCCCCCGGTGAGCGGATCAAGCTGCACATCTCCTGTGTGAATATCAACGGCATGTTCAGCATTTGCTCGTAATTGTCGGAAGGACTCACGGTTTGTTCTGTCTTGCGTCGTTTTGGTTTGGAGCTGAACACTGAAGTTCCCGGTATCGCAGGACGGCCATTTTGAAGGAGGTCGATGGTCTCTGAAGTTTGATCCACAAACTTGATGTCCTTGTTTGCAGGTGCCTTTCCTGTTTTATCTTTTAGCATTCAACGTGTCCTGTCGCTGACGAAACGTATCCTAACAGTAGGCAAAAGTGGCGTCTTGTCCGACTTTTTTATACTCTTATCGACTATGCAAGCTCGGTTTTAAACTTTCAGATCTATCCATTAAATATGCATGTCCATGTCTTATGATACGCTCGCCCTTTGCTCTTGATAGCTCATGCTCTTGTATAGAAATCAAGCGAATGAAAGGCGAAATGGAGGATTTGATGAGTCTGAAGCCTTACAGTTTGCCTTAAGAACACGAGGCCGAAGAGATGGGAAGAGATGGGGCGAGTGGATGCGGTGTTGTCGGAGAACGAGCAAGTTGCTGTGGACAGGAGTTAACAGGCCATCCGGAGGTTCTTTTAGCGTATTACATAGGTGACACTCGTCAAGATAGCACTCTCGGAAGTGCTCGAATTGGCCGATAGCAAAGTTTGAAGATAGCGCATCCATCATCATCACTATGCCTACATGTCAAATGGAGTGCCCTTTTTAGAGCCGTTAAGGTATAAATATCTCTTCATCGCGCTCAAATGCACAGAGGAGCTCAGTGGAGGAAGTGGTTAGCGAGTTCATTCATAGCCTCGTGATTCCGCTCGGCGTTGGAACCTTCGGAATATTATCCTAGAAGTTCGTCAACAGAAGATCTTCATAAAAGCCGGAATCTAGAGACGGCACAGCATTCAGAGTATCTGCATCTATTTGTAGTCCGAAAACCAATTGCAACACCACCACCAGCAATTCTTGTCACATTGAACTATCTGACCTTTGTGTTGCTCTCTTCCCTTAAACTGATGGTATATGTTTACATCGTTGAGTAGCCTCCCAATTCTGAATAGGCTTCTGGTGCGCGTGCGTTTCACACAATCTTCGGATCATTTCCAGATCGGGAACGGCATCTATTTCCTAATCCAGATTAGGAATGATGAACACACATCTCTCGATTGAAGCACTACGCTCAAATTAGAGACTTTACTACGAGCCCATTGTGCTATTGGCCTCGATTATATATTATGAGCGACCGAAGCCGAAGATGCCTTAGATCGAGATGATTTGAACTCCATAGCAACCACAACAGCTACAACAACCACAGCAACCACAACAGCTACACCAACTACAACAACAAGAGATGTCTGAATTGAAATTTGACAAAGAACAAGTTCTTTCCAATGCAAAGCATATGGCTGGTGTCTACCGTCCACCTTCTGCGATTGTTGTGAAAGGTGAAGGGTCGTACCTTTGGGACTTGGATGGAAAGAGATATGTCGACTTCTATGCCGGAATTGCTGTCAATTCATTGGGACACTGTGATCCTGAGGTCTCCAAGATCATAGCAGATCAGTCCAGCACTCTGCTACATTCATCCGTGGCGTATCCTAGTCCATGGCCATATGCGCTTGCTGCTCTTCTTGTCGAGAAGACCAAGGAGTCTGGTGGAATGTACAATGCCTCCAATGTCTTCTTTGGGAACTCTGGTGCAGAAGCTAACGAGGCTGCTTTGAAATTTGCTCGTAGATGGGGTAAGTCGATCTCTCCAGACAAGACTGAAATCATTTGCTTCAATTCTTCATTCCATGGAAGAACTTTTGGTGCTCTCAGTGTCACATCCAACGTCAACTACCAAGCTCCATTTGCACCTTTGGTTCCTGGTGTTAAAACTGCAACTGTTGGTGACATTAAATCTGTGGAAGACGTGATTTCTGACAAGACATGTGCTGTCATTATTGAGCCACTACAAGGTGAAGGTGGAATTAGACCAGTTGATCCGGCTTTCTTGCTAGCTTTGAAGGGCGTTTGTAAGAAATACAAAGCAGCTCTGATCTATGACGAAGTTCAATGTGGTATGGGACGTTCCGGTACTTTGTGGGTCCATTCAAAGCTTCCAAAAGAAGCCCATCCCGACATCTTCACTTCTGCTAAAGCTTTAGCTAACGGCTGTCCTATCAGTGCTACCGTTGTCAGCCCTGAAATCAATGCTGCCCTTCGTCCTGCTGACCATGGCTGTACATTTGGTGGTAACCCTCTTTCAACTCGTGTTGCTGGACATGTTCTCAACAGAATTTCCGATCCTAAGTTCCTGGAAGGTGTCCAGAAGAAGTCCGAGCTTCTCTGGTCCAAGTTGTCTAGTTTACAACAAAAGTATCCTAAACAAATCAAAGAAATTCGTGGTCAAGGTTTGATGTTGGGTGTTGAACTTACTATCGATGCAAAAGAGGTTATCGTAAAAGCAAGATCGCTTGGTCTTTGTACAATTGCCGTCGCAGGAAATGTCATCAGATTCCTTCCAGCATTAAACATTCCAGATGAAGTTATCCTTGAAGGTGTGGCAATTTTGGAACAAACATTTGATGAAATGTTTGGTGAGAATTCATCAGCTTAAAACTTGGGGCACGTTTCATTAGATATGACTCCCGTTTTCACGTCCTGTCTTTGCAATCTATGTGTTACAAGTGGTTGAATTGAGTATCTGGTGCATTGCTTCTGTCCTCATTGTAGCTGTTAACTTTTAATTGGTATCGAGTTAAAACGCATCGCCTGTCTGTTAACTCCACCGTTCTTCAATTAGAAAGATAACAGTCCTACACACACCAATCACTACGTCTCAACTGATTCATGTCCATGAGATAACAATGCCCCTAATACGCACTTTTGTAGGTCTGAGGTTCCATTTTTAGAACAAATGTGTGGCAGTTCAAGCTACAGATGGATAAATTAATAAAGATCATTTAAGATTCAAAATTGCTCTATTGAAATACACGCCTGTTCTTTCCCTATCCAGCAAGGATTTGAGGTGATTCAACCTCACGCCACAGCGTATAGCAAATCACAATGTGTAACGGAATAGAGGATTCTCCTTATCAGTGAGATCGGCAAACTCGATATTGTCGATATTCTTTGCATCCTTTTCGATCTCAGGATTCTCCTGGAGATTCTTCTCATTCTTAAGATTTCTGCGGTAATACTCCCACCAAATCAACAAGAGGAACACAAGACTTGCAGCATAGCAAACAACAATAGCCACCTTTCCGCCAGCATACCCTGGAGCTTGCGACTCAATGAATGTCTGTGGACCAATCACCAGCCCTGCAGAGTACCCAATAAGGAAAATAGCATCCATAACAGCCTTCTTTGTAGCACCACCAGTGTTACTGGAGAAACAGGATAGACATTGAACCATACTCACTGGATTCAAACTCTGGAGGTAGAACCCAGCTAGTTTAGTTTGGTTATTTTGACCAAAGGCAAGTAGACAAGCAGCTAAGATACAGAACACTGTCGAAATCACAGAAACGAACATACGAGAATCCCATATTTTCAGGCCTACCCACACGAATAAAGGACACCCGACAGCAACGATTGCACCGTTTGGCATTTTCATAAGCATGGATTCCTTTGTAGTGAACCCGAAGTCATCGTTCAAAAGAATTGATCCGAATGAGCCAAGGGAACCTGACGGGATATCGGATGAGACACCATAGAAGAAATAGTACCAAGTGACAACGTCCGTAAGAGCCTCTTTGATTTGGTATGGTTTGACCTTCTTGGAACCAAATCCCTGTTGGTTTGCTCTTAAACGCTCAACAAGACGGGCCTTCTCCTCGTCGTTAAGAAACCAGGCCTTTGAAGGATCATCTGGGACATGAATCACAAAGAGAATAACAATGAACATCGAAATCGCACCGATGATGTAAAAGTTAAGTCTCCAAGGTTCAATGGAGTATGAGTCTTCATACTCAACCATCGCGTAACCAATACAGTTCATGATGATTGTTGCCAAACCATTGGCACAAAACCATAAAGTTGTTCTCATGAACTGCTCGCCAGCCCTGTAGTACTGACCTGTAATCATCACTAAGGCTGGATTGATGGAAGATTCGAGCATACCAAGGAGAACTCTCAAGACCATCAAGCCAGCGTACGATTTAACAGCACCATGTAGGATCAGCAAAAGAGACCATAAAATAGCAAAGACACCAAGGGTCTTCACAAGGGGGAATCTCTGGAGCAGCAAACTCGCTGGGAGCTCGAAGGCCAGGTAACCCAAATAGAAACCAGAAGTTCCCCAAGAATATTGATCACCATGCATTCCGAGGGCACTACGGATTCCAAGAATGGCAGAAGTACTCAGTGCACTTTTGTCCATATACATGGCAACGTTCAAAAGCATAAGCACTGGCATAAGGTAGAAATCGAGCTTTCTGCGCAATTTCTTATCCTTCTCTTCATCATACTCAACCTTGTTATCAAGCGCAAACTTCATAGCAGGGTCGACATCGGTTGTAATCTCAACCGGCTCACCACCAGCACTGGTGATGGTGGCAAGCACCTGGTGCGTGTTCATGTTATCTGACGAGAAAACACTGACATGACTGACAATAGTGTCAATCATATTCTTTTGATCGTGACTCATTGTTTCTCCATGGGTTTGAAAGCTGGTCCATTGAAGTCTGATTGATGGTTCTTGATATCGCTTTATAAAGGGAACTGATGAAGCTGGATGTCTTATCTCAATACGTAGATCTGGAAGATATCATACCATAGCTTATCAGAAGGCTTGTCGTACTACTTCTCGTAGCAATATTTCGATATCGACAAAGAGTAAATACCCGTACCTGAGCGAACATCTTACATATGCTTATCTGACGAGCTGCAGCGCCTCGGGCTCAAACCTTCTGCACGTGCCCCAATTGGGAAAGACGCCGCAACCCCGATCCGGAAGACTTCCCTTTACGGAAATCGACTTGTTGCCCTCTTTAAGCTGTGAGTATTCTGCTTTGAGATGAAGACGAAGAAGGCCTCGCAGGTTCTTTCCTCATTCCCAACGTAGAAGTGACTGTTTGCGATGATGGCGTTGAGTGAAGAAAAGGTACTATAGATTATATCTGTTAAAAGATTCGCCAATGAAGGCGAAACTGGGCTTTCTACTGTGACGTTTGAAGCTATCAAAATCAACATTCTCTTGGCTCATGATGTTGGACTATATCAAAGAGGTCTGGAAATGCCAGGCTCAGACATGTCGTGCCTACAAATGGTCTGACAGTGATCTGGAGGACAGGGTTGCCAATGATGCTAGAGTTGACCCTCAAAAGAGGCTTTTGACTCCCTTTCTGTTTGACAAAACTGTTACACCAATTCCATGTGATGACTCTGAGCGTTCTGAGTTCCCGTTCCAGTCCACAAACTTCATATCCGAAACCTTCTTCAGCTGGTGCAATCCTGCTCTCAAAGTTGGGTACGTTAGAACATTATACCCTGAGGACATGTACAAGATCTCCCCAGGGTCGAAGAACGATGTTCAGTTGTTGGCTGATAAGTTTAACGAGGTTTTGGAGAAGCGAAAACTAAGATCTGAGTCAGACTACTTGAAGACACACGGCATGGAAGACACTCCTTCTAATAGGGAGTCTCTTTCGAAGGACCCGAACTTTCAGTATTCAAAGTACCTTGTCGCTCTCTCCCTGCTTGAGGTGTTCAGAAGTCGTTTCATCTTTTGTCTCTTGATTAGAGTTGCAGGTGACTTAGCAGCAGGTCTGAACACTCTTCAAGTCCGGAAGATTGTGTCCATTGTTGGTAATCATTCCAAAGATCAGCATACAACAAACGAAGGTTATGGTTATGCCGTTGGTATCTCCCTCGTTGTAATGTTCCAAGGTCTAGCGTATTGTCACTATTTCCATTCTAGTCAGTTCTGTGGTGGAGAGATTAGAAGTGTTCTTAGTAAGGTCCTCTTGGATAAGTCTTTTACCATCAACCGTGATGGTAGAAGCCGCTATCCGCCATCCCAGGTTACATCCTTGCTTGCAAATGATCTTTCCAAGATTGAACTTGCCATTTGGTTCTTTGGCTTCATCACTAATTTGCCCCTTGGCCTGGCACTTACCATCATTCTGCTTACAGTGAATCTGGGAGGTGCATCATTGACTGGTATTGCTTACTTCTTGATTGTAACTGCCATAACTAGTGTCTTGACTAAACACTTCATGAAGAACCGTATCGTGGCCAACATAGCGACTGATAATCGTATAAGATGTATCAAAGAGGTTCTAGCTAGCATCAAAATCATAAAGTACTTTGCTTGGGAAATCCCTTACAGCAGATTGCTTGCGGAGTACAGATCATCAGAGATGGCACAAATTCTTCGCATTCAGTTCATCAGGAATGTGATTGTTAGTGTTGTGGTGACCTTACCAAATGTTTCGGCCATGATCAGTTTCTTGGTTATGTTTGGAGCTAACCATGGACATTTGAGTGCCACTTCTAATATATTTTCATCCGTATCGCTGTATAACACGCTGACAGGATATGTGTCTCAATTCCCTTCAGCCCTGAACACCGCTGGTGATGCTATCGTTGCTCTTAAACGTATTCAAGAATTTCTTCTCTTTGAAGATGAGAAACAAGATCCTGGCCATCGTATGATTCCTGGAAATGCTTCTAAGAATTCCATTGAGATTGAGCATGGGTTCTTCGATTGGAATGCTGTAAAAGATGACAACTTATCCGTGGAATCTGACACCAAGGACGATCAAACTGGAAGCTGTCAAATTCAGTGGGATGAAAAAGAAGAGGAATCACACGGAAAGAATACTCATCAATTCCAGGGTCTGAAGGACGTGAACCTTTCTATAAAGCAAGGTGAATTCGTCGTGGTTACAGGACCGATTGGAACTGGTAAGTCCTCTCTTCTTAATGCAATAAAGGGAGCCATGCCTAGGACAAAAGGGTTGGTCACTATCGCAGGTGATGCCACTCTTTGTAGTGACCCTTGGATTCAGAACACTACTGTTGAAGGTAACATACTCTTTGGAAGTGAACAGGATCGTCAAAAGTATAACAAAGTTGTCGATGCATGTGCTCTTGCGTCGGACTTCGACATGCTTCCTGCTGGTGATCAGACTGAAATTGGAGAAAGAGGTGTTAACCTTTCTGGTGGTCAAAAGGCACGTATTAACCTTGCTCGTGCTGTTTACCATGTATATGGTGATGATGATAGAAATATCATTCTTTTGGATGACGTTCTTAGTGCTGTTGATCCTAAGGTCGGTCGTCATATCGTCAACGAGTGTATTCTGGGACTATTGGATGGTAAGACAAGGATATTGGCTACACATCAGCTATCTCTTATCGATTCAGCTAACCGTATCATTTTCATAAATAATGACGGAACGGTGGATGTGGGTTCTCATGATGAGCTGACAGGGCGTAATGCTGAATTTGCTAGATTGATGGAATTTCAACTGGAAACATCAGAAAACGAAGATTCTGATGAAGATGATACTGATACTGATGATGATGATACTGATGATGTTTCGCTAGTAGATGTTCCAGATGAAAAAAGTTGTATTTCCAAAATGGATATGGAGGATTTGAAAGTGATTCGCTGTCAAACATCCAAGGCTGAGTATGAGGAAAAAACAGCTGGTGTACTCATGTCTGAGGAGTCTAGAAAAGTGAATGGGATTCCTTTGCGTATTCTTTTGATGTACCTCAGAGAGGGGTGTGGTAAGTATGGAATCAAGTTTTTGGTACCAAGCTTGATTGCCAGTATGACTTGTACCACATTCTGTATGTTATTTCAAAATATTTGGTTATCCTTTTGGAGTTCTGATCACTTTTCTGGTCGCTCAAATGGGTTTTATGCTGGACTTTATGTTCTGTTCACGGTGCTTTTTGTTCTGAGTGCATGCTGGCAATTCTGTACTGTGGTGTACATTTGTAACACTTCATCAAAGAACCTTAACATCAAGGCTATGCACAGAATCATGTACGCACCAATGTCATTCTTTGATACTACACCAATGGGAAGAATTATAAACAGATTCACTAAGGATACGGATACTTTGGACAATTCAATTGCGGAACAGGCTAGGTTATTCTGTTATGGCTGTTTCAACATGGGCGGAATTCTGATCATGTGCTGTGTCTTTCTTCCGTGGTTTGCCATTGTTGTGCCATTTGTATTGCTTGTTAGTTATATTTGTTTCTCTTATTACCAGGCATCTGCAAGAGAAATAAAGCGTATTGAGGGTATCCAACGGTCTGTTGTTTTCGCAACCTTTGATGAGGTATTACAAGGCCTGGCTACTATTAAGTTTTACGATATGGAAAAGGTCTTTATGAGAAAGAATGCCAAACTTATCAATAAACAAAATGAGGCATACTACTTATCCAATGGTATGCAGAGATGGCTTGTTGCTAGACTGGTGGTTTGTTCTGCTGCTATGAATCTGATTATCGAAACTTTGTGTGTCAGCAATGTTTTCAATATCAGCGCTGCAAGTTCAGGTCTGTTGATCTCTTACTTGGTTTCATTTTCCACTCAGCTTGTTTCAACTTCTAGATCGATGGGTCAGCTTGAGCAGTTTCTCTCTTCTGCGGAAAGGGTTGCTGAATATTCTATGGAACTTCCACAAGAAGCAGCCTACAATTCATCAACAGAAACCACGCCAGCCGAATCTTGGCCAGAACGGGGTGAGATTGTATTCAAGAATCTTTCTATGAGATACAGACCATCTCTTCCTTATGTCCTTAATAACTTCTCTGCACATATAAAACCAGGTGAAAAGGTTGGTATATGTGGAAGAACAGGTGCTGGTAAATCAACTATCATGACTGCTCTGTACCGTATCTGTGAGCCAGAGAAAGGTACTATTGAAATCGACGGTATAAACACGCTTCAAATCGGATTGTACGATCTACGTTCGAATCTAACCATTATTCCACAAGAGCCAGTGTTATTCAGAGGTACTATTCGTCAAAACTTGGATCCTTTCAACACCACCAGCGACGAAAAGTTATATGAGGCATTGATCAAGGCTGGTTGTATCACTGCTTCAGAACTGAAAGATATTGGTACTTCAAGCCATGACCTGATGTTCCATCTTGACAGTTTTGTTGAGGATAACGGTGCTAATTACTCACTTGGTCAAAGACAAGTTCTCGCTCTTTGTCGTGCTCTGATTAAAAAGACAAAGATTCTGATTCTGGATGAAGCTACATCAAATATGGACTATGAAACTGATGCACGTATTCAGAATATCATCAAAAGAGAATTCACCGACTGTACCATCTTGAGTATTGCACACAGGCTGAAAACTATTGTGAATTATGACCGTATTTTGGTGATGGACAAAGGTCGGTGTGTTGAATTTGATACACCTTGGACTTTGTTCAATTCAAAAGATAGTATATTCCGCTCTATGTGTGACAAATCTCATATTGTATCTTCAGATTTCGATAGCAGAGAGTGAATACTTAACAAAGAAATATATAAAATCTTATTCTATACAGATACTAATTAAAGAGATGTTAAAAGTGCTATGTACATAAATTTCGACTTCCAGATTCAAAAGTGTGACCAAGTCCAGCCTGTTTTGACAACATCATCTCAGTAGTTTGAGCTTTCTGGACAGTTTTCTCATATGTTTCGTAGTCTTTGAGGTTATTTGGACTTTGAATGAGGCCGAAGATGGGTTTTTTCTCATAAAATCGCAGATACTCCAGGAGTTACATGGAAATTCAATAGCTTAGGAGATTAGGTTTCATGGGAATATGTTTCTTCAAACAGTGACAACGTTTCAAATCGAATTTCCGACTGGAATTGCCTAGTAGTGTGCAATTACGTCGTTCTTTGTTCATGGATTTATTTATTTTAGGTGCCAACTTCGTGCAACCAGAAATCTCCATAAAATCTTCAAATACTGTTGAGAGCCCTGCACCACCCAGCAATTGAACGAGATACATCTCTAAACAAATTGATAGTAATAGGAAATACATGAGACTTCCACATCCACATTGATTGGTAAATCACTTGGGCAAATCCATTTCCGTCTTTGAGCAATTTGTCTCATTCGAAGCCAAGATCAAAAGAAAATGTTTTCTGTTTTTAAACTCGCCAACCATTTGACGGCTGAATAAACCATGTACTCGACTATAGAGGATGTATACTAGTAATGGCTTGAATTTTGTTCGAATCTGGTTCAAATCCAAGTTCATACAGTCTCCATATCACCTGAGATGTACTTTTAAACTCACTTAGACAACCAAGTACCAATATTTCTCCTCCTTTTTAGTGTTTTAGAAACTCCTATACGAAGTACTTGCTGCAGCCATATAACTAGTGTCTTTTTTCTATCCCAACCATTATTGTAGACTAGTGTATAATGTCAAAGGGGATATGATGGCTCAAAATTTCTAGGGCTTTCGAGCATTCATTTGATTTTGATCAGTTCAGTCATCTCCCTTGGCCAAAGGAATTGCAGCTTGTGAAATCTTTCTATCTACAATGTACGGACAAAAACAAGCACTCAAATACTTAACATGATCATTTTGATTAGAAGGTGGTAGCACCCTTCAGCACAAAAAGTAAAGCTCCTGTGATGGAAATATTAAACCCACTGTTCATTACATATATTGTCATCTAGGTTATCTTCTTGTTCTAATAAGATTTTGACTCGATTTTAACTCTTATAGTAATTATTTTTCTATAGAAATGGTTTTCTCTACTTCTCAACTTTTCTGACATTTTCCTCTGGAATATTTTCTTGAGAAAAAACAATAATGCCATTATTCTATTTTCATATATTATAATTTTATAGCTGTCAATAGACTATTGTCACATAGTTAGAGAAAGCTATCCATTAAAGATATATTATTTCATATTTTTAACTAACAATTTGAAGTAGATATAAACTTCAAACTGATCATGACATATATAAGAAGATGTCCAAATTGGAAATGCGAAGCGATGGTGTTTGGATGAATATGCAAGCGAAGGGCTACAAATGTTGCCCAAAAAGGTGCCCTTTTGAAGACTTTTGCGCCAAATGCAAAACTGTTGTCAGGGCACGAAAAGGCACAGCAAAATGCCAGCAAAGCTGATTTGTAGCAGGAAAAGTGTCCGATATGGGCAATTCAAGCCCTTCCCACAGGGAAAATTTTACGAAGCATACAACGGACATTTGACAAGCTCCTTATCTCGCTCATATTGGCTACCATTTAGTCCGGAAGGGACCAGACGTTCATCTCATCATGAGCCAGTGATAGATCATCCACTCACCACCCGTCGTTCACGCAGCTGGAAGGCGTATGTCTTTACCACCTTGCCCAGGCACGCATGTAACCACGAAACACATCGCTGAGTTCATCGACATCTACTCCAAAAACACTCGTGAATTGTCACATCTTGTCCTCCAGTTCATTTTGTTTTCTCCCTAATCCACAAGTTTTTGGCCTTCAAATGTCAAGTCACGAGGATACGCCTCTTGAGAATGACTGAAGAGTACACGAGCAAGACATGCACTGGCTGTGGGACAATAAATGCCACATTGTCTCTGGCTGGCCTACCGCACATTTCACTGTGCCTCGTGCAAATTGTTTGTTCACCGCAACATCAACGGTGCGCGCAACACCCTCATCAAATGTCGCATCTCAGTAAGACACACACATGGAGTGTGTTCATGCTCCGATAAAGAAATTACTATCTCTGTTCTGTTTCTAAGGAGCACAGAAGGGTATGATCATGAATGGCAACCCTACTTGACTTTAAAAGCTCACAACCCCTTGTGCATACGCATTATACAGTTCTACATGTCAACGGTATCTGTCAAGCTACCGATACCAAAAAAATACACAACATACACATAGCTCATAGATCAGCATGACTTGACTCTCAAACTGCAGTGATTGTGTCTACAGAATTGCCTCCAAGTGTTCTCCATAAACGCAATTCGTAGAAGCTCAAGTATCAATTCTTCTAACATCGGCTATATTGCGTTTCCGAGGTAACCACCGGCAATGGGGTTATGCGGCGCTTACCACCTTTGGAATACAAAAGTTTAAAATGCAGTGAATCACAATGGTTCTAATTAGGAAAAAAAAGACAACACAGAACAACATCGTCTTGATAGGCTTGGTGTAAACAAAGACATCACATTCGAGAGGAGGGCGTCCCTTGTTCTTGTTCATCAAGGCGGCTAGTACCTTTATCAGGGTGGGTTCTGCTCTAGCAAAAGGAAGAAATAACGTACGAGTTATCAAACCGAACTCATCGGATGTCATCGAAGACGAAGATTGGCGCCTCATCAGCTATGGAGATTTCGAATGGGGTAAGGCCCTCACTAAAGAAGAAGAAGACGAAGACATTCACGGGATGTGCCACCTGTAGGCTTCGAAAGATCAAGTGTGACTTGGGGAAACCATTTTGTGAACGGTGTAAGAGGTCTGGTCTCGTGTGTGCTGGCTATACAATTCAACTGTGCTGGTTTAGGCCCATTCAGTTTGATAAGTATGGGTACCAGATAAGATTTGGAGACGACGACGAGGAGAATGTACAAAAGGGGTTTCAGAGGAGAAACGTGGAGTTTGTAAAGTATGAACGCGAATATGAAACTTATGAGGAGATGGACAGGGATCTAGGGATGCTACACAGCCCAAATTACGCACTGATCGAGGATCAACAGACTTGGTTTCAAGGTCCATTTGGCGTCTTTGAAGGGTTGAAGAATATACCTAATGACCTCATGAATAAGAGAAAGAAAATAAAAAGAGGTAAATACGCTAAGCAACGGATGGAGATCGTACAGGTCAATCTGAACGAGAGACGACAAAAATCAACACCAAGCGATACGAGGAATACAAGCAACCACAGTACACCTATGTCATACGACTCATTTGCAAATGGGAATGCAGCGAATGGTACCATAGATCAAGGACACAAAAATGATGACAACCTCTTCTCAAATGACCGATTCAATCATGAATGGCTCTCGAATGAGTTACGCTTTGATGCTCTGCTATCTGCAACAGCGGTGAGTGCATCAATAGATCAAAACAAGCTGTTTACCGATTTGTTATATCCAATTCCATCAAATGTGAATGGAAGTAGTGGACATGAAAACCCCGGTGTTATTAATGGCTTAGCTTTACCGTATGATGAGACGGATGGTGGTATACAGTTTTCAGCGTATGAAAGGGAGGTGTTCAACGTACTAAGACCACAGGCTCACATGGCAGAACAGGAGGAAACAAGGGCCAATTCAGACACAACAATAAGGACACCTGATGAAATTATTATTGAGACTGCTGAATCAAAGATGCCAGAAGATGCAATAAAGATTATTGAAACACCAGTGCTCACACCTGAACTCAGAGCTTCGCTCAACATTCCGACAAATGGTATACAAGTTACCTCACTAACAAGATTTTTACTGGACTACTATTTTAACCATGTTGCAGATCTTATGACGGTTGTGATGTTTCCAAGAAATCCTTGGAAGACCATCTACTTTCCAAGAGCAGTACTTGCACTGGGAGATTTAGCAGCTAGAGGGAAATCTTCTAAATCGAGGATGTCGTTGCTCAATGCGCTTCTAGCCGTTGTGTGTTTCAATTTACAGTCGAAGTATGAAAAGGGATCCACAGAGATGAAGTTCTTCCTCGATTTGGGAATTCAATTTAGAACTCAAGCAACTGCGTTCCTGAAGAAAATGCTCCAAAGTGGAATCAATGCCTCCAAGATGCAAGATGAAAGGTATAAAGATGTGATCGTTGCTATGCTTTCTATGAATACGATCGATGTTGTTTGGGGAACAATGGCAGACTGTCAATATCATTTGTCGTTGTGTGGCGAGTTCATTGCTCAGAGGATGGCTATCAGACCTCAGTTGAGTAACAAGGCAAAGTCACTGCATAGAATATACTCATTTTTACGGCTGATTCAGGATTCAACCAGTTTTCAAAACTTGGAAAACATCAATGAAGAACAAAAGAACAAATATCTGGATATGCTGGAACATTCCAATGCCAATAGAACGTGCAAAGGTGAATTTCAGGAGGTGATTTACCCAGATGATGGGACAATAGGGATCGTCTTCGTAAAATCTGATACTGCTGTGACGAGGTACGAACCAAACTTTATTAATTGCAACAGATCAACCACTGAAAAGGGTACAAAGCTTTTACTCACAGAGGCTATGTATGGCATTACAAATTCACTGATTCTGTTCTTCAGTGAGGCTGTCAAACTACTGAAGCTGAAGCTCTACCTTGAGAAGAATGGTGATCCCAAAGACAACCTAAGATTCAAAAATGTCTGTACCACCTTTGAGAAGAGACTAATAGAATGGCAACCCGAATGGATCCTAAAGGACGATGAGGGTAATTTCTTTACGGATTTCCATGAAGGTTTACACCATCAAATCCACTCTATGCACAATGCTCTAATTGTGTACTATTTCACTCTCATACGTGAACTTGGCGATATATTCCTTCAAAAGCACTGCACAGATTGCATCTCACACCTGGAGAGTCTACTGGAACTCAGCAAAGATAAAAATGTGAAGATACATTCAATGTTCTTCCAAGGCTTCATCGCAGGGTGTTCAGCGACAGATGCAAGACTCCAGTCGCGTTTCAGAGAGTGGGCAGTGAAGTTTGTGAAGCTAAGTGGAATCGGGTCCTATTGGGGTACTAGACAAATCATGTTCGAAGTATGGAGACGGAGAAAGAACGCAGAGCCAAATGATAACTGGCTGAGCGTTCACAGAGATTGGGAGATGAACGTGATGCTTTCATGAGCCTTACATAGTGCACGAATTAAGAGAAACCAACTGCAAATATTTCAGTCACACCTACATTGGAGCGGTCCATGGGGCTGATGGTGACTATAACTGCTATCGTATATAAACGAGCGGACCCTTTAACCCCCACATCTGCCAGCCTGTATCAGTTAGAGAGGCTCCATCAAACTCAGGCCCGGCTGTTCATTTACCTGTCCAGTCCAGATGATTCACAAGTCAAAAGATGACTCATGACTCATGAAAAATTTCCACATATGGGAAAATCACAGAGTCATGTCAAATTTTGCGCTTGCGAGTCACGGAAGCTCACCGAGGGCCAGTTGAATCATCATCTCAGGGTGTGGGACATATATAAAGAAGGTAGCGAGACTAATTTCTCTTATAATCATCCATGAGCGAATCCAAACCTCGTGCTCTGTTATATTGGATAGTTTCATAGCTATGAGTGAGCTAGAGGATAAGCATTCACTTCAGGTGACCAATGAGGAACAATCACAGACAGACGTTGTGGAGTTCACCGAGGAGGAGCTTGCCAGACTGGAGAAAATCTACATCAAGCTGGATTTGAGAATCATTCCGGCGTTGTGGTGTCTGTACTTCTTGACATCGTTTGGTTCTTCTGCGTATGGTAATGCCTTGACGATGAACTCTGAGGCTGGTCACTCTCTGAGACAGACCCTCAACTTGACTGCTAAGCACACATCAACGGCTTCTGCTTTGTACTACGTTGGTTACATCATTTTCGATGTGCCTATGAATATTATAATGACCAAACTGGCTCCACAGGCATGGCTGTCGCGTATTGTGATGTCTGTTGGTTTGGTGTATGCTTGTTACGCTGCTCTTGATTCTGCAGGCGGTATCATTGCCATTAGATTGATTTCTGGTATCTGTGGTGCTGGTACCTGGCCCGGAATGAGTTACTACATCTCTCTATGGTACCCTCCGCAAAGAATGACAAGACGTGTTGGTTATTACTTCACAGCTGCTCAATTATCTGCTGCTTGTGCAGGGTTGGTCGCCGCAGGTTTCCAGAGAATGGATATGACACACGGTAAAGAAGGATGGAGATGGTTCTTCCTTGTCTACGGTGTCATCACGGTTTTCGTCGGTGCTCTTCTTCTCTTTTGGCTACCAGATAACCAAAGGGACAGAGAATCCAACTTCAAGATCTTCAGAAAGGTAAAGGCTTTGAATGTTTACCCACTTAATGACGAAGATAGATTGCTTCATGAAAAGGATATGTCACAGTACAGAACTAAGCTCACATGGACCGCAAGAGATATTTGGAACATTTTGGTCGACATCAAGGTTTGGCCATTGATCATCATGTACTTTGGTGTGGTTGGTACAGGTTATGGTCTAGCTGTGTTTGGTACCACTTTGATCAGAACCGTGTTGGGTGTCAGTTCCATCGATGTTTCCCTGCTTTACGCGCCTATCTGGTTATTCGACCTTGCCGCAATCCTTCTCATCACGCCACTTTCTGATATATTCAAGAAGTTTAGACCACTTATCTTCTCTTGCTCAACCGTTATAATCATTGTCGGTCTCGTTGTCTGCACTTATGCGGGCCCTAAATGGAGTCGTTATGGTGGATTGCTCATCACAGGTTTCGGATTGGGCCCAACTGTTCCGACATGTATGTCCATAACAGCTGACATCTTTGGCCGTAAGCACGGTGACATTGGTGTTGCTGTCTCAAGTGCGCTTGTTTCCGGTTTAGGTAACTTGGGTTCTGTCATGGCCACTTACGCATTGTTCACTGGATGGCCTGCAGATGCTGCTAGACAGTACGAGTATTCAAACATGATATTGGTCCTGATCTGTGGTCTTTCCATCATCGCTGCATTCTTCTGTTGGTTGCTCGAAAGAGTCATCAAGGAGAAGCACACCTACTACTAATTCTTAGACTCTTTAATGCTAATTTGATTTTACGACACCTCCTCCATATTACAGAAAGCGTAGTCCACTTGATAGATTTGTAGTTTTGGCGGCATTGGGGAGCCGTAAGCGCAAGCGTTGCCTCTCCGCATAGGCTACACCCGGAAAAATTTTTGTACTCTGCAGATGGCTCAGCAGTTATTCCGAAATAACTTTAATTTATCGGGGTTAACCTGCACGCAGACACATCTCGTCATAACTTTGGGGAAGGTCAACACGTAATTGATTGGGCCGACGGGAGGGGGACGGAGCAAGAACAGCATTTCCCTTCCAATCAGATTACTATATAAACCACCACGATTGGCCTTAACCAGGAAGTGTCTATTGGGACTTATTCAACATCATCAGCTAACAATTACATCATGTCACAAAACTTAAACATTGGTACTGTCGGTACGGGAATCTTCGCCACGAACAACCACCTCCCGGCTATCCAGAAACTCAATGAGAAGTTCACACCTGTGGCTGCGTTCAACAGAACAAAGGCTAAAGCCATTGAGTTTGCTAAGAAGGCAGACATCCCGGAGCAAAATGTTCACGATACATTGGAGTCTATCATGAGTGACAAGAATGTCGACGTTTTAGACATCTTAGTCCCTGTGCAGTTCAACTTGAGCACCCTTGAACAAGCAGTGAGCCATGGTAAGCCGGCAATCATCGAGAAGCCAATTGCCGCAACTCTTGATGATGCAAGGGCCATTGTGAAACTGGACAAGAGCACCGACATTCCAATTGTCATTGCAGAGAATTGGCTATACTTAAAGATTGGTGATATCCTCTTGGAACAGCTTCCAAAGATTGGCAATGTGCTAGGTTTCACCTACAGATATACTGGTCCTTACAACAAAAGCAACGTTTTCATGAACACGCCGTGGAGACTGAAACCAGAACACATTGGTGGATATCTAAGTGACGGTGGTGTGCACCAGTTAGCCCTTCTTACTAAAGTTGTTGGTCCAATTAGTTCTGTCTCCGCGTTGACTAAACAAGTTAGAGAAACTTCTGGCAGTGACGATATCTTATTCTCTACAATGCACGCAGAGAGTGGTGTTATCGGTACTTTCACATACGGTTCCGCATTTGGGGCCACAGAGAAACTGGGGAGCTTTGTCATTTACGGTGATGCCGGATCCTTAACTGCTGATTTCAGTGCTGGCAAACCTTTGAAGATCACCGTGATGACTGGTGACTCGGCACAGGAATCAAAGGTTGAATCTGAAATCGAATTTAAGGAAAACGATACTTTCGGTTTGGCTGATGAGTTTGAGAATCTACACGAAGCCGTCACTAAGAAGGACAAATCTGTCATCGTCTCTACCCCGGAAAAGGCATTCCATCATTTGGCCATCGTTGCTGCTGCTTTGGAGTCTTCAAAGAAGGGTGGTGACTCTATAAAGGTCCAGAAACCATAGACTTTGATCTTTGCCTCCCCATGGAAATTTGAATATATTGACCCTATCAAGATGTCATAAGAAAACAATGCAAATCGTTTATTAAACAACCCCTATTTTTTAATTCCTTTGTACTTGTCCTTCGTGTAATCCCGCTGGCCTGGGTCTAGCTGGTTGTTAAACCCTAGTAAAGCTCTTGATGCTGCCTCTGTAGCTCCAATTACAGGGCGAAGAAGAACAACAGGAGTAGCTCTTAGAACAGCCATTGTAGTATCATGGGCACTTCCACTTTCGCTGATCTCAGTGCCAGCATTAATAATAGCTTCTTTAGCAACAAGTAAATTACGACCAAAACTGTCATATGCCAAAAAGAAGCCCTCCTTCAAATTTGCAGGCTGTTCAGCATAAAGACTCACAGTTTTTGGTCTCTCCTCTCCATATATTTCCTCATCATCAACATTATAGGCTCCACCACTTTCATCACCATCATAGCCCTGCGTTCTCGCAAAAGAACCCTTTCTATAGCGTGATCTAGGTGAAAGAGACACAACAGGATTGATATCGACGATAGATTCCAGTGTTGGCTGGTACACTGAACGTTGCAGGGGAGCAGCAGAACCTCTGCCTATGAGCTGTGAACTTTGACCGAAATTACGTACATCTTCATATTCAAGGTCGCTGTCATCGTCATGATAGTCATCATTATTACCATGAGCTTCATCCTGAGCAATAGGCACCCTAGCAGCTGATCCAGTCCCCCCTAAAGCCTCTTCAGCATTCTCTAGAATCTGTTGAGTGCCAGCTGCAAGTTTAACTCCAAATTTCAAAACTTCACTCGTAGTGGTTTTTGTAAATTGTTGGACACCCTTACTAATGCTTCTATACAAGCGTCCATCTTTCTTGTATTCATTAGCAGGTACAACAACTAAATCTTTGATTCCACTTCCAATTTTAGCAATGGATCTAACAGGAGCAAGTCCAGTCAAAATACCACTTAACTGGTTAGACTTGATATCTGGCATCCATAAATCATTGAGTGCGACTCCAAGTTTAGAAAACCCTGATATACCGTATAGAGTAACACTTTTCAAAACCATATCTGCACCATCTAATATGAAGAAATTCATAAATTCTGTAGTATGTCCTGATTTTAAACCCGCATAGTCAACCTTTTTAGGCTTGTAGTCAAGAACAACGTGAACTGGATTGATATCAAACCTTTGTACGTAAGGTATATCCTCATACTCATCTATGAGGGCAAAACGAGCATCTTTGAATTCTCCAAAACGTGTCAAAACTTCCAAAGTATCTTGATCCACGTGCAGACGCAAAGGAAGAACATTAACATTCAAAATAAATTCTGTCGCAGCAAGAGACACAACTGGTCTTACGGTCTTCATATTGACCTTCAACATTTTAGATCCCTTTTCTCGGTCTGAGTCTTTTAAGTAAGTCACAAATTTGTTCCAGGTAGAAGTTGGAACGTTGTCAGTGACAGAAAAATCCTTCACTTCAAAAACAAGTTCGTTGAGAACATCAAAGTCATCAATAATTTCTGAACAGCTCAAAGGATCCTTATTAGAAAGAACAGTAAAATTGCACATTACATGATCCAACTGAACCATCACTTTATGGTGTTTTGTTCTGCGAAGTTTTAGTTTCTTAATGTTACTCTTCTTTCCAACATCAATATGTGGACTGTCATCTTCAACCTTATTTGATATATCCTTATTGATGATCTGGGTAAGCTTAGAAGGATCCGTCGATAATGGTAGAGATACGATAATCGAATCAAAGACAGTTTCGCCAACAACTTGGTCAGAAGTTGTTTCAGTTCGTGCTTCACCAGATTGAGTGTGCTGTACTTTCTTCAACTCCTGTTGTTCCAATGCCTTCTTCTCAAGGCGTTTGACAGCATTGCTGATCGTCTTTCTCGTGTACTTCCAGTCGTAACCGTCGTGAATTTTGATAGTAACCTTGGAGATCTCCACCATTACAACCACAGGAAAACCAGACTCATGACCTTTAACTGTATCAACAGAGCCAGAGTTGAAGTGACTATCATTGAACAACAATGTGGAGTCGGATGTTTCAGATTTTGAATCAACTTTAAAACCGGTTTCACTCTCAAGCGCAGGATTGAAGAAAGGGTTATTATTTAGGTTGTCTGACTTGATAGCAAGATTTTCCAAGTCTTGCTCCAAAATATTAGATGCACTATCATCTGGTCCCTCATAATATCCTTCAACAAAGTCAAGGGGCTCATCATCAGCAGGATTAGAGTTGCCTGTATTCACCTCAGTTTTACCAGCAGTTGTTTCCGATAAATTGTTGTTAATGAACATGTTATTTTCAATCCCTTCAAACACGTTAATTTCATGATTTCCATTGACTTTGTATTTGAGGTCAGGCTTTATTATGATGGGTTGTTTTAGATCACTCAAGAGTTGCATGAGACACTGTGATGAGTCAGCACAAAGATTTAGATCTAAAGATTCGGAGTTGATATCCAAAACAACAGATGAACTTGACCATGGATCAACCGGAAACTTTACAAGGATATTCACCAAAAGTTGTTTGATATGACCAACTGAAACATGCCCACGAGAGCTTAGATAGGAAGCTTGCGTCCAGGATGACCTCATCGACTGAGTGCTTCGTGCAAGCTCATGAGTTACAATATTAGAAATGTCGTCGATAAGCAGTAATGAAGCATTTCTTAACTCAGATCGAACAACGACATTTGGCATCACAATAATGTCGATGTTACCACTTGGTATTACCAGTGTTGCCTTGGACTTTAATCTCTCGGGGTTCAAGCCGATAGAAGAATCAGAAATATTTAGTTTTATCTCAAATTCAGAATCTGGCTTGATGTTCTCCGAGTCAGAAATACCTTCACTATTGGCCAATGAATCCTGCTTTCCACCGTTTAACATAGAGAGCCACGTCGTATGGTAATCAATACAAGTGTTCCTCAACGATGTGTGAAAGGTTTTGAAATTTTTTGTTCTCGCTGATATCATTGGTGTAGATCGATCATCAGGGTTAATGATAGACACGAGATAGTCTATTGCATCAGCACATTTCCTCTCAATTGAGGCCGTCATTATATGAGTCTGAATACTCCCATCCTTATGCAGAAGGACTGTATTTTTCTTTAACTCTCCAATAATATCTCCAAAAACAGGCGAAACTTCCTTTATCTGAAGGTTTACGCTGTGCACTGATACTAGTAATTTGAGGAGTTGACGAGATTGGAACATCACGTTGCTCGATGTCCTAGCCTTTTTCTTTCCCTTAAACACAATGTCTGGAGCCGGTATTTCAATTAGTTTTGAAAAGTTAGAGCATTCGTTAATCAATTCTTGTAAGTCAGAAAGTGCAATAACAAGAGATATAGATTTCATTTCAAGGGACAATTGTGTCATAAGGAATGACTCATGACCATTTGTGTCAAAGGAGCGTATCTGCTTATTATTCAAGTGTCTGAGAAGCCTGATGTTCTCAACGGTGAGCACATTTTGAGCTTGACCAGATGAGTTTCTCGAAAAAACAACTTTCTGAATGGATAGTTCACCATTAGAGGATGTGTATGATAATGGTGACACCTGCAAACTAATGCCCGATGAATCAGAAAGATTGAGATTCAATGAAATGGCCGACGTTTGCACTATAATATTACCGGGCTCTTGTTTCCTGATAGGTCTCTTGCTTTTGAGCTTAGCCAGTGATTCACTGATTTGTGGTGCCAAGGAAGAAAGATTTATCACTGATTGAAAATGCTTCAACTTAAGATTAAGTTGTAGTTTTTTCGATACAAGTACTGTCAGATCATCACCCATTAATTCAAACCTTAAATCGTTCTTATCAGAGTCTTCCTCGAATTCTCCAACAACTTCATCACCTTCTGTTATGAAGATTTTGTTCAAAAAGCCATGGCAGTGTGTTGGGTTAACATACTGCACTTCGAAATGCTGTATGCAAAGAGAAGTTTCATCATCATTGGCGAATGAGCCATGATCAGTGAGAGCAGATTCCAAATTGAGAAAAACTTTCCGCACAAGCAAGTTCTTAAAGAGTGGATTGCCATTAGGCTGAGTTGATTGACCTTTTGCTTTGAATTTTGACTCAGTTTTGGGCAGTCTTCCAGAAGAATTGTAAGACGAAGCACCCCCAAATGATTCAATGATGTTCAACAGAGTAAGGGGAATTGGGACCGCTGCGATTTTAACCTCATCTATAATGATATTAACGTCTTCCACACTTGATATGCCAGTAAAAGTGGCACTAAGTTCATTGATAAACACAAGTTTTGCTCCTCCATTATTAATAGTTTTGAGTCTAGATTGGAGAACTTCTGACGCTGCACTCATGTATATGGAGCTCGCCTCTTCTTTGGAATAAACAAGACTATCATTTAGGTCATTTGGAAGTATTGATGAGGACATCATATTCTCAGAACAATCATCGTTCTCATCTTCAGAGCTTGACTGATCATCATTTGAGCTATCCTGTGATTCGTCTCTTACATCACCACCCTTGCCAGGATTAACATTTGGACGAACAGCAACAACAGTGATTCCAGACGTCTTTACTGTTCTAGTTCCGTCCAATGTAGAAAAATCCACTCTTTCAATATCCAAATCAACGGTAGAGTGTTCCATAATGACACGTACAGTAATATTTTTGATATCGATATGCAGTCTTGCTAAAGCAGCTTCGACTGCTTTTGCCATCATAGTGTTCAGCCTCGAAGTGTCACCAGCTGGACCCTGTGACAATGGTGTTGTTTCAGATGTAGGCTCAGATAGTGATCGGGAAGAGGTTTCATCATCTTCAAGATTGACATCAACCATAAGGCTGTTTGCAAGGTCAAGCGTACTTTGTGCAAGTGAAAAAGATGACTTTTGCAGATCATGATTATGCAAAGTTGATGGCGATGAGTCCAGGGCAACTGTTATATCCAAACCGTCACCTTCGATGTTGACGCCCCCAGTCATGTTAAGTTCAAGCTTAATGTTCTTCACTTTCCCACTCCTTAGGTGCATACCTGGTATTTTGAAGGCTTCTGTATCAATTTCAACATCGGTCAATGTCACTTGACTGCTTGATCCCAATGACACGTCTAGATTTGGTAGATCGATTTCTGAAAAAAGAGATAGTTGTTGCAAAACACAGAGGAGGAGCCTCTTCTGGATATTCTGAGGCATCCACTGAGGAACCATGTTCGAATGCTATCTTTTGAGTAGAAGAGAGCCAGGCAAGTATCCAACAGATCAAGAAAGGATAAAGAAAACAAGCACCTCCACGCACACAATCCAACCGATCCCAAGCTAACCGCTAATGAGAAAGTCAACAAGCTGTTAAGTCCCCACTGATTCCTCTCTTGCTTATAGCCTTCTATGTAGATACCTCCTGTGTGGCGTCCAGAATTGAAAAACAAACACTGATAGCGCTGGCACAAGACGTATTAGTATCTTTGAGCTTTGATTCTTCGAAACAAGTCTTAGATAGTATAAGATGCGATGAGAAAGAGAGAATACTCACTGACTTAGCGCCCCGGGAGTATAATTTGATAAGGATACTTGGTGTTTATACCCTAAATCTTTTGTGTCAACGGAGAAGAAACGGGTCAACTGCTAAAACCGCTTTGTCGTGATTGTTCTTGCTTATCTACACGCAGAAAAATTGGCAGAATTGGTATTGTGCCACACTCGGCTTCAGAAGTGTGCCTACCGTTCATACCGGTGATGGTAGTGGTGCACGCCTTACGCATTAACATTTAATTGGGCAGGGAGGAAGGGAGGGAGCGGAGGTGATGGCGGTGAACAATGGACGGTGTACTTCGTGTGGTTTAGCTTGAAATTCCAAGAAGAGGGTTTGAAATCGCCGAATTGCTGACTGGTTTTAAGGGTACGGTCAGCACTTTCCTACGGGAGAGATGTCACAGCAGATTGGATAATGCACGAAAATGGTTCCCACCCACTCTCCCCAAATGGCGTGGTACTTTGCAAACAATCATAGCGGGAATGCAGATTGCTGAGACATCCCAACCACCACAGATCGCACGATTAGCTCCGTGATTGACCCTATAGAGTTCTTACGCAACGTCCGCGTACATACAGTCTCGAAACCGTTGAAACACACATATGTATAACAGCATCGCTGCCCCCTCTGTGTGGACCGTCTCGGTATCCAGCACTTGCCTTCGTCTGACCGTGGGCCAGGTCCCCATTCTAGTCGCTGTAGAAACCACGAAAAACTCTACCCTACAGCTCGATCTACGCCTAAAAAATGTGTCCCCTGAACTAATTATCCCCATTTCTTCTTCCCAACCTTTGCAATTTGAAAACATCTCACCGAAAAGGGATGTCCAATGGCCGCCTTTGCAGGCATCCTTACGCAGAACCCGCAGCCCAAATATTTTTCAGTTTATTTTTGGCGTGGGTTTTGGTTGGAAAATGACGTTTTGCGCAGCGCTTGTACCTCGCTCACCCCCATTTTGGTAAAGGTGCGCATTTTCTAACACACACAAAATCAAAACAACAGGGCCAAAGAAAAAAACAAAAACCAAAAACAAAAAACAAAAAACCTCCCTCTCGTGCCACACACTCCTGCAATCGCTCATACCAACCGTTGGATCCAGAGAAGGGAGAGCGTTTCTCAAAGGGATCCTAGAGAAACAGAGAAGTCGACTCAAAAGAGCCCGTTTCCCCCTTTCTTTATCACGCATATTCGCTGGTTGACCTATACCGTTAATTCTGTTGACGGTTTTGTTTTTGTTTTTGTTTCCCCTTGTGTGTTTTCCTCTCTGAAGGGTCGATTACAAGCACACTTCCAGAGGACGCACTGCCAGTTGCCCTTGCTTCCTTCAACACAGAGTGGTGAGAGTGTCTTAGACGGGAGACGAGTCATAAGGCGATATCTCTTTCGAGCCCTTGATCGTTTTGTGCCGTGTGTCTTTGTTGTTGTGTTGACAATACGGGCTTCACTTGTTTCTGTTCCCCCCTCTCACACTTTTAGGGTTACTGCCATACTCAACGCAACGGGTCACCGATATAACGTGCATTATTAATATATTATACCACAAGAGTTGTTTGGTTGATTAGAACCATAAAGAGCTTGACCATTCATTCCTTTAACTTGACCTACTGGAGCACTCTTTTTGAACTCAAATTCAACACTCTGCTGAGACCACACACAGAGCATGCCACAGCATAGAAGATCCGCGGATCAGAATTGCGATCCCAAGAGCAACAACAGCGATAACGCGTTGAACCAAATACCGCCGGCGTTTAGCGTGCCAGGTGCTTACCCGTCAAGAGGTGGATACACGTACAATGCAACGTCTCCAATGCTGTCGAGCCAGTTTGATAGTCCCAAAATGAACAGTAAGAATGGCAATAGTAACCAGCTGTCGCGGGCTGCCTCATCACGGAGTCTGAACCAATCACTGATCACTGCAGATATTCCAACGGCTACCCGCTCGAGGAAGAAATCACAGTACTTGAAACTCATACCGCCCGTACCAAATGACAACCAGGTCCACGAATTCCAAGGCCATTTAGAGCAGATACGTACCAGGTCCCATGCCCATGACCACCAAGATCCCTACCAATATCAACATCAGCACCAAGGGCAACCTCTAAACCAACAACAGCACAAAGCTTATCCATCCCAGATGAACCCACCTGAGACGCCTCGTCAAAGACCACCAGATGCAAATTTCCAGAAGACACACCAATATCAATATCAGACACCAAATGAACATCAGCAACGACAGGACCGCTTTCAACAACCTTACCATAATCATCATCAGCGACCTTCTGATGTATCTCAATATTCAGGGACCAGTCAGCGTCAGATACAACACGTTCAAAGCACGCCATCTTCTTTACCCAACATATCTACACCGAACGTGTCCTCTGTGAGCACACCGTCGAAGCAAATTGTTTCAAATAACTCATCAACTACTGAGAAGTCTTCAAGGGAGAGCTCTATCTGTGCTACATGTCAAAAGCCAATAACTACAAAATCAGTTAAGGCACTGGGGAAGAGATACCATACCGATTGTTTTCGTTGTGCAGAATGCGGAACTCCAATCTTGTCAAAGTACTTCCCCTTCGAATTAGATGATGGAACAAAGATCCCGCTCTGTGAAGAACATTTCTACAAGAGGAGAGGCTTAATATGTTGTATTTGTAATTCTTACTTGAAGGGTATCCATTACACAGTCTTTGGAAGGAAATACGACGCCGAACATTTCTGCTGTAAGATTTGTTCTAAAAAATTCGATGCTGATGAGGATTTTTTCAATCACGAGAACGATATATATTGTCATTACCATTTCTCAAAGTTCTTCATTGACCGCTGTGAAGGTTGCGAATTTGCAATTCTCAAACAGTATGTCGAAATCTCCAGAGGTGGTCGAAATCAGAAGTGGCATGTTGAGTGTTATATGATACACAAGTGTTGGAACGTGGCAATCACACCGAGTACTATAGGCCTAATATCTTTTCCAAAAGTGGATCCAACACCCGAAAACATTAAATCATTACCAGATACCAATCCAACACCAGATCAACTAATATCAATGGAGGGGAAAGCATCAGAGAAGATATCTGAGATATGGTCAGCGCTATTTCAATTCGAAGAAGACACGGCTATGTGTATCTCGGATATGTTGCAGTATGCGACTGCTCAGGACCAAGCAAGAGGTCTAGCAGCTACTGCTAAATTGGTGCTAAAAGTTGATGCATTGTTCAAGAGTCTAGAAAGTTTACACCGTCTTGGAATTGAGGGCGGTAACACCACCTCCGCGTTGGCTACACTCTCTATCTCTAACAATGAAGATGTTACATTTCAGACTTTGAAGAAGGAACCGAGAAATTTCTCAGCAAAAGTGATGATTTATCTTGCCATTCTCAGAAAAACAAGCAAAGGTTTGGCGGACAGTAGCAAATCTCAAGATCTTATTTTGTCTGTCATTACAGGATTGGCTCATTATCTCAAGCTGTTAATACGCTATGGACTTAATAACTCGTTACAGTACAACAAGTCATCGCACACAACTAATGCTCTTGATAAATTCTTAAGGGAAGTGAGGAACCACGAGAGTGTACCGAAAGATGCACTATCTGCACTAGAAATTCCCCTGGATGCATCAGACCTTTGTTTTCACTGTCAGAAGAGTATTGAGTCTAATTGTATTCAGTACCAAGATAAGAGATGGCACATTGATTGTTTACAGTGTACGAATTGCCATAAAAATTTGCAATCCCATGGTGGTATTAGTGATGCATCGTTCAATTCAAACAGCAATTGGGTTTTATGTGCACAGTGTGCAATTGATGATCCAGATGCGAAGCCCGGTTTCAAGTCCGTGTCCAAACTTATGCAGTTGAGTTACTTGATGAAGATTGCCATTGTGAGATCGAAGGCTGTCATGGATTATGAACACGAGGGAAAGCAGACAAACAGCCAACCAGAAGCTAGAGCTACTGAGGAGTCCGAACACAACTACAGAAAGACATTAAATGAAATTAAGAGACTGAGATCAACGAGACAGAACACCAAAATCACCGATATTTCGTCGCAAGATGTTGCAAGAAGGTCGATGGTTGTGGAAACAGTCAATAAGTCTAAAGATGAACTTGAGAGATCACACGTCACCATGGAGTCGGAGGAGAATTTGTTACAGCAGAAGGTTTCTGTCGAAGATGGACTGGTCGGCCCTTCTTTAAGTAAACGGAGTTTCCACAGAGCTAAGAATGTGATTATGAATCAGAAAGTCTTGACGCTAGACGATATTCCAAGAATTGTCGCTGCGGAACATGCACGAGAACTCAGACCTAACACATACAAATATCATAATCCTCATGCAGAAGAGGGTCTCTTCAAGGGTTTGAAACCGAATAGTGGATCATTATACCGTACAAAGTCTCCTACAAGCCACAAAGCGCCTTCAATAAAGGAGATTCCTGTGAAGTACTATTCTCAGCTTTCTGAGAGGGAGTTATGCATCTTGAGTCATATTTCAATTGCAGCTCTTAACTATTTGTTGTCCAAGCAGAGAATCAACTCAGATATTGATACCAGCAAATTAATTGATTTGAAGAAGACACCAACGTTCTGGGACAAATTGAAGGGATTGGGAGGGGAGAAGAAAACCGCTAATATTAACCGTGTTTTTGGATCAGATTTGATACTTCTGGTCTCAAAAACTGGCGTGGAATCTTCACAAAGTAATGGACCTTCAAAGGTTAGAATTCCACTTCTGATTGATGACCTTTTGACTGCACTATACCAAAAGGATATGTCTGTGGAGGGTGTTTTCAGAAAAAATGGTAATTTGAAGAACTTGAGAGAACTTGTTGAACGAATTGATGCAAACCCATCGAATATTCCTGATCTTCAGAAAGAAAATGTGATACAATTATCAGCTTTGCTCAAGAGGTTCTTGAGAGAAATGCCAAACCCATTGTTGACCTTTAGATTGTTTGACCTCTGGATTGTGTCCCAGAAGATACCTGATTCAGCGATGAAGAGAACGTTCTTTGAATTGTGTTACTCTCTATTACCCAAACCTCACCGTGATTTAGCCGAGGTTTTGTTTTTCTTCTTCATGTGGGCTTCATCCTTTTCAAACATTGACGAGCAGAACGGATCGAAAATGGATGTTCATAATTTGGCGACAGTGTTATCGCCTAATGTTCTATATCCTAAACCAAGTGAAGTAGAGAGACCATCTACAAACGGAAAGGCAGTTGCAGCCACTTACTTTGATGCGTTTGCCGAAAACGAAGGTGAGAATTATTACCTCGCTATTGAAGTTGTTGATTATTTGATTGGACACAACGAGGAGCTCTCCGTCGTTCCAAAGTACCTTCTACAGATTTATGACCTGTGTGAGTTTGATGCATCCGAGGACTACTCTTCAAAGAGTATATTTGCGTCAATTGAAACTGTTCTCAAGCACAAGTCATCGATTCTTGACAACATCGGGAAGGAGTTACCAGCCGATCCAGAACCTGCTGACAATAGTGCTATTGTTGAAGGACCGTCGCAACCGGTTACCACAACTATCGAGAACTGAGCCCAGGTAATAATGCAAGAGTGACGAGTTTTCCACCACATATAATGAAAATCAAACATCAATGTTACGAACCATAAATCTTTGAAAGTTAAGAAAGCGCGTTCTTTTCCCACTGCATAAACCTCTACAAAACGTTCCAAGATAAATAGATACAACACAACCGTGTCACCGATGTGTTACGATAAATAGATAAATAGTTCAGCAAGAGCATATCAAACACCATGCTGATAGAATAACAAGCTATGGAATGTGCGGCACGTTCCAGAGCCTGGTCAAACTGAGAAATATGCAAGTGCGTCTTGTCTGTTACATGCCTGACTGTAACATGCCTAAATGGCCTGATGGTTTACACACACATCTTACGTTTGCTGCTCAGAGGACAAGCTCCCAAGTTGTTTCACTATCACCTTGCCCTTCTTTTGTTGATTCTCAGTATATGTTAGATATCTGTCAGCGCAGAATGCCACCATGAAAGTGGATACACCCACGTACAGACGAACTTTTGTAGGTAATGCGTTCCATCTTGCCCAAAGGTTTTGAATGCCTGGGGGAAGCGCAGACTTCGCAGCTTGTTGCGAGGCACCGTGTTTGGTCTTAGAAGGATCAATAGTCTTGTGGAAGGTTTTTTTGTTCTCAGACATGGCGAAGTTCTTAAAATGATAGAGAATACGAGTGGAGTGAGAAAGAGAGAGGAAAGGTGAGAAGCTGTTCCAATTTTGAGTTTTTCTTTGTTTATACCCGGAGATTTCTCGGAAGTGCCCAACGTTTTTTCCCCAGAAAAAAAAGAAACAGCAAGAGACGTGATGCTTTTCTCCGTATATCGCCGATACTACGCAACGGATATATATACAAACTTTGTCACAATTATTAACAAACTATGTAAGATTTGCTAATATAACAAGGGTCAGGCCGGTGTGTGTGTGTGTTTCTGAGTGTTAGAGGCCTAGGCACGAAAGGAAATTGATCTCATCTTCTGCCAATATCTCTGATAGCTTCCAACTCTGCACAGACGTTGTTCTTGTATTTGTTCTTGAGTGGTGTGAGATTGTTCTAAAGTAGATGTTGAAGAAGTCGTTAGACGGAACGAGACCAGCACTCGATTCTAACGACTCAAACACCTTGGACTCTTTCAACTCCTGGGTCAAATCTGATTGTGTTGTTCTGTGAGTTTTATTGACGGCCATGGATGGGGCTTGTCTCATATACTGTGCGAGGCGTTGAATCGTCGAAAGAGCCTTGCTGTAGAACGGTATCTTTTCGTTGAAGACAGTTGAGCGGAGCAACTCCAGGTCTTCCATCATTGTTGCCAAATAGTTCATCATAACGTCTTTTAAGCCCTGAGGCAACAGATCTGGACTTGTACACATGATGATCAAGTTGATAATGGTACATATGATAGGGTACTCGGCGATTTGAATGTAATGGTTCAAAAATTCCCTTGGTGGGTACAGCTTTCTGAGCTCGTTGTACATCTTCAAGAATGACTCCATAATCGACAGCATGATGAACCAGATACCGTTGTTTGGGTTGCTGAAGTAGATTTTATGGTATACTCTGAACCTCACCATCAACAAAAAGAAATGCAGATAGATGCTTTGCATGTTCCTAATTATGTCATTTCGTGGGTTGCTTAGATTGAAAGAAGGTGGTATACGATAGCCGGTAAGTTGGCGATCCACCATGATCAAGTTCTCAAGGTACTCTGCTAATGATGACCCCACTGAAGTAGGAATATCATTGCAGATTATAGTCAACTTGGCAATATGAGTCATGATTGATTCATGATCAGTCTTCTCCGCTGATATGAACGCTTTCAAGATATGAGAATTGCCAACAGGATCACTGGCTAACCTATCCAATCTAATCAAGTTTGGAATTGAGAATCTCAGTGAGTTCTTTATATCGTTATGACAAATCAGCCACCATATCTTCTGAGGTACTTCCCACTCAAGAGCATTCTGGGGAACTTTTGCGCTTTGAAGGCCGAGAACGTAGGACATGGAGACCAGCTCAGAGTCCATTGCCATCATAAGGTTCTTCTTATTAAACAGCTTCAAGGAGATGTCGGAGAGTAACAATATCTGTATGTGAATCAACTTTGGTGACTCCTTGTACTTGACGTTGTTCAACGCAGTTTTGGAAACCTTTAACAGAGAGTTAGAGTAAGAGATAACGTTATCCATATTCATGTGCAGTTCATTTTGTACATTTTGAATTGGATAGTGCAATACCGTCAGAGCAGCAATTATAGCCACCAGAGCCACGGTTTCCCAGTCGTTTGCATCCGGAACAGAGGTACTCGACAAGCCTCTAAACGATTGAAATCTGGTATCAACCAGCTTGTTATCAACAATCTCCAGAGGTTTATTGAGATAGACCTTGAAGAATTCAACAAGGTTGTGCAATACATTCATCTCTGGGAATATCTGGATAACGTCTTGAATGGTAGTTGAGTGATCGGCACGGGAAGACGTTACTGTACTCGATAACTTGGACTCCAGAGTCACCAATCTGTCAGTCAGAAGAGCCACTTGGCTCTTCAACTCAGTCACCTCTTCATCACGGTTGCTACTTGAATGGCTCAGAGAGAACACCGGCTGATCCCAGGGCTTTGGGTAGTTGATTCTCTGAGGCACAGAATCAAGCTGGAAGCTCGAGGTATGTGCCTGTAGCGAAGGTAGTCTCATCTGGCTGTGCTCTGGAACAGGCGGCGTGGTTAAAGTCGTGGCACTTGTCCTTGGAGTCGTGAAAGGTGTAGCCTTGGGTACGTATGGCAGCGGCAAGTCATTAGGCAGCTGCCCAAAGGATGAAAGCGACTGCTTTCTAACCCGCTTCTTGTGATCCGGTGAAGGTGGGTTTGGCGGCGAGGCCAGGCACTGGTCGATCCTGTTGTGTCTCGTGCACGCTCCACACGGGATATTTGTATCACACTTGATCTTCTGACGTTTACAAGGACCGCAGTTGTACGATCTTCTCGGCCTTCTCTTTGTTGCCTTGCTATGTGTCTCGTCCCCGTGTACAGTCGTCGTGCCAGCTCCGGTGGGTGTCGGAGCTGGAGAATGGCTCACCGGCACAGCGGTACCGTTACTGGTGGCATGGGTTGTGCCGTTGATCACTCTGTTGATGCTCGTCACAGGCTCGAGGTCTCCGTTCATCATCGACACGCGCGCTCTCACCAGGCAATAGGCAGACTCAGGCGGCTCCAGGGTAATGGCTCCAGTGTTGAAGATTGTAAATACACAAAGAAAAACTTGCAACAGCTCAAAATTTCCAAAAGGAGAGAACAAGACCTGTCGACCAAAAGAAACAAGGTAGCACACTCTGCAATCAAACAGCACAGCTCAAGTGAAAGAGGACCCGAAGATCCAGGACGCCCTAAATCCGGCGCGCTGTGTATCAGAAGGCGGAAACCATACGGTCTATGATACGATTACGGTACTCTCCCATAGGATCGTTTTCTTATCTTTCGCACTTGTCCCAATCGGGTCACTGATAAGTCCGAGTTACCCTACTGCTGATCGTCGGAAATACCTCAACGTCATTGCCGTGTGGGCGTTGTCGTGTGGGCGCTGTTGTGTGGGACACTATCGCATGGGGGCACTGCCAACATGGCAACAGCATAAGCACTACTACTACTACGGGTCAACAGGTGAATGGGCGTCGTAATATGGCACTGGTCGGTCTAATAGGGCAAGTCATCTAGTATACTCGGGTTCGATACTGCTGTGTCGGTGCGGGACGAGTCGTGCTGTACACGCTGTCTCTTGTTATCTGGTGAGCCCGTGAGCTCCTCGCTGCTCGCCTTCCGCTTCTTCTCAATATTGTCATCACCGTGTTCCTCGGATCCCTCTCTATCAGAGCCAGCGACCTCAGCTGCTGTGGAGGAGGGCTTTTGCTGTGACTCTGTGTGTCTCAAGGCCTCGAGCTCCTTGCGCTTGGCCTCTTCTTCGGATTTCCTTAGTTCCAGCTGTTTCTTGACGTCATCCAGTTGCCTTTGTCTCTTAGACTCAGCTTCTTCCAAGTTGACGTACATGTTTTCCTTCTCTTCATCCTTGTTCGACACTTCTTGGTCAAATGAGTTCTTCAGGCTTGGATCGAAAAGACCTTCTACCCCTGTAGAGGCGTTGGTATGTGCGTATTTGAACAGGTGAATGCTCTTTGCCAATCTCACTGCCTTCCATTGTAACATATCGTGCTCTTGTCCGAATGTGTCCTTCGCCCTTTCTCTCAGAGTCTCCAAAGTTTGTTCAATGTCTTTCCTTGTTCCTTTAGATTTATCTGTGACGAGTAGTTCCAGTCCAGTTTTGATCTTCCAATGGTTTGATATCTCAGCAGTACCATATTGCGCCCAATACCTTGGTTTAATGGCAATCGTCTTTTTATACGTATCCCAGAAGTCATCACTCAGGGCAAAGTCCTCGAAAAGAACATCAAAGCTTTTGAAATTAACAGCCTTTTGGTTCAAGAGGGACAATTGTTGTTCTTCCAAAAGTGATAAAGTTTTTGCCAGTTCTGGATAGATGCGTTTCAGCAGAGCTTTGACATTATTCAACAAATCTTTAAAGAAGCCTAAGGATGATGGAGTGTACTTGCTTTTGAACCTCTCAAATTGACGTGATACAATACGATCAACCTCGCCGAACAGAATATGATTGACATGGGCCAATGAAATGTACAATTGTACGAGGAAGATCTTTCTAAATGAAGTATCATTCTCCAGCTGTTCGTTGAATTTCTCCTTATCAATCAGGAAGAGAGGGTTGAATCCTCGTTGAGAGTACTCCACCAAGCGAGCCTTTTGTTCATCAGTGAAATGTACTGCCTCATAGATTTCCAACGAATTCCCACGTGGTTTATTCTTGCGAGCAAACCCTGGAGAATTACGTATCTTCTCTTCGATACGGCGAACAGTGTCAAATGCAGATTCAATTTGTGTTCGACAGCTCTCTGGTCGACTAAAGGATTGGATGAAGTGCAGTGGATCTTGGAAAAATTCCTGTAGGTCCCAAAAGGAGAAGAAAGAACCGGACTCATTTCTATCCAGGTGATGCTCTCTCTTCAAGTTCAAATTCTGATCAAATCTCTTATTGATTGTCGACCGGTTGAAAAGCTCAAATATCTGTGCAGTGAACAGGAGTATACGATCCTTCAAGAGATCCCTTTTCGGCTCGTTATTGCAGTTTAACTCACGGAGTTTCAAGTTCAACATGATCATCATTGTAACACCGGAGGATCTTGTTGGTGACAATCTTTCATTATCCTTCAACATAGCGAGCTCCGCCGACCTCAAGTCAAAATAGGGCCAAAACTCCAACAGCCAAGTCACCGTTAAGCCTGATATAATATGACAAACCAAGATATATGGCAGGTCAAACCTCGCCTCACCGTTCTTCTTCAAGTAAAATGACAGCTCCAACAACAGTGAGATTTGTCTGTAGTTATAATTATTCTCAGAATCCCTCAGGTTAATGAAATTGGCCAGAACTTTCGAGAAAGTCAGTTCCATGTACAGGTTTTTACCACCTTCAGTGACTTCCTTGAACCCATACTGTTCGTCAAACAATGACAAATCAGTCAGTGTAGGTGTTAGATTGAACGGGTCGAACTCCTCGTGAGATTCGAGATATTCTTCGATATAGTCCGTTATCGACCCGACTTTATCATTGATGATATCTTCAAATGACGGTTCATCTGTCATCTTCGGAAAGAACAAATCCCTTCTTATAGGCCTGATTTGTAGGAGAAGACCGTCTTCTTGCTGGAGACTTTTGCTTGTTTATTTAGGACGTTTGTTGTGGGACTCGGAAAAAAAAAACACACACACAAACACAGATGACCGTACATCAAATGGCAGACGCTATAGATCTAATGAGCTATACAAACTACATTGATGGAAACGATTGTGATACAAACACCTGTATATCCGTCTTCAATTAGCTTATAAATGTGGTATATGGATAATGGCATTCCTGTAGTGGCGAATAAATATTGTAAACTATGTGATCTTTCTGCACTCAAAGTGAGTTGCTCCAATGTCCGGTGGGAGGGAACAGAAGTAGTTCTAAAGTATCGAGTTAGTACCAGAAGTCGCAGCAAGGCAGCCCTGATAAAAGTGTGACAACATACTTTCCCTTGCATAGTCTTGAACAGCGTTATACCGTTAATACTCAGGTTCAGACAGCTTTTCATTTGCATCGGAGTGTTAGTAGAGGCACCAGACGGTCCAATGTAGTTACAACTTACGTCTGTCCTCCGTTCTCATTAGCCCTACATATAATGCTTCTATCAGCTTCTCTCTCACTGTGATTGTAGTTAGAATCGGATCATCCTCTCTCTCAAAAAACACGCAAACAGCAACAAAAGAAACACTTACCCGTCGATGAGATACACCGACAGTGGACTCTCAGCGACAAATTTATCAACCGTTGCTGGGACGTCCTGAACAGAAACCACTACCCCATCTGCGAGGGTATTTGATCCGCTGGAGACCTTTTCTTCCTCTTTCTTTCCTGAATTGAACCAGCCCATGATCGTGTCGCACTTGTCGCCTTTTCTCTCTTTCGAATTGGCCTTCTGCTGCTTTAAACAACAATAATGCTCGAGCTGTTACCCAGCAATAAAAGTTGCAACTGGCCCAGGGGAAATAATGGATCTCCGGTAAACGCCGTAAAATCCGGCAAGAACCGTTACGTCATGGGATGGGAAACGGTACCACTACAACACCCAAACACCTCTAAGCCCAGTGCTGTTTCCATGATGTCCAGCCAAACATGTGCCAGCTCTCTAGAGACAACTCGTATACCTGCTCTTTTCCACCCAGAACCTTTCAATGAACTACAACGAGCCCTTACGCCAGGGCTCGGAGGGTCCCTCGAAAACAAATTACGTAATCATCAAAACGTTAAGCCAGCTGTGCCCTCTGGCACAGTTCAGCACAACTGTGTTTCAGCACGTAGGCTCCCACTTGTAGTAGACATCAATTGATGATCGAACCATCTCCTGGATGAAACCACAGAAGCACTGGTGTCCGGCATGGAGAGAGCCGGTATGCTGCCCTCAAAATGGTGTACTGTGTGCATCATATGAGAGTGGTGAGAAAATTAACCTGGGAAACAACATAGGAAGCCGCTCAAAAAACATACAGGGACAGAACAACAATAGCGAAGCCGCCGCGCTGTACAGATAAGAAGCAGCTCAGTAGACGAAGAAGGTGTAAATCAATCGGCATGTCGTCGACGAAGACTTTCTCAATCACTTTCAACCAAGATTACTCGTGTGTCGCGGTTGGAAGTGAGTCCTCCTTCAAGATATTCAACGTGGACCCCTTTGGAGAGTGCTTTGAACTAGGTTCGTGATGGTCATTGTGACCGTATTTCCCATGGAATTGTGTGAGAATGCTTGGTAACTAACATGTTATGCTTTAGATGAGGGTGTGAATGTGTCGCAAATGCTGTTTTCCACGTCATTGGTTGCCGCTGTAGGGTCAGGCAGTGGTCCTTCTTCAAGCCCAAGGAGGTTGAGGATTTTGAACACCAAGAAGAAGTCGAACATCTGCGAACTCACATTCCCAACCGCCGTGTTGTCCGTGAAGCTGAACCGAAAGAGGCTAGTAGCGGTGCTGATCGACCAGATCTATATCTATGATATAAGCTGTATGAAGTTGTTACACACCATTGAAACTTCGCCAAACCCAAAGGCGCTCTGTGATCTGAGCTCAAATGACGATTCTATACTCATTTACCCTGCGCCAGGACCAAACGTTGCTTCACCTTTTAATACCGACTCTGACTCGAAGGAACCAGGCTCCGAAGTTGGTACTGTTGTGCTCTTTGACGGATTGAACATTGCACCTTTGAACATTGTCAAAGCCCATAAGGCCGAATTGGTTACACTTTCTCTCAATTCTAACGGGACTCTATTTGCAACTGCTTCAGTGAAGGGAACAATCATCAGGGTATTCTCAACGCTAACAGGAGAAAAGGTTGCACAGTTTAGACGTGGATCGTATCCGGCAACAATTCAAAACATGGCGTTCGACTTAGGCTCCAAACTATTGGCTGTGACCTCAGATACAGAAACGGTCCATATCTTCAAAGTCCACATCAAGGAAGGTACTAATCAGAGTAATAATAGCGATGATGAGCAGGACGATGAGAACGATGATGCTGAACCAAATATCTTACCAAGACCAGGTCCATTACACTCAGAACCGGAACGAAAGAGACAGCCGTCAATTACAGATAGAGTGCTAAGGAATCTACCAAAGAATATCACTTCGATGCTGGAACCGCAGAGAGATTTTGCTTATCTCAAAGTCCCAAACCATCAGAAGCAGAAAAAGTCGACTGTAGGGTTCAGCTCGAAAGACGTTGTTGTTGCAAGCTCCGATGGATCTCTGTACACTTATACCATACCTCAAAATGGAGGTGAGTGTGTTCTAGTGAATGAGTATGCATTGGACTGAAGTGTTATACATTCAGAAGAAGGAAAGGTTATATAAAGGTTTTTAACAGAACAAACAAAATGGAAATGTGTATCATAGTATTATTCAATTAAAGACCAACGTGTAGTTTATGGCCAACCATGGTCAAAGAGCATACTAACAGATTCACCGTTATGAATTCTTCTGATGGCTTCACCAAAGACACGAGAAACGTCCAACACTTCTAGCTTATCACCCAAAAGTTTCACGTGTTCATCCTGTGGCACAGAGTTCGTCACAACAATTCTATCGATGGCTGAAGCTTTCACTCTGTTGATAGCATCACCTGAGAAGATTGCATGTGTAATTAATGCGTAGACCTTGGTAGCACCTTGAGCCTTCAACAATTTTGCAGCTCTGGTGATCGTATACGAGGTGTCAACCAAATCGTCAACCAGGATGCACTCTTTACCCTTAACGTCACCAACAAGCATCGTTGTTGCATACTTCAACTTCTTCTCCAAATTTACCGACAGATCACTTGGAGAGTTGTGCGACATTGGATAAGCACAAGCTTCGCCTGTCACTGCCGGTGGCGTTGATACTGGTTGATGCAAACGTCTCTCCTTGTGAATCAAGGCGAATGGCATTCTCAACGCATCCGCAATCGCAGTAGCACGCTTAGCACCACCTGCATCTGGGGATACCATGACACAGTCTTTATAATTTGGAATTCTTGAAGTGATATAATGCTGCAAGATAGGCTTTGAGTACAGGTTATCCACTGGGATGTCAAAGAACCCTTGGAATTGGGGATCGTGAAGATCCATGGTGATGATGTGGTCTGCACCAGCAGTGGTCAACAAGTTGGCAACAAGTGTACCACACTGTGCAACCCACTGCTTATATCCGGAGTTGATAGTACCTGGGTTATCGTTATTTTCCTCGTTCTCGTTGGTAATCTTCAGCGGGATACGAGGGATTCTTGAAGATGGAGACGCCTCGAGAGGGTTTGGTGCAGACTTTGCTGGAAGACGCTCAAATGTAGGGTCCTTTGACAAAGATCTCGGAGTGTTAGGAACACTATCAAACGTGTACTCCTTCTTCGGCTTGGACACCAGCGGCGCGCCCTTCTTCGTGTATGGAATATCAGGCTGTCTCGAATAAGGAAACAGAGGAATCACAGCAGTGACTCTTTTAGCAGAGGCAGTCTTGCAAGCACTCAAAATCACCAGCAGCTCCATAAAGTTGTCGTTGACATGTCCGCAGCCCGACTGTATCACATACACGTCCTTCTCTCGAACAGACTCGTTCACACTGATGGACGTCTCACCATTGGAGAACTTCCCCAGCTTGATGCGGCCTTGTTCCAGCGACAAGTTGTGACAGATATGCTCTGTCAGCTCCGGGTGAGACGAACCAGAGAACACCACGATGTCATGCACCATCTTCTAGTACTCGATGAAGGCTACACCCAAATGTTCTTCCAACACCGCTATATCCACACACCGAGAGAGCGATGAGACGTAGCTAAGAGGCAGAGCTCTGGTGGACTTAAAGAGAAGAGAAAAAATTTTGAGCTGGCGCACCGGAGAAAAGCACATGGTACTACACTACTTTCTCCACTGCTTGTAGTAGAACAGCAGAGCTGATTGTATGAGCGGGCTGTTCACTTATTCCACCGAGGAGGCATCCAATTGGCGGTGCAACGTGTGGTAGAACAAGGCTACAATTGCTCAATGAGAGAGAGAGGCATTCCACTTGGTAGAGCAGGTGTATGTGGTGGTATATATGGTGTGGCCCATACCAAGTGCCAAATAAGGATAGTTGCCTGTTTCGGATGTTTACCTTTATTTATTTGTTGTCGTCCCGCTGCCCGGTGCTCTCGGATGAACTTACACAATACAAAGGAGTATACGCTCACTGCTGTTGATCACCAGGAGGATTCACAGGGCGAAGTACGACTGCGACGACACTGAGTGATCTGGAGGCCATGATCAATGCACTGTTCATATTCTCGCAGCGCGGAGACATCTTGATCTCGAGGCTGTTCAGAGACGGCATCAAGAGGAACATAGCGGATGTGTTCCGTGTCCAGGTGATCTCTAACCTTGATGTATGTTGTGTATATGCGCTTTGCGAGATGTCTTATTTATGAGACCGAGACACTAACCGGGACCTAGCTACGCTCTCCTGTATTGACGCTTGGATCGACGTCGTTCCTTCACACGAAGCACAATAACCTATGGGTCGTTGCGGTGACCCGGTCAAATACCGATGCGTCGGTGATATTCGAGTTCCTGTTGTCGTTTACCCAGCTGCTGGAGCAGTACCTGGGCAGCCTGGACGAGGAGTCTGTGCTGGATAACTTTTCAACGATATACGATCTACTGGATGAAGTGCTGGACTGTGGATACCCACAGTCGATGGACATCAACCATTTAAAACAGATCATTCCAATAGTTACCAATGGAAACGGTTCCTCAAAACAGATGATCAAACCGATATTGGCAAAGAGCACTTCAACCCCAGATCTCGTCAATTCCGATGTGCCATGGCGTAAGCTCGGTATCAAATACAGAAAGAACGAGATATATCTTGACGTTTATGAAAAGGTTAACGTTCTGATATCGCACGACGGTCGTATCATCAAATCCTATATTAATGGCCATATCGACATGAAGACACATTTATCAGGTATGCCCGTTTGTAAGTTTGGATTGAACGACTCGCTAAGTTTGAACAACGAGGAAGCAGACTTCTTGAGTGAGTATGACGTGAAGAACAAAAACGCCATTCCCAAGGCAGCTGCCGGGAGTGTGATACTGGAGGATTGTAAATTCCACCAGTGTGTTCAGCTTGACAAGTTTGATAGTGAAAGGGTGATCAAATTCATACCACCTGATGGTGAATTCGAGCTGATGAGATATAGAACATCCGAGAACCTGAATTTGCCCTTCAAGTTGACACCGCTGGTTTCTGAAATTGGGCTGGACAAGTACGAAATAAGACTCAGTCTGAAATCTTTATTCCCAGAGAAACTCATAGCCACTGGCGTCGTCGTAAAGATACCAACAACTTCAACAACAATAAAGGTGGATTTTGCACAATCAGGTGGTAAGTCCAAATTCTCTGCTGAGGAAGGATGTATTCTTTGGAAGTTCTCCAAATTCTCCGGCTTAACCGAGCACTCTCTTACGGCAACCGTCACACTCGCACAGTCGTCGTACTCGGACAGAAACAACTACTATCAAAACTCCCTATCGAGGGCTCCGATCACTCTGAATTTCGAACTGCTGATGTTCAGCTCATCAGGACTGGTTGTACGTTTCCTGAAAGTCCAGGAAAGAGCACAGTACAACACCATCAAGTGGATAAGATACATCGCACAAGGTGGCTCGTACGAAGTTAGATACTAATGATCATGTCTCACATACACAACTGGACCCGTTGACGTACAGTGCAACCCACGCATTGTATCATACAATAACTAACTAGCTTCACACCTGTAGAACCTATTCCGGTAAATTCCCGCTTTCGGACATTTCACAGATTTATTTTCCAGTTGTCTTGGTTACTGTGTTTCATGGCTGCACAGCAAGCCTGGCCCGCACTCCAATGAAGGGCTTTCTCGAATTCATCTCTTGTCACAATTAAACGATTTCTCCTCTGAGTATTGCCTGGAACCCATAGTCATTTGCAGTATCAAGAGGGACCAGCAAGCAGAAGAGTGCACTCCGCCGCATGCTACCTAAGAAGATAGTTATTGGCACAGTTGTGGGTGTGGTTTCATCAGCGACGCAGAGCGTTGGCCTTACACTACAGAGGAAATCGCACATTCAAGAAGACCTCATCACCTCAGCTGACTCTCGAAGACCACCGTACCAGAGGCCGTTATGGAGGTTTGGTTTTATACTGTTTCTCATTGCAAACCTGCTAGGGTCCAGCATACAGATCACGACGCTGCCGTTGATCATACTGAGTCCTCTCCAGGCTGTGGGCCTCGTGTTCAACTCTGTTTGCTCTGCCACGATACTGAACGAAGGGTTCACGCCCTACTCGATATCAGGCACGGTGTTTGTTGCTGTGGGTGCCTTGGTAATAGCGTGGTTTGGCAGCATGGAGGAGCCAAACCATTCATTGGATGAACTGTTGCAACTGATGGGTAGAGGCTCGTTTGTTTGCTGGATATTGCTCAGTTGCACTGCCATTGTTCTAATTCTGGCATGGATCAACGTTGTCAGGTTGATAGAAAAGAAACAATACGACGTTGATCACCTACCACAGTCCGTCATTGGAGTGTTAGTGCTGTCCTCAGAGAAGTTCAGATTCATTAAAGGTTGTCTTTATGGCGTTGTAAGTGGAACACTCTCTGCACATTCGTTGCTGCTGGCCAAGTCTGCAGTCGAACTCATACTGAACGCCGTTGTGAGGTCGAACTATACAAGCTTCCAAAATGTGAAGTGTTGGATCATCATTGCGTCCTTCTTCATACTGGCAATAACACAACTTGTATTTCTTAACAAGGGGCTGAGGTTTGTTTCCACGTCAGTCCTCTATCCTCTGGTCTTTTGCATATATAACGTGACAAACATCATCAATGGGCTGGTGTTCTACAACAGCTTCCAACTGCTATCGAAGACAGAGATTATGATGATCGTGCTGGGCACAATGATGGTGTTATTCGGTGTTTCACTACTCAGTTGGAGACTTGAAGACCATTCTGATGCGAAGGAGTCAAACTTCATAAGTGAACACACCTCATTGGTATCACCAGTTCTGGCAGACAACGAGAGAGCAGGATACGTCTCTTTTGGATCACCCACGGGTGAACTGTGTCCGAAGATTGACGATGAGCCTACCAGTGAAGGCCCTGAATCTCCATCATCTATGTTCAAGTACGGCTCCGTTGCGGACCATGCACAGGGTGTAAAGGGCAAGAGAAGAAGCAGGAGGGTGCTATCGTACGAACAGTCAGAGCTGCTCCATCAGTTGAACCACATGGATATATAATCACATATATAATAGTTACAATGGTTTACGTCGCTTTATGAAGTCATCTAAAGCGCCCTGTATTGACCACCCTATAAAGCCATGTGTGTTCCTTACCCATCATGTTGAGACTCCTCATCAGGTGGAATCACAAAGGCACCCGCAAGGTCCAGAGCAGGCTCATCAATGTTATGATGAGCGTAACTGAGAACACCAACACCCCCAGCATCCAGCAAAAAGTTTGGATTATCTAAGAGGTATCTGTACTTGTCGATCTCCACAGGTTCAACGGTGTCGTCGTCGTAGGACTTGACATACGGCTTACAGCTCGAATCCACTGGCGCTTCGTGCCCAAGTTTGAACCATAGGCCTGCAAAGTAACGAAGCGTGTGGCCATGGGCAAAGAGCATCACATCACAAGCTTTCCCCTGCTCAAGTGCCTTCCTGTGGACATTCTGAATACGAGCAATCACCCTGGACAGTCTCAGCCCAACCTCCCTTGTTGATTCACCGTTCTCGCATCCATCTCTCCAGATGGACCACGGCTTGTCCTTGTCCAGGCCTCTCGAAGCCCTCAATTTGATGATATCCGCTGTCTTCAACCCTTCGTAATCACCGTACTCAAACTCCCTGAGGTCATTATCAACAACAATCCTAATCGAAGCTCTCTGTTCCGCAGTCAGCGACTCCAGCACCAGCTCGACGGTCTGCAACGCACGCTTTCTTGGAGAGGTGAAGATGTACGTCAGCGACTCTGCCTTGACGAACTCAGTGGAGAAGAGAATCTTCCCTGTCCGTCTCATCTGATTCACACCAAACTCCGTCAGCGACAGGTCAGTGACTGAGGTGTACTGTCCAGACTTGGACCACTCAGTCTGGCCATGACGAACAAACAAGCAACGTGGTGTTGGAGCTTTCATTATCAGATTCTTGCTCCAGACAGCAACAGAGGAAGACCAAGACACACACACACAGAGCCCAGACTGCTCCTTTTATACAAGAGAAAGATCAGCATACGATGCTGCACTCGACGGTGGACGGGGGGCTAAAGCCGGTTGCGCAGTGGGAAGGACATCACCAGGCCGTCATCACTACGTCTTCGCACACGGGGACAGAGCGGGCGTGGCGGCCTTCATCTGGACAGCCATAGCACGACCAGCAGCAGTTGAGCAATCTGCCCAAGCGCACCGCCTGTAAGATGTTGTGATGGTGTGCCGCCGTTGGCGTAGGGAAGCTTGTAGAAGCTGGAGCTCGTATCTGGGATGAAATCAACACTCGGGTCAAGCATCTCTGGCGACGCGAGGTTGCCGTCCTCCAGCACGCCGTCTGGCACGCTGACGAAGTTGTTGGCCAGTGTGATGAGTTCGATGTTGGAGTTGGCAGTGTAAACAGCCGGCGCCACCAACAACTGCATCATATCCAGGTCGAAGACGGTGTATACGGACCTGAAGAAGGCATGGCCAAGCACAACCTTATCACCAGCTCTGGGCATGAACCCAAACATACAGTACTTCCTTCTCGGATCGTACTGTGGGTGCATTGATAGCCGTGGAAGAGCCCAGTTCTTGTCCGTGATGAAGTGAGACAAGGGGACGTTTACACTGGATGTTCCAAACTTGAAGGAGATTGTACCGTTGGTAGGACACTCCACGGCGTATCTGTTCTCTGAGAGCTGGATGCTCTCGTCAAACAGCGACAGGATGGCCTCGTACAACGGCTGTGGCAGGTACGTCATCCGTGAGCCGGTATCTGGCAGAGCTGTGATCAGTCGGCCCTCGTAGTCTTCAGCCATGTTGAATAACTCCTCTGGGTCAGTGTTGATGCACCTTCTCACTGAAATGCCCGAAAGCACAACGTCAAACCGTCGTAATGGCTTGTTGGCTCCATCTTCAGTGACGAACTTCATCGAGAGCAAGGGCGGGACGAATTTGGCCGTGTCGATGGCGCCGAATAACAGCTCACCAGAGCTGTCATCTCCATCGTTTAGCCATACGTTGAACACCGCTCTTTCAATGATGGCTTCTTCTTTCAATCTCATGGCATAGTTTTGGTGCCGGTAAGTTGGAATGCCCTTCTTCAGCTCTGGGCTCGGAATACCAAGGGCAAACACACCAAACGACGAGTTTGTTGTCTTTGATAGGCCAAAGTCGTATTCAATGGGGACTCCACCGTCACCCACGGTGAACACGTCGCTTGAATATACGCCATGTACTGATGTTGCATCCCCATATTTGATTGTGAATTCCTCCTTGGTCTGTTCACAAGTGGCACTGTCCTTGCACTCAAATAAGCCATTCTTATGACAGTTTATCCACTCCTGAGGATCAATCTTTGGGTCATTTGGCGAGTCCCCGACTGCTGGTTCACAGTATGGGTTTTCTGGACTTACAACCCATGAAATGTCTGAGCCGGTGTCCAATAGCAGTCTCACACCCTGAGAAGGGCTGCCGATATCAACATCAACGCTTATGAAGTTGATTTCGTCATAGATTGGTATACTTAAGGCCCCATCGTACAGTGCTACATTGGCTCCATATACAAGTGCTAATGATGATGCTATAAGCGCAATAGTTTGGTGCATGACTCTGGTTTTATTGTCTTGAGCAGCAAAAGAAAGGGTTCTCAAGAGGTTTCGAAGAGCAGGTCTCAAGGTGCTCTATTTATACTACTTGAGAGCATATTCACACAACCACTCAAAGAAAGCTCTCATGCTGTATACTCTGGTGCATCGCGATGTCGAGAGTGCACACAAGGAACTACATCGATAACAGCGGAATATATACAAGTTGACATTCATTGGTTCTTCTTCTTTTCCCGTATTAATGAACATACCAGAACAATCATCTTCTTCTGACTTGTTCACCGAGAATCTCAAATCTAGCCCTCGTTAGTGCCATGGCCTCCGCTCTGGACATTGTAGACTCTTCGAGTCTTTGAGTATCGGATCTAATGACAGAACCAACAGACATGAAGAGCCCGAAGGTGGCAGCAGAACCACCAATGTACTGGCCCAGTGTTCTCATAACACCGTTTGGACCTGGGCCCTGTGTAATGATGGAGAAACCACCAAAAAGGACTCCGACGACAACACCAACCGTAGTACCCATCATCGCTCCCATTTTGAACTTCTCGAAGTTGGATGGCTCATGGCCAAACTGTTGCATTTGCTGAACTGGTGGCATATTGGTCTGTTTTATACAATGTTTATACTCTTTTCTACTAAAGAAAGTACGCTGTAGTTTGATGACGTTGCTGTTGGTGACATTTTTTTCCCTCCCCGAAATCCCTCGCGATTTTCCCCACGCCGGAAGGAATTTCTTTCTACTGAGGCCAAACTAACAATTACAGGTAACGGTGTAATAGACAGTTGATGTTATATTAAACAACCATGTACCACTCAGGCTCGAGCCAGTAGCCATCCATTTCACCGAGACGAATGGCACGGGAATCGACCAACCATTGTAGTACCAATTGGGCATCTTCCACACATAGAAGTGCACCAATAGCATCATAGATTCCCGTGAATGTGATGCCAGGGCTTGATAGAATTGTCACTAGTGTTGCTCTCAGTATCTTGGTCCATATAGCTTTATTGATCTGTCCTCCAAGATCAATCCAAATACGCGAACAAGGCGACCCATGTGGGACAGGAATGGATTTGACAGGTAAACCACGAATCTCGGAAGCACCTTTTGAAAGAATGATGTCGCAGTCTAACTTATCTCTCTCAAGAAGCCTTGCCTCATAACCATTCAAGATTTCTTTTCTATAATGATCGACTCTTGTCACGTTTACGGCGTTGTCCTTGATCAGCTCTAGAATGGAAACCATACACGAGTTGTCGAAAATAGGATCCAGTATAAGTCCCTTGTCATGTTGGCACAATTCTTTTAGCACTTGTTGAAATTTGGCAACTTTCCCCATTGAAAAGTCATACGAATGATCAGTCAAAACAGCATTTAGCCGTTCACCTAGGATCGCCTTGGAATCTGAAGATACAACGATTTCCCTGCTCTTTGTCATCTTCAAGAATACAGAGTCAATATCCTCGGTTGTGAACTGTTTTAGGACATCCAACGATTTCAGCTCAAAGTTTTGACCACTGGCAATAATGGCAATAATAACGTTTCGTATGATATCCTCTTTTGATAAATGAGTATCCAGTGGGTCATCCTTATCCGTATAAGTAAACACCTGATTCACTAAATAATTCTCTCTTTGAACCATGGAGTTACTGTCATACTGTCCACTCACCGCACCCGTGGCATTCGACTTGACAAAGTTGTAATGCCTGAAGTTTTCATCGAGATCCACGAATAACTTTTCTGTGTTCTCAGTTGATACATCGCCTGGGACAACATCATTGTTCCAAAATGAAATCATAGTTTCGATATCTAAGTCTTCAACAGCACTCATAGGAATACGCTTGTCTTTTAGTCCATCAAGCAATATCTTCCTCCATGTACGTCTTGCAACTTTTATACCGGTAGGGCCCATCATCATCCGAACCTTTGGCCATCGAGAACGGAGTTCTCCTGGCAAAATACCTTCAAATTGTTCGAGTTCAGAAATCTTTACCCAATCAATTTGGTTTTCAGTAAGAGTCTTGCAAATAATGACAGCTTTGAAGAGGTACATCATCGATTCAGAATCCAATTGAGCAGAGCGACGCTTACGACCCAATTTGGAGTCGCTTTCAACCTTTTCAAAAGGTGTACGTTTGCGCTTATTATGAAGCCAATCCTCAAGGGAGTCTCTTCTATCTTTACCTGGATTTGATGCAACCGAATCATTACCATGGTGTTTCACTTCGGCTAGTTTCTGTTTTACCTGGTCCACATTCTTCTTTTTCAAACTTTTTGGTTTCACAACCTTGGCCTTATTAGAGCCAACCAAGCCAGTAGAGTGGGGTTGTGTAGACTGCTTTGACCTTTGTGATGGTGCTAATAAGGAATCTCTCAATTCCATATCGAAGAAGTCAATATCTGCTTCGACATGTTCATAGTTAGATCCCATATGATGCTTCTTATCAACTATCGATGTACCAAGCACTCTCTTGAAACTCTCAATCGTTTCTTGTGAAGCATATGGGCTGATCAGAAGTTCAACAGAGGTGCCATTTTCAAGGGTAAACTTTTCCACGAGCAGTTTCTTTTGCTCAACAAGAGATGCTGTATCCCTTGTTGAAGTCTTTTTATCAATGATAAATCCTATTTCTGAGTTCACTTCATCACGGAATGAAAACCCATTTTCCATGATTCCCTGATGGTCCTCCAAGACCCGTAGCATGCAGGCTTGTCTCTCAATTGCCTTAAATGACATACCCTGGATATTAGATATGACCAAAGGATTATCTTTTGTATCACCTATAACTTGGATTTCCTTTGTGGTTTCAGGTAATGGAGGTAATTGAGTCTTCTTTTGTTTTTTAGTAGATGTGTCTCCTTTGTCCTTAGTATGGGATCTTTTACGCGTTGGCTCGGAGTCAATGTTTCCGGAGGCATCATCTTCTGTTGATACCCAGTGCACTTTTGGCACACCGTCTATAACCTTCACAGATGGATTTGACACCAAAGGATAGAACAACGACTCATTGAGCTCAGTCAAGGAATGTACTGGAAGAGTAAGTTTTGGTAATGATGATCCAAGGTTATCTTCAGGCTGTGACGATAACCGTAGAAGATTGGGACGAGTTAGATAACGGTAAAACTTTACTCGTCCATGGAAGTCATAGTGCCTTACGATACCATAATTAGCCAAAGTGGTGGTGAATGTACCAGATGTATAGTAATCCATAAAGCGAGAGAATAGACGTGTATACTCCATTCCAAATAGTTGATTCTGTAATTCATTGGCAGACAGCCCAGTGGTTCCTCCTTTGTTGACCATTTCATAGATTTGAGATTGGAAAGGATAGAACCTGTTGAATAACGGAACATCAGATTCAATCATTGCACTATCGATAACTTGAGCATCAGCTATACTTTTCAAAGTAGTTTGATTGTAATCATCCTCATTTTCCTTGAGTTGGTCTTCGACATCTTCATTACCATCATCGAGATCGTCATCAAAGATATCATTTTCATCATTGTCACCTTTTCGAATATAATCCTTGAGATACTTCACTGCTCGAATTTTGACAGTTGGTGATTCAGGCGACATAACAATAACTTTGGAAATGTACCCTTTATCCTTCAAGTAGTTGATTGTGGATTTGAATGCGATACACAAGCGTGGTGTTTTGTCCATCTCCAATTCCCTACGCAGATCGAGAACTTGTCTTAGTCCAGCTTTAGCATCCTTCAATACTTTGACGATTCTCTCTCTGAGTTCTTGAGGTTGTGTAGTAAGAGTGTTGTCCTTTGTCTGAATGGAAAACTCGTTCAGACGAGTTTCATCAAAGAACTTCAACAGTATAAACCACTGTAGAGAACGACCACCTTTTACGATCGGTACCTTTTTGATCAGATGTTGGATCCTTTTCACCCTTTGGGTTAGACTCCTCTTGTCTTGTTTCGTGACCTTGATCAGTTCAGTTGATTCTATACCTTCAGAACGCGCCTGTCCAATTGCACACAGTAATTGGAATGCTGATGCCTGAATTGGGTTATTCCTTTCCGGTGCGCCGGTAAGAGCAACCCACAGGTAATCTCTCTTGAGCCTTATGAGTCCATTGTTGGATTGTATGTCATCGGGAACATCTTTTAGTGGGTTTCCAGACGCGTCAACGTGCTCAACATTGGGGTTACCTTTGAGCCATTGATATATCAAATTCTTGTACAGGTCATCAATAGGATGTTTCTGGCTGACAATTGACCAAACACGATCCCAGTTCACTCCATCGGTGTTTTCATAGGCAAGTTCTTGAAGGACTTGATCCACTATGGCGTCAGGATACAGGGACATCACTTGCAATTGTGATACTTTAGCAATTGTTTATGTTTGTTTATATCTCTTTGTGTTTGTTTACATATGGAATTCATTACGTTTTCCAGCTTTTATTTTTGTTTTTACCCCTGACGAGGTTCGAAATCGGAATCCCCCACATCGCAGTTTAACCACAGCAACTAATTCCGAAAATTCGAAGCATATAAAGACGAGACATATATTATTCTGAGTAAAATGGATAGTCGTTATAACCTTCATCTTCTGACGTGTAAAACGTATCACGGTTGTACTTTGCCAGTGGCCATCCATTGTATAAACGATCAGGAAGATCGGGATTGGATATGAAGACTCGCCCGTACGCAATACATGTTTGAGGCTTATCAGTTTCCACTCTAATCAGCTCTGGATGATGCGCAAAATTACCAGCTTTAATAACGACGCCTCTCCATATGGAGTATATGAAGTCGGTTGAGATGAAAGAACCTTGACTGATATCTGAGTCACCTTCCAAGTTCGAGTCAATTACTCTCGGCTCAACTATTGAGATGTACGCAATTCTGTAACCAGATTGTTGAGCTCTTTTCTCGAGCTCTCCAATGACGTAGGCATTTTGGGCCACGATAAGAGTCTCTTCAACACCAGACATTCCGCCAAATACGTTAAAAGGCGATAGCCTAACAGCTACTTTATCAGCACCAATGGCATCAATAACTGCGTCTACTGTTTCCAGTAGAAACCGTGCCCTGTTTTCAATAGATCCCCCGTACTGATCTGTTCTCACGTTACTAATAGGATCCAAAAATTGGTTGAGCAGATATCCATTTGCAGCATGGAGCTCTACTCCATCAGCACCAGCACGGATTGAATTCTGAGCCGCAATGACAAACTTGTTAGTGTAGTGATGAATTTCATCAATGGTTAGCTCTCTTTGAGCCAAACCATGTTCAAAGGCTTCTCTCTCAGAGGCTTCGTCTTTGTATAAGCCTGCACTGGCAGACACATAGTCATAACCATTTCTTTTCAAATACGCTGGAGATGCTTGTCTTCCAAGGGAAAACAATTGAACAAAGACATATGATTGATTCTCATGAATCGTGTGAAAGATTTGTGACCATCCGTCGATTTGGTTCTCTGCCCAAATACCAGGTTGGTTCAAGTTAGCATCCTGTGGAGAAACAGCAATGGCTTCAGTAATTACCAAGGTTCCAGGTTTTGAAGAGCGATCACGGTAATACTGTACCATGATTTCCTGTGGTACATTCTGCTCTGCCCTGAACCTGGTTAAAGGTGCCAGAACAACCCTATGGCTCAAAGTTACCGAGCCCACTTTCAAGGGTTCAAACAATCGTGTATCTTTCAAGCTTAATGGTGCTGGAAATTCCATGGTTTCTTACTGAGATCAGACACAGAAAGTTATATTGTAAGCTAACTTTGGTGAACTCGTCATTAGCCTGCCTTTATATAGTCCTTGGTGATGTCAAGTTGATTTGTAATCCTGTTATGCACTCCCCCATGCTAAGATAATGGCACATGTTGCTGATCAATTTTGAAGGTCTAAAACACCAAACATTAGTGAGAACCTATCACAGATATAAGAAGAGAAAGAGATCACTCAGTGCTCCCTCGTAGAGTGTAGAAATATATATTCAGATACAGCTAAATGGTTTCGTTCTAGCCAATAATTCACTACAATGCACAATTCATGCAAGTTCAGTTTAGACCGGACAGGAACAATTGCTGGCACACCTATCTCAAAAAGGAACGAAACATATATGCCCTTGATTAAAGACCATTGCTCTCATGGTGATGCAAAGACGTGCTTGAAGTTGACCGTGACGGGAAGACCTTGCACTATGCTCAAGGACTAGTTTTGGCGTACCCAGGTGCATCCTGTGGTAGTCAATGTACGCTCGATCAGTGCCAATGCTGAGATGCCAGACAGCGTACAGCCAGACAGTTTACTGTCTAGTATTTGATAGTTTAATCCTTCACAGAAGATCAATTGCACTTATTAGGCCACTGGCACAGATTTGGCCCAGTGTAAGCCCTGGTGTTTAATAGTGCCTAACTACACATCTGGGTTAATATTATCTTATAATATGTAGTACTCCAAATGACTACCAAAGCTGGATCGCGTATTTGAGCAGTCGAAGATGCAACACCATTTGAACAATACCAGGGTTAGTGTATTGGTCACATGCTATTGCATTCTTAAAGGCTCATGAGTGGACCGACTTCCACCATCCATCAACCCATGTGTTCTCACGATTCCTTGTCATGACACCATACTTTTGCCGTGTCCAGTGAGGCTTCATTGGCACGGACCTCGCAATGTCCCACCAAAGCGAATATGTAGTTCTAAAAGCAGTCTCTGCCGCATCAAATTATTTTACATACATATGTCCCGTCAAAAGGTATAGCAGGTTTGTGAGCCAATTGGCTTCTCCCTCGCACCCATACAAACACGCATTATATCGCTTCCACAACAAGGCCGACGTCTCAATTGGCCACGAGGACCATCACGGTCATCGTACGAGGCTCGTGAATCCTCATTGGATCATTTGATAGCCGACCCTAATTCCTTTGTGCATGCGGGTAGAAAATGGACAAATACACAGTACAAAACTGTGGCTTCTTGACCGAAACGAGCATGCAAAGCGGGACATCTCACCATGGTAAACAACGTTAACAATGAGACTGATTGGTATATAAACCCTTCAGTGGATACTGTATTCTTCTGGCAATGTGTCCGGCTCCATATCTCCCTACAATAAATAAACAGAAATGACAGTTAAGAGTCCAAAATCCATTGCAATTATCGGTGCCGGCCCTGGTGGCTTGGTCAGTGTTAACGAGTACCTCAACACCAAGCTGGAGGATGGTACCCCAGCTTTTGATAAAGTTGTCGCATTCGAGCAGAAAGGAAGCGTTGGAGGTGTCTGGGTCTACTCTGATGAACCTGATGTCGTCGAGGATGACTTGATAAAGTCCCAGTATTGGAACGCAGACACGGTCCACCCTGAGATCAAGGCGCCAGAAGGCGTTGAGAACCACACTGTTGATAATCCGCTGGAAACTGCTCCAGCTGATAATGCACACCAATGGAGACGTTCTGGTGTTTATCCAAACCTGTACACAAACGTTTCTCGCCGTTTCCTTAGATTCTCCTCTATTCCATATACCCCAGGTAAGGAAAGAGATGTTATCGGCCCTCTCATCACACACGAAGACGTCAACGAAGTCCTGGAGACGTTTGCCGATGAGCACAAATTGAAAGAGCACATCAGATTGAACACACAAGTTCAGGATGTTCGTAAGGACGGCGACCAGTGGGTTCTCACTTTGAGAAAGACCGGTGGTGATAAAGACGAATGGTATACAGAGTCGTTTGATGCTGTCGCCGTGGCTTCAGGCCACTACTCCACACCATACATTCCGTATATTAAAGGGCTGGACACCAGAGCAAAGGGATCCGTATCCCATGCCAAGTCATACAGAACTGCTGAGCCATTCAAGGACAAGACGGTCTTAATCGTTGGTTCTTCCCTCAGTGGTGTCGATATTGCTCAGTACATTGACCCTATCGCTAAGGTTGTCTTTTCTCGTACGCCAGGTAAAGAGGAGATCTACAAGTGGATCACAACCGCTGCCGAGAAGGCTGATACCAGACCTCGAATCAAGGAGGTGAATGGAGATCTTGTTACTTTTGTAGATGGCACTCAACTGGTTGTTGATCATATCATCTTTGCAACGGGTTACCACTGGCGCTGGCCATTCTTGAACGACAAGTTGATTCAACAGACCAAACCAGGCTATGAGGGAACTACAACTTCTGCATCCCGTGTTAAGGACTTGTATTGGAATATCTTCAACATTGAAGACCCAACATTGGCCTTCATCGGTGTTACTATTGGTACTACAAAGTTCCATTCACTTGAAGCAGCAGCAGCAGCAACTGCTGGTATCTGGAGTGGTTCCAAGCAATTGCCTTCAAAGGAGGAACAGTATAAATGGATTCAGGATAGAATTGCCGAAACTGGTGACAACTTATTCTTCCACTACTATGAGTACCATACGATCAAGGAGAAATGGTTTGATCCAGTCATTGAGAAGTTTGCACAAGATGGCCGTGTCAACCCACTTGAAGGTGAAGACATCACAGATCTTGACAGGGGGCTAGAGTCTGCTGAAAAGACCTATTACGGTGTCAAGAACCGTGATCCTATCTACAATTCTCTACACTAGGCCTACTTTATGAATGATTATCTATCGAGTTGTACTTTGACACCCGATCATTAGAGAAATATTTAATATAGTATAAATCATGAATCATATATGGGACTAGAACTTCGTACCAAAGAACTGCTGCGTTATCAATGTGTGTAAGTACTATGTGCTATAATAAAAAAAGTGACTATAGTAAGCTAGAGCTTCAGCCTTCAACTTGAACTGGTTGAGCAGTTTCAACGGTTGCTTCTTTTTGGTTCTTTTCTTCTTCTTTCTTCTTTTGTAGCTCGTTCAGTTCGTCCTCCGTCACTAGGTGATGGGTGTGCGTCTCTGGTTGTTTAACGAGCTCACCGTCAGCGTTAGCATGACAAACCTCTATACCTTCAAACCATGGATCTGTAAGAATATCATCCATGGTTGCTCTTTCTGATGGATTGAGTTCTAACATCTTCCCGATGATTGGTCTTGAAGCGTGTGGTAAAAGTCTCATCAAACGATATGGTCCCTTTGAACGTGATTTATGCTCTGGATTATCAGGATTAGGTTCTGGCTTCAATGAAAACAACTTGAAGGAGTTATCTGTCTGTTTTGGTGCCTTCCAAGGGAAACGTCTCAATGTCATACAACAAAACATAATAGCAACTGACCAAATGTCCAAAGGTCTTGGATCGTAATAGCGCTCCACGAGCACTTCCGGTGCAAGGTAAGGATCAGAACCAACAATTCCCTTTGCCTTGACGATTTCGTTCTCGTATGGGTATTTGAACACAACGGCAGAGCCGAAATCGATCAACTTTATGATACCAGACTTGTTAACGACACAGTTATCCAATTTCAAATCACGGTGTGCCAATCCCATCCCATGGAGATAGGCAGTTCCACTGACAATCTGTTTGAAGCAACAGTGTATTTCATGCTTTGTCATCAACCCACTCATGACAATGGTAAAGAAATCATAAGGTGCAAATTCCATGACAACCAAAAAGGTCATGCCTTCCTGTAGCATATCCAAGGTCTCTATAACGTTCTCGTGGTGCAATGTAGACCCAACACAGAATTCACTAGTTACTTTCTTGGAATAATCTGCATCGGATTCACGGTCGTTCTTTGGTCTGAACTTCTTCACAGCGTACAGTTTACCGTCGCTTCTCTGAACAACATTCACAGAACCACCGGCACCTTCACCCAACATCTTACCTGGAATACCGTACTTCTCAACCAACTCTGATGCGCTGTCAACCCCAACTCCAAACACCATCTTGTTGTTATTTGGCGATGATGTTGATGATTGCGATGGGCTTAATGTGTTGAGGAACTTTGACACAGTTTTTGATTTACCCTGGAGTTTCGACTTCTGGCTATCACTAGACGAACTCTTACTGGTTTTGGCCTCTTCTTTATCCTTCTTGCCGGCCGTAACCTTCTTGAAGAATCTCTTCAACCCCAATTTCCTCTTCGTCTTCGGGTCCTCATGGTCATGAGAGACCTGTGGGCTTGGATTAATCAACGTGGGGGAGCGTGAGCTTGGCTTGCTCGAAAAGATCGAGTTTCTAGAAGTCTTTGGCGTGAGCTTCACACCTTCTTCCTTCATCACACTGCCCTTCAGCTTACTCTTTGTGCTATGAAAGATCCCCTTCTGCGTGCCATCCGCAGACGTCGACGACGATAGTGACACGTGCGAGCCCGAGCGGATCGAGGCTGATGGTCTAACCGCAGAGTGCTGAGACGAATGCGAAGCAACGTTCCTTATGCTCAGCTGAGATACATCCAGCTGTTGCTGGTGTTGGCTTTCCGTGTTCTCCACCATTTTTCTTGTACGCTTCTTCTGTTTTTCTCAAACGGGGTGAACAAGTTCTCAAAATCAGCCTGGACGTGAGGGGGGTATAGTGACAACGGTGTGTAGCTGTGTTTCCTCAGGGTATTGGTCTATAGCGCGCTGAATAAACCACCAGCCGTGATGTTCCAACTCCTTAATCGTAGGAAAACAAAATAAGCCAAATCAAAAAGGGGGTTAAAACCAATGTTCACGGGTCGTAAAGGAGTTTATAGCACAACTCCCATATGATTAACTCCGTTCTTTTTCCCTCAATTGTAGTGAACTAGAAACAAAAGGAAGAAGACGAAGAAGAGTAACAAGAGGAGGAAGAGGAAGCAAGTGTGGGAAAATGATGAGATGCTCCCCCTTCCCTCCATGCCTTTTATTTCTTTTTCTTTTTTTTGGCCTTGGGGTCGGCTTCTCCTTTGGGCTTGTGCGCTTCCACCACAGATCACACACACGAACGAACACGAATCACGGCAGGGCGGGAGAGAGCCAGTAAAGGGGAGCTGGAGGGGGGGGGGTGGCTACAAGGGCCTCATGGGAAAATTGGGAGCGTGCACGCACAGAGCGTCTTGCTCAAAGCATGCGCTTTTCCCTCTCTGGAGGTGAGAGGCTCGGCATGGGAGACAGGAAACACGAGCGTCGAGGAAACCGGCCGAGCTTCGCATTCGCACGGGCGGGGGACCCGGGGCGATGTGAAACAGTGTGTGGTTCACGCTGTTCATGTGATGCTTGAATAGTTTTTATACCAGATCTCTTTCCCACACAATGGTACTTGAGACGTGGATGTATCATCTATGCCAACTGACAACGAACCACACCAGGGCTCCGTCCGCTACTCAGCACACCTACCGGCTGTCCTTTGCCCCACGCTTGCTATGACGTTTGTCCTGCTTTGGTGTGGGAACTGGCACGGTCGCTGGACGTGGATGTCGGCCTGCGGCTTTAGCGAGTGCCGCCCTTCCCCCTCCCTTCAGTGGGCTTAGGCTGATACAGTTGGTAACGGCTGGGCAGGTGATGGTTGGAAGTGGGCAGAGAGCCCAATACAGCCGTTCCAACGGATTTGCAGAAAAGCTGTTACCCGATAGGACCTCGAGGTTTCAATGGCACAGGACGCCTCGAGGTCCAGAAGGCTTACCACGTTACGGATCAACGCCGGCGTGGTTCCTGTAGATAAGGGCCGTGCCTACGACTTGGACGGCGGCATCGCTATCACCACGGATCTAGAGTGGGAATATTACGTGGGGATTCAACCAGATATACAGAATCGTGCCGATCCAGCATTGTGATGCGAATTAAACGGCCTTGACAGCAGAATCACATGCACGTCCCTCATTATCTGGTCTGGACCGACTTCTGAGCTACGTAGGTCAGCAGTGGTGATTGTGGACTTAGTGAAGGGAGCAGAGATGCGTTGAAATACGTTATATGTATACAGAGAAAGACCAACAGTTTCCACTGTCAATATACGTCAAATAAAGAGAAAAATATGAAAGATACCGGCTTACTAATTTGAAGAGAATAACAGGACAAGAAAAGAAGGCAAGGATCGAAACAGGATGAGGAAAGACGCAAACGAATAACAATAAAGGGTGCTCAAACGACTCTAGAAGCTCTTCTTGATGCTGTTTTCATATTATGAGATTCGTGCCCAGCTGCGATCAAAAGAGCCTGTGTCTCGTCATCGTCATCGCTCAACTCATCATCAGGTCTACTTTCAATGATGGTCTTGGAATACCCTTGCACTTGAACAACACTCTCAATGATACCTCCAGTACGATAGCTATGTTGTTCCATGTTTTCAATCGAACCAGAGCGTTGAACCGAGAGGTTCTTTGCATAGTGCCCTTGAACATCAGATGGATCTGCCAGATCTGTGGATACTCTGCCCGTGACATGTGTGTTCAATGAACTGGTACGATTTGTTAAAAGGCTTCTATTACTGTTAGAAGTGCTGGTCCTTACAGGAACCCTGTCATTTGTGCCATAATCAGGAGATGTAGGTCTAGAAAGTGGAGTCTCTTGTGTAGCAGGAGGCAACAATGGCTCCGCATCGTTCGTGTCATCTGGATCATCCTCATAATCATACCTTAAGGTGGAAATCTTACGGGCCGGTTGTTGCTTCTTGATGGTGACAAACGTCTTGTTCGTTTCAAGTGGATTGGATGCCAAGTTATGTGGCTTAAACTGTATTGTAGCGTTTTGTTCATCACCGAGATCAGCATCAGCTCCAACTTCAATGGATGCTCTATTGCTGTTGGTGTATAAAGAGTGTAAGTATTGCGTGAGATGTCTCTTCGCCAATGGACCAGGCTCAACACGTTTGATGTTTCTATCGATATCAATGAAAACATCCGATTCATCAACAATCTCCTCACCAATCAACTCTTCGATGACGTCTTCCAAGGTTAAAACACCAATGCCTCCGTCGGAGTCACCAGGGCGTTCACTCACAACAACCATATGTGATTTTCCCTCTTGGAAATAGTTTAGAATGTTCAAACACGATGTCTCAGGAGGAGTCTCCGGGAGTGTTGCCAACGGGAAGGACGAGACCGGTAGTGCATCTTCAGGGTCATAGGAAATCAACACACGGACGAGTAACATACCAATGAAGTTTTTTGGTTCGTTAGGTAGATGAATTGGGATTCTGGAGAACCCAGAGTTGAAAATATCCTCCACAGTCTTCTCATCGAGGATGGCATCAGAGCTCATTGTAAAGACGTTCTTCATTGGAGTCATAATATCAGATACTTTCTTCTCCTTCAAGTCTAGCACAGCGCTGATAATCGTAACCTCATCGCTGTTTAACCTTTCTACACCCATGGTTCTGTGAAGTGTGACAAGGGTTTTCAAACCGGATTTCTTGTAAATCGTGCCATGATCCTCACCGAGGATAGTATCCAACAACATTGCGATTGGGTATGCGACAGGGTACATCAAGTACATCAATCCAAGTACAAACGGCGTAAAGAAAGCACCGATCTGAAGACCGTAACGGACACAGACTGATTGAGGAATGACTTCACCAAAGATCACAATCGACGCTGTAGAGCTCACCACGGCGGGCCAACCACCACCCAAGACACGATCAAGAACAATTGGTAATGTTTCATTTGTTATAACGTTTGACAAGAGCAAAGTAACCAAGACCCAGTGCTTACCGCGGTCGATCAACTTCAACACCTTTTTGGCATTCTTCTGTTCAGTTGCGTCCCCGGAAGAGGAGATAACCTTTAGGTACACCTCATCTTGACCCATGAGACCAAGCGTTAACCCTGCAAAGACACCACCCGCAAGCACCAAGAAGGCAGATATAAACAGGTACCACCAGTACTGCTGTGGAGTTAAAGGCTCATGCTTCTCAACGGAAACTTTGGTGGCCTCTCTAGTAAACAGACCTAGAGGCAGTGCCTGGGCCAGGCGAGGCACAACACTCATCGTGGAGAAAAGGCTTGCTATACGACCATTGTTGTTGATAGTTCTCCTATTCATAAACCTTATGGGCGACGGCCTTGACATGGGTTCTTATAGTAATATTCAGAGATAAGAAAGAGGATCTTTGAAATATCTGGGAAAATGTACGCTTTAATAGGGGGTGTTTATGGGAAAGGAGACACCAATTACACAGTTTTTCTCATAATTTGCCAGAGTTTGTGTCCTGTGTGCCCAGTGCGCGTGTTTTATTTTCTCGAACTTTCGGATCCACTGCCAGAAAATCGAATTAGGGCAACGTCTGGGCTCAGCCGTGTGATTATGTGGTCGGAAAATCTGGGCGGGAGAAGCCAATTACTGGTACATGCACGCACGGGGGGAAGAGACTTAGGCAGTGGACACGATGACTTTTTACATCGCTGATACCAGCACAGTTCTGGCTGTCTGCAGGGGAGGGGCGAGGGTCGTCGTTTGCAGAGTTCTGTAACAAATTGCACGTGTTTCCATCACTAGCATTTAACCACCAGGGACGTAAACATCCTGGGAGATTGTCCGGATTATCAGATCGGATAGTTTAGTCCTATTTTAATGATTAGGATTCCCGTTCCGTCATCACGTCTTGGAAATAATGGGAGTACGATAATCTTAGGCTAAAAAATACGCAAGAAAACACATCCACCCACAGCTGTAAAGGAAGAAATCATAGCCTCTCTCCCTGTAATTGGAGGTGGATTGATCTCAGCCAGTGTTACAGGCTTCATGATGTATGTCAGCTTGTGTAATGTTACCTAAAAGTTACTGGCATAAGTGCTGCTTTTCTTTTTTTTTGCCTGCCTATCGGTGTAAAACTGGAATTTCGGTTTTTCCCCTTTCACATTCAAAGCGCTGTGGCCAAAAAAAATTTTTGTGGGAAAATCACAGGTTTTCAACACGCCGTGGTAGCTTTCTCCTTTAAACAACATCGACACAGCTATTTGTAATACCCTTTAATTTATCAAAAATCGACTATTGCAAGTGGATAGGATGTCTGAGCCCATCAAGAAGAAAATCAACCAGTTGGCATCTGCGCCAACTCCACAGAATACGCCTGCCTCACTCACAGGATCGTATTTGAAGAACAACCCTTTGATGGTTCCAACAACCATTGATGAGGAGGCTGAAATCAAGAAGAACTTGAGTAACAATCCAGCTTTCTTGTCAATGATTCAGGGTAAGTTGGGTACTCTGATTGGTAAGGACTCCGGGTATGTTGATGCTTTGAGCCCTAAAGTTAAGAACAGAATCTACTCTCTGAAGGCTATTCAAAAGCAACAGATGGATCTCGAACCGGAATTTCAAAGGGAGTTGTTGGAATTGGAGAAGAAGTACGCTGCAAAGTACCAACCTATCTACAACCACAGAAGAGATATCATTAATGGTGTGGTTGAGCCAACTGAAGAAGAGATTGAGACTGGTAAGCAGATTGAGAAGGAGCTCGGCGCATATGAGGACGAAGAGGAGGATGCACCAAAATTAGAAGAGATCAAGGAGGAGGAAGATGAGGCCGAAGGTGAAACCAAGGAGGAGGAAAAAGGTATTCCAAACTTCTGGTTGACCGCTTTTGAGAACCTCAGTTTCCTCTCGCAAACCATCACGGATAGAGATCAAGAGGTTTTGGCATTTTTGAAGGATGTTCGTCTCGAATACCTCTCTCAACCAGGATTCCGTCTTGTGTTTGAGTTTAACGAAAACCCATTCTTCAAGAATCAAAAGCTCTCAAAGACATACTACTACCAAACAGAACTTGGCTATTCTGGTGACTATATCTATGACCATGCTGAGGGAGATGTGATCGAATGGACATCCGCAAAGCAAAACGTCACTGTGACTATCGAAAGAAGAAGACAAAGAAACAAACAGACACAGCAGACCAGAACCATCGAGAAGGCCACGCCTGTCGAGTCCTTCTTCAACTTTTTCGATCCTCCAAAGGCCCCAGCGGATGACGAGGAAGGCGCCGAGGAGGACGAGGAAGACCTTGAAGAGACTGAAGAGTTAGAAGCAAGATTGAAGCTCGATTACCAATTGGGTGAAGAGTTGAAGGATCAGTTGATTCCAAGGGCTATTGACTGGTTTACCGGAGCCGCCGTGGATTACGAAGGTGAACTGGAGGACGAATTCGATGAGTTTGATGAGGAAGACGACGACGACGAAGATGACGACGAGGATGAGGATGAAGATGACGACGAGGATGATGCAGAAGGTGGTCCAAAGGGTAAACAACCACCTGAGTGTAAACAAACCTGAGGATGGAGTCGCTCTCAGAAACCATGACACAAAATGGAAGACTAACGACAATTTTTAAAGTTCTTCAGTTTTATTTCTAGTTTTCGCTTACGGAGTTTCTGTAGACACCGCTTAGGTTGTTGTATTGTTCCATGGCAAGCTTGCAAAGTGATACTTCTTGTGTCTACAGGAGATCAAGCCTCAACGTTTTCCAGACTGCACAATATGTCAAAATTGAGTATCTTTGCCACCACTATGGTTCGGGCTAGCAGCCATTGTACCGAACAACCAACAGTAGCAAGCGAGTACATGTTATGACAACGACTACGACAACAAACCAGCCATATTTGTTGCAAACGAGCGTAAAAGGAGTTCATTTGGCTTCCATGAGCAGGGTTACCTGGCATCCATTGTGAGACCGTGGAATGGAAACACACGCACTCTAGATGACTTAACTGCGATGGAACGTTATAGAATGTAGTGGAACGTCGTAGAATATTTACAGCTGCCCGAAGGGAAAGACCTCCACTCCAAATCCGGAGATTGCAAAGTACATTTGGCCATGTAACGATGTCCTGATTTGAAAACCACCAACCCCTTGGAACCAGGACCCCAAGTTAACTAACGCCTAACAAATAGCCCAGCATACAGCTATAGTGGGTAGCAGTACTTCAAACCAAAAAAAAAACTTTCTTATAAACAAACTTCTCAATGCACATTCCTTACTTTCCTCTTAAAGCACTTCATTCATCCCTAGAAATATAACGAAAAGTTTGGCTGTTTCGTTGAGGTTTCTTTTGTTAATCAAGGGACTTTTTTGTTAGAGACCCAACATTACGTACAGATCAAAAGTATCAAACTGTGTGTGTCCCTGTTCGATTAGACTTGACGCAATTGCGCTACAACTTGACGTGCACTTTCCAAATTTCTTTTGTTTTCATTTTCGTTTTCCTTGTTTTTTGTTTTGTTTTGTCCCAGCTCCGGTCAGGGGAAAACTTAACGAGAAACCGTAAGTTCCGACCAGACACAGAGCTTTTGTTGATTGTTTTCAGGGCTGAAGCCGTAAACCGGAACTTACGTTTGAAAGGCACCCAACTTTCCGGGTAGTTGTCCCGGTGATTCCCAGATTGCTACTTGGACACATCCGCACACCACTAATAAAATTTTGACAAGTACTTGGCCCTAAACGCTACAGAAGGGGAAACATAGTTAATGGGAAGAACGATGGAGGACAGTCCTCAACAATCAAATTTCTTTGATACAGCTAATAGGGTACAACTAGCGAACTCCATTTTAGGCACAAATCACAGAGGCACACCACAGAGATACAGCCAAAGTCCATACCTCCTGCATACCACACAGAGGGCAAACAATATTGGACTCATCGCAGCAGGGAACACACAAGTTTCTCAGTCGTATCCTGCCTATCCTAATATTCCACAAGAACCTTATTCAACGGTGCCCATCATTGAGACGCTTCCATCGCAGGCTATGAGTAATCCACAATCGTTTCAACCAACTCAGCAACGGAATTTGAACGGACAGAGAACGCAGGCACCTAATATGGCAACGGTAAATCAGCAGAACCCCAATCCGAGCTCCAATCCAAACCCTGTGACACCGAACCATTTCTACGTGGAGGAGTCACCAATGGCATTCAGCACAGATGATACCTTTCCACCTATGCTGCTGGACTCTTTTAACCCAACAGAGGACGTTCCACGACTACAGGAAATTGAAACTGTGTCACCTCAAACGACTACGGATCTTATGCAGTATAGGGCTAACCCGTTAACGGCATCCAGCAGTACATCCACATCGGCGACCAATAAGAAATCAACAGCAGAACAGAGTCCTAAGAAGTACAAGAATGGCGCCTTAGCGTTGACAGAGAATGGTAAACATCATTCATCGCATAAGAGCTCGAAGAAACATACCAAGAACAGACCTGCCTTTGTAACTAAGCTATGGACGATGGTTAACGACCCGGCAAACCAGGAGTTAATAAACTGGTCCGACGATGGGCTATCATTCATCGTTGACAACAGAGAGTTGTTTGTGCAGCAAGTATTACCCAAATATTTTAAACATTCGAATTTTGCCAGTTTTGTTCGACAGCTAAACATGTATGGCTGGCATAAAGTTCAGGACGTTAACTCTGGGTCGTTGCATAGTGATGAGAGATGGCAGTTCAACAATGAGAACTTCCAACGTGGTAAGCCGGAGTTGTTGGACCAGATTGTTCGTAATAAGCCACAAGATGACGCCGATGAAGCAGAGAGTGCACAGCAACAGGCAAACGGATTCAAGGGAATCAACGTTAAGCTGTTGATGAACGAGCTATCCACCCTCAAGACGAACCAGTTGAAGATTACAAAGGAATTATCGCGTGTTCGCCAGGACAACGAGCTATTATGGCAAGAGCTATTTACCACACGTGAGAAGAATGCAGTTCAGAACGAAAAGATTGAAAAGATCTTACAATTTCTGGCGTCTGTGTATGGGAATAGGGTACAAGTGCTTGAAGATGATAGCGATGACCATTTGAGAGATTCTCAGGTCCAGATGTACTCTAGTCCAAGTTACATGTATCAACAACCAGTTTCCCAGCAACAGAGTGACCCATACTCTGAAGCCACGAGGTTTCAAAAACCAAGACTGTTGATCAAACAACGCAGCTCGTCGAATTCTTCCTCATCTCGTGCTGATAGCGCAAGATCTTCAGTTCCTGTGTCTGGCAGACCCACGATCTCTGAGCTTCCCGAGTCACCAGAGAATTTGAACTCGGAACAACTCCAGCAGTTGATAGATGAGACCAACTCAAGCACCGTGCCCAAGACCGATTCTCTACAGACATTACAAGGTGCAAACAACCCCAATCTGGACTCATTGTCCAAGACCATTGAGCAGCAAGGCCAGTCCATCGACGACATCATAACAAAATTACAAACGCAGCAGTACAACGCATCTTCTGTCGGACAGGACTCCACGCCTGCGGGGAACTTTGATCTCGATGAGTTTCTGAACCAAGATATTGACCCTGATGACAATGCTACGCTACAGCTCAACCCAATCGCAGATAAGCCTGGCACCATACATGAGCTGCCCGAGGAGGATGTTGATGTTCAACAATCTCCCGAGCCAGCGAAAAAGAAGACCAGATCAGCTTAGCACTTTTCAATTCTAACAATCGTCTACATTTTATAATACACCAAAGGGCTTCCCTTCAAAATTAAACTGCCTTTCTGCTCCTGCTCCGCCCGAAGGGGACAGCACGGGCCGCGTAGCATCAGACAACATGGAATGCCTACAAAGCTCCAGCACGCAAGCACGTAGGCTCAGTTTCTCGCCAGCGTGCGTGTTGTCGTTGTTGTCGTTGTTTGTTGCATCATGTGACGGAGAGCTGGGAGGAAACAGGCAAAATCTCGTAGTGTGCAGCGAGGCACAGATAGCGCACGAGAAGGGCGCGCCCTGAAAAAGTAAACAGAGCTAGGCAGAGCTAGGCAGAGCCAGGCAGAGGGCCAGGCAGAGGGCCAGGCAGAGGGCCAGGCAGAGGGAGCGTGAGAGGTACGGCGGACATCACGAAACGGTTCTTTTTTCGAGCTTACAGTACATAACATTGGGATCACTTGCTCATCGATTTCACATATTAAAGGAGTGTTGTTGTTGTATTTGAGTGATTCCGGTCGCAGGAGTAAAGTCAACACGTTGTTGGAATAGGTGCCAATGTCATCGGGGAAGAACAAACTGCCCAGGGCGACACTTGAACAGAAGATTGCTGCGCTGGACTTTTACCGTGAGCGACGTGCCAAAGACGATGAGGTGAAGACGTCGCAGGCGGACATTGTGAAGCACTTCAGGGATAAGATCTCGATATCGACGTCGAGCTTTAGCGAGTGGGTGAAGAATGAGGCGTCGTTACGCGAGCTGTACAACCGTTCTAATGGCGCACATAGGAAGAGCAAGAGAAAGCTCAAGTTCAAGTACGAGGAGATCAACCATGAGATGGATCTCATCGTGCAGGAGAGGTTGAAAGAAGGCGAGCTGGTTAACGAGCCGTTTCTGAGGAAGCACTGGTGCCGGCTGGCTCAGAAGTACGGTGTTGATAATCCAAAGCGACTGCAGAGTTTCTCTCATGGGTGGTTGACCCAGTTCAAGAAGAGACACGGAATCGATAAACAGAGCCGTGAAAGGAATAGAGAAGTGCCGAAGCTGAATCCTTCGATACCACCAACTTTGGGTGCCTCAAGAATACAGCTCCAGCCTCCAGAGCCATTGCAAAGAGAGCAGCCTCAACAAGATCAGAATAGACGGCTTCAGCTTACTCAGAATGGTGAAGTTGGTGGGTTTGGCCTTGAAGAGTACAACGAGGAGTACATGAATCTACAGAACTACGAAACGCTAATAACGAACCAGAGTAACTTTCTCCAACAACAGTTGAATGTTAGAGTACCACCACAGCAGGTTTCACAGGCGAGTCCTCTTCAGCAAGACGTTATACCTCCAATACTTGCCCCACGGAATAGATTGATTGAACAGCAGCAGCAGCAGCAGCAGCAGCAACAACAGCATCAACAGCAGCAGCAGCAGCAAATACAACGGCTTGGAGAACCACAAGAAAGTACGCAACAACGGGGATCTCAACGCGACTCACAACCTCAGATTCAACAGTTACAAATGCTGATGCAGCAACTCCAACAACAACAATTACAATTACAAGATGCATTGAATTCCCAGCAAACCTCCACACTATCAGATGGTGACTTTGAATTGTTCTTCACAAAGTATGGAGGTGAATTTCTGGATTATAACCGTGATAAGTATCCAGAAAGTGCTAAACTTTTTGAACATTTCCTAATCGTCTTTAAAAGGGAAAGAGAGATCTTTAATGAACGAAGGTTACGAGAGTTGATAACGAAAAGATGAGAAACGATAAATCATGAATACTATTCGTGTACTAATAGGATAATAGCTACCATGCTTCTAATGAATGTCTTTTTTTTCCACCTATATACAACACATGTTGTCCTATTCAACGAATTCAATGACACCTGAACCTAGACACCTCTCACCGTGGTAAACGGCGAGATACTGACCTCTAGCAATAGCTCTTCTCTTCTCCTTCAATTTAAATATGAATTTCCCGTCTTTGTTTTGTATTGAATCCAACGCATTGGGGTCTTGTAACGATCTATATTGGACTGTTAGTTCTTGGACAGGTATCTGAGTGATGTCAACTCTCCCAAGTGGCAGGAATTCGTTGACATATATCACACTCTTGTAAAGCTTTGCATTATCACCTCCTTTTACTATAACGATTTCGTTTGTTTCAAAGTTCTTATCACTGACAAACCAAGTACCTTTATACTTTGGATCACCTTGAGGCATTGAAATACCGCACTTTTGACCAATGGTGAAGGACCACAGACCATCATGTTTACCCCATACTTTGCCATCCTCTGTAACGATATTACCTGGTGTTTCATTGATAAAACTCTTCAAGAAATCGTGGAAGTTGTGTTGTGATGGATTGACAAAGCATAGCCCAATGGAGTCCGGCTTCTCAGCGACGGGTAAATCCCAATCACGAGCCATTTGACGAACTTCTGGTTTGGTGTAGTGTCCTATGGGGAACAATACACGGTTCATCACCGTGGGATTAATCTGTGAAAGGTAATAGCTTTGATCCTTCTTCTTGTAGTATGATCTCAAGAGATGCATCTCTCCATTCTCATGTTGCATGATTCTCGAATAATGGCCCGTTACTAACCACCAACGTTTCCCACTGTACCTCTTTGAAACGTAGTCAATGAGCCTGCCGAATTTCACATACCTGTTACAGTTGATATCTGGATTCGGTGTAATGCCTCGTTCGTAGCCGTCAATCATGGGCTCAAAGACGTCCAACCAGTAGTCTTTTTCGAACGAAACCTGTGTAACCGATATATCCAGCTTGTCAGAAACCTTTTGAACATCTTTCCAATCCTCCTCTAAGCATCGCTCGGAGTCAAGCTGGTTCCAATTGGCCATGAATATGCCTTCAACATTGACAAACTGCCGTGAATACATCGCTGCTGCCACGGAAGAATCAACTCCCGACGACATCGCAACAATGATCAAATCATTTGGATCAGGCGTTAACTGGGTGTACACATCTGGTGATCTGAGCCTCGGAAGAGTATGTAAGCGTCGTAAAGCCCTGAACATGTTCTTTTTCCAGCTTATGAGTTATGTCTTGTGAATGTGTCAAGAGCTCGGAGATGATGAAGTGAAAAAAAAGTTCTCCAAGCATACGACCTCCATACGTATAGCGAACAAAGCAGTGGGTGGACAGACTGATATTGTTTCGACAGCCTAGAAACAAAGCATTGCTGACAACCATTCTTCAGAGGTTTGAACATCTGAGCATAGGTTAAACTCTCTATTCTGTTGTCTGAGACAATGCCACTAACTTGAAGGTTCACAATAGTACTTCATCGCTTACACTATTGGTGATACTCACAGACAATGATCCCAAAAGTTTCAGCTTGAGAGACTCTGAAGATCTTTAACAGTTGTGCAGTCGAGTAAAGAACAGTAAGATGTGTCTTGTTAGGGATGATCCAAGTTCAAGATGTGCTAGTACTTTCCCTGAGGTGAAAACGCTCTTGAAGGATGGACTTGCACATGGTGTCTATTACAACTCCAGTAAGCAAGCATTGAAGTTGCTGAGGAAGATTGGATCTTATAAACGCAGTCCATGATTTAGTTCCAATATGCAACTGAAGATGCTTGAGCCACAAGGGTCATTGATTGAAAACACTTACAGTGATAATGTTCCTACTACACGTTCCAAGATTAATGTTGAAGGACATAGTTATACTATGGATGTCACGCCACTAACAGTACTGTCTAGTATCAAAGCCATTGGTGTTACTGAGTTCAATGTGAGACTATCGCACCTACTGGGCAAAACTGTATCGCATCAATATGACTTAGAGAGAGGCTTACCCATTATACCAATCTTGAAGCTGTAATACCAAATCATATACCTGAGCATAGAAAGTTCTTCCAAAATGATTCAATTTCAAATGCTCCACCAGGCCATTTCACTTGCAAAGAACAATAATGTTCCATAACCGAGCTCTCCAAGGTATCCACTGATATCTTTGTACGTGCTTTGCCTATAATGATTGCGTGTCCATGTGTCTTTACAAAACTGCTTGAGAAGAACACAATGAAGTCATTGATAGGATATTCATTGAGAGTTCATACACTTGAATCTCATGCTTTCAGTACATTGGAGACATCTACGATCGTTTCTCCAGTACGAAGATTACAGAAAAGGTATACACCTGGTTCACTTTCCCTAGGTGCGATGGCTCAGACACTTTCTGCTTCTCAGTCTAAGATATGCCCAAATGCACACATCACATATGATCTACTACGATGTGTCTTATTGAGAAGGAACTACGTCTGTGAAGATGATTTGAAGGAGGCAGAACTCGTCTTGAAGCTTTTGAGCAATGCTTTGCAGGATTAAAACCATGTTGAACTGATCAATGGTGATGCTCTATGGTGGGAGACACTTCAAGTGTTGAACCCATTATATGATACAAGGGAAACCCAACTGTTAGATGAAGTTGATAATGCTCTTCACATTGATGATTCCAAGGGAATTGGCGAGTTCACCATCACACTGAACGAGTATTGCTTACACTGTCACGCTCAGAAGGAAAGTATAGAGGCATACGAAAAAACACCAACGAGCAAGTTCCTCTCTAATGTTATATACAGTGGTGCTAAAGGATAAATGAACTACAACTTCCCTGGAGTGGCGCTGTGCTATGAAAAGGCTTCCATATTCACTAACGTCTGACTATATAGTATTGAGCGAATCGTTCTGTGATATATTCCTGAGCAATGCAATGGACCTTATTAACAGCCGGTTATACTTCAGCTCCAGACCGTGTAAGAATGTGTATTGATCTTGAATCTTCCCAATGGTTTGGGTTATTGACGTATCTACATGTAGAGTGTTCGTGTTCAGAGTGGATTCCAGCTTTTGCAGTGATTGTAAAACCCTCGTCAGCTGGTCCAGATTGGCATACACAGCTTGTCTTTGTATCTCCAACTCCTCGCCAGATAGCACCATGAATTTATCCAGATGGAAGTTGATGCTGGAGTTGCATAGATTCTGAAACAGCTTGGAAAGGTGCTCATTAGACCGTACTACCCTACTGAGTTCTCTCCTCACAGTGGCAACACCTTCACAAGCCGACATTGAGCCATCACTCAGGTCTACGTATCGCTCTAATCTCTGCACACGTCTCTCTAACGATTCCATCTACCGGTATTCTGTGCTTCACCAAAGCGTGAGAAGGTGATAGCCACTGTGCCATGAACAGCGAAATATGTAAACAAACCCTTTAGGGCCTATTGTGTTACCCTGACCAGCTGTTGTGCTTACCTAAGCGCTGAGTCATCAATAAGGGGTGTGTGTGGGCAAAAGCGACGTCCAAAACAAAAACATTGCACAAAAACCGGCACAACAACAAGTTCAAAGTAATAATAAACATAGCAAAAAGCATATACAAAAATGGTATGTTTAAACCAGAGTTAGGGAAGTTGAGATGCTGACTGTGGATGAATGTAATGTGGTGTGCTATGTTGGTTTCGTCGTTGGACGAGCTGCTCAATTGGAGAAGATGAGCGGTCAGGGATATAACGGCGGTGTTAATGACAGCACATTCATACGCTACTGAAACGTATTCCTCCCTTGTGAGCGCGCGCCATTGCCATCTACAGTGTATCAGGTTGCTTACTGTATATCTATAACTTGGAGCGTTACTAACAATTGAGTGTAGTCAAGATCAGGGTGAGTCAATGCTTGAATGTTGTTGTCCGAGCAATGTGTGTACTAACAGGTGATAGTGTTGTTGCCTCTGACGAGGCCCTTAAGGCTTTCAACGATTTGAAGTTGGGTAAGAAGTACAAATTCATCCTCTACGAGTTGAACCCAAGCAAGACCGAGATTGTTGTCAAGGAGGCTTCCGACTCTGCTGACTATGACGACTTCCTCGCAAAGTTGCCAGAGAACGATGCTCTCTACGCCATTTACGATTTCGAGTACGAATTGCCAGGTGAAGGTAAGAGATCCAAGATTGTCTTCTACGCTTGGTCTCCAGATACTGCTCCAATCAAGTCAAAGATGGTTTACGCTTCGTCTAAGGATGCATTGAGAAGATCCCTTAACGGTATTGCGGCTGATATCCAAGGTACCGACTTCTCTGAAGTCTCTTACGACACAATCTTGGAGACCGTTTCAAGAGGTACCCATTAAACCACTACTGGAAAGACCGGAGACGGTCCCTTTCTATCTGTGCATATGTATCTTCTTCTTTGATAAGAGAATATGAGACGTGTTTGATTTTATATGTCCTTTTGTAGCTGGTATATTGTTGTAAGTGGGCTGTATATTTTTACCGGTGTTGAACGGAGTTTAGCGGGAACATTTCCATTGTACTCCAACAACAACACCAACACCACCACCACCATAAATATCCAAGCGCCAGCAGAATATTAACGATGTCTTTTCCCTACTTGGTTCCCAGCTCAATTCCTATAGCTGGCATCGTGGATATTGTTGCGACAAATGGTAGTGAAGCACCAATCGTTGTTCTTACTGATGATTCTCTCCACTTATTGGACCCGGTACACAAGAGTCCACTTTGTAAACATGTGAGATCAGCTGCTTCTGTCGAAGTTCGTGGGTTCAACGTCAAGGTGAAGGTTAACAAGACCGGTAAACTGATCTCGGTGATCACGTCGAAATCGTTCCTGCTGATCTACTCCATAATGGGCAATAATGGTACCGATATGGGCTACGATGAGGTGTTCAGCGTCTACAACAGCTCAAGCACTTTATTACAAAATGGGCTGGTATTGGAGAAGCAGCTCTCATTCTTCAATACGAATCCACTTGACTTGCCCATTCATAAAGCCACTGTGAGATTTAAAGTGCTGCTCAAAGTGGCCCATGGAGTCAGGGACGTTGTGATGTTTGACAAGTACGAAGTTGTACTTGTTACTGACGACAACGTCCAACTCATAAACTTGGAAAGCGATGAACCTGTTACACTAAGCATTGAAGGTGTGGTGACAAAAGTGTCCACCTTGAACGAGGACTTGCTGGCTTTCAAAGATGATGGTTCTGTACAGCTCATCAAGAGATCAGGCCGAACGTTTGTTCCAATGGAAACACTTAAAGTGGAAAAAGTCACTGATTGTGCAATTAATGAGAACTTCTCGCTGATAACGTTTGTCTCCAATGACTCCCTCGTGTATTACAACTATGAATTGCATGAAATAATAAAAGTCTTACCCTTCAAAGACATCAAGTCTCTACAGTGGGTAAATGATGGTGATTTTCTCCTAATTTTATCAACCAAGGAAACATGGTCATTGTTGTCAACATTCGGGTGCAAGTTGTTCGATAGCAGTGATCATGATTATTCATCACCATGGCTCACAGCGGTGAAAACGATCACGATATCAGCAGATGGAACCGAGCTATTCAGTTCAGATGGTGAAAAGTTCTTCAGCCAACGACTCCTGCGGTCCACATCATTATCAGCTCAAATCAACCACGACTTGGATAAACCTGTCTTGGTTGTGGGTTCTGAGTTACACGTTTACACAGGTCATGAGATGGCAGTGGCATCTTCAAAGGCGATTAATTGGCATATATTGAAGATACCATTTGAGCAATCGCACCAGTTGCCAAATATCAAACATACCTCAGTATCGTCAGATGGGAAATATCTCGCAGTTGCAAACTCGAAGGCACTCTTATTGTATTCATACAGGGATAGAGACTGGAGCTTTTACCAGAATGATTATTTCAACGATTTAACGATATGCCATCTTACTTGGTTTGGCAAATTGAATCTTTTAATCTTGGGTATCAAACTGGCAGATCACTCTGAGCTTGTGATATTTGACTTGAGAAAATTCAAGAGCCATGAACGATTCGCTTCCGAATACGTTGTGTTCAGGTACGACTTACCAAGTGACATTCAACTGATCAATGTCACAGATAACGATATTGTTGTTTACACAGATAACGGCAAATTTTACCATATCCATGTTGGAATCTCACTAACTGGGTTGAAAATTGATCTATTAAAAGTGATGAATCACAGTACACTTCTGAAGTCTCCAAAGAACCTCAGGTCTGTCATCAAGATCAGCAAAGATGTTCGCAACCATGACATATTGGTTCTCAATAATGGCGAGCTTATTCTTTTCCGAGAGCACGACTCTGGATACCGTCAGCATCTCCTGTTCGACACTATTGAATACGTTTACAAACTCAATGATGAAGAGTACTACATGTTTAACGGTGAGCACATTTTCCTGGTGAAGAATTTGACGGAGCTAATTAAGACTAGAGATCCGTCGAATACTGTGCTAAAGCTAAAGCCACAAGCTTATCCATTACTGTTGATTTTGAAAAGAGGTTTGTTCGTCACTTTAGAGAACATCCTTACCAAGAGAAAGAACATTGAGTTGAATACTATAACAACAAACAACTCAATCTTCTTGCAAGACATGATTCGTTTCGAACTCACCAATTCTAACGCTGAAGAGATTTACCAGAAGTACTGTTCTTTCAAAAACTTCCCATTTGCTATGGAGTTACTTCTCTACCAAACCGTCATAAATGACGAGGACCTAACGACCATCATAAAACTAATCCAGGTAAACCCTCTCTATGAACTGAACGTTGTTTCGAAGTGTCTTAGAAAGATTGAGACACAGTACTGGGATCGATTACTAAAATCTCTGGGTGTCACGCCATCGGAATTGGTCCAGAAGGCCATTACAATGAAAGAATGGAGAACTCTCGGAATCCTTGTGGTTATTTTCTTGAACTACGACACTGCGAATGCTGTTATGAGTATTGAAGAAGAGAGCTTGATCAGTATAATGAAACTCATCTACGATAATGCACAGGATGATGATGAACTATGGGAAACCTCATTCGAAATGTTGAGGTTTTTAAAGCTTTTGGATCCTACATGTGCTTTGTTGAAGAGATGTCAATCAGCATTGACTTCTTAATTGATAAACAGAAGTATGACCTTAAATTCTATCACTTCTTTGCATAAGCTGCTTGTACTTCCTCAAATGACTCCAACTTCTCTCTCCATTGAGAAATGTGAGGGAACTGAGAAACATCGAAGAACTTGTCAGCAACCTTGGCATGTGGGAAGGCAATGATATCAGCAAGGGAGATATGATCACCAACGAGGAAGCCAGTTCCATTGGCTGCAAGTTGATCTTCAACCAACTTGTAGTTCTTCAAGACGAGTTCAGTGAATTTTTTGATATCCTTCTCGTTCTCTGAGTCAAAGAGCTTTGTAAGGTTCAAACTAGCCTGAGCTGGGTTCAAACCTGATGCATGGAAAAAGAGGAATTCAATCTCCTTGTAGTGGTTTGCAGTTCCTTGAGGGTATGAGAACTTGTTGCCTGTATCGTACTTTTCAGCCAAGTACAAGAGAATGGCACCAGACTCTGCAAGAGTGAAGGCTTCACCTTTTTCATTGACGTCTACTATGACAGGAACTTTACCAGCCGGGTTCAACTTCAAGTACCAAGGCTCCTTTGTCTCCTTCAAGAACTCAGTAGCTCTGAAGTAATACTTCACTTTGAGCAGCTCGAGCAAAATGGTAACCTTTTGAGCATTTGCAGTTGGTGAGGCAAACAACTTGATAAATGGTGCCTCCAATGGACCAGTCTTCTTATCTCCATCGTCATAGACAACTGGGGTTCTACGTCTCTTTGTTTCTTGTTCAGCGGTGTTTGTCATTGTATTGAATAATCCTTGTGTGGATGCAATTGAAATATAACTTCTTCGAGAACAGGAAACTTCGTGCCCTTTTTATAGGCATTCTATACACCAGCATTGCGAAAGAAGCAGGTGTAGATTACTATGGTAGTCTAATTGTGGCTCGAGCTGTATCGCAATTGGCTCTCGAAGAGTTGTAGTATTGGAAATTGAATCTGAATCGTGCTGTCGCCATGTACCATGGCGCGTATTGACAATTACCGCAATGTGGCTCATCACTACCAAATCAGGAAATCAAGCGCTGCCAGGCTCCGACTACAAGCGAATCTGCTGATTTGAACACTCAGCAGTATATATATATATAAATTTATCCATTTATTAATAATATAACCCCCTTAATCCTATTTGTAAAACCTCATTAAACACACAATAAAATCTAAATCTATTGATACCACACTTTGGTCCATCTCTTGACAGTAAGTCCGTCATCTAACACAATCAACTCTGGCTCTAAGGTGTAACCTCTGGCCCATGGCAGGACTCTAAACTTGAGAGCCCAATACAGCACGAAAAGTCCCAAGAGAATCAGTGCAAAAATGTGGTAAGGGGGTAGAAATGCGATGTAGGTCGACTCATCACGTGGACCAGTGAATGGTGCCATCAAAACGTATGCAGATATTATCACCAGAAGCAACGTTCCTAATAAGGATGCTCTAATAGGCGCCTTTTCATCAGGATAACGGCGTCTCACAATGAATAGGCCGATACCGATCAATCCGATGAAGATTTGTGTCGGGTAGCCTTCTAAACTAACAATGTAGTTGAATGAGTTTCCCTGAGGTGGTAATACCACCAACCAAAAGCATGTTAGTATGCAGCATAACAACAACGAGTACAATGGCGTGGATGTATGTTTGTAATTTGATGCCATAACCTGTGCGAATGGAACATAACCTTCTCTGAAGATCTCTTGATTCATTCTAGAAGTGCCATAAACAACAACAAAGACGTTCGACGCCGCACTTAGCGCAATAGACACTGTAACGAACTGACGTCCCAAGTGATAACCAAGAACCTTTTCAAAGAATAAAGATCCGATCAGAGGCCCAGATTGCATCATTTGTTCACGAGGAATGACAATGAGGTACGCTACATTCATCAGAATATAGCTCAAGAATGCAATGAACAAAGACACAGGCCCTGCAATCTTCAAAGTTCTCACCGGATCCTTTATCTCAGACGCTACCGTATGGACAGAGCTCCATCCACCAAATGAAAAGAAACATTGTAACAAAGCAGATGAGATGGTGGACAGCGACACCACTTTGGAATTCGTGAATTGCCAAAAGGAACTGTCAAATGGCAAATTGTTCTCCAGCCCGGTGATCTTCTTTGGGAAAAAGATCACGTATATAGACGTGATCGCCATTATACCCACAAGGAGAAGCTTTAGCGCACCTAGAAAGTTCTGAATAGCGACACCGTGCTTTGTGGAGACACCATGCACAAGCGTTGTCAGCACCACAAGGGAGATACCAATCCAGTTGGACATTCTTGTAGATTCGATGTATTCTGATGAGAACCCCAGGCAGAAAAGGGTATATTTGCCAAATATTATGGCATTCGTCAGTGTCAATCCAAACGCCAACGAGTACAGCGAAAACACTGTACTCACTAGAACCTTTGGTCTTCTGTAGATGTACTCCAGGAACACCTTCGTTCCACCAGATCTCGGGATCAGTGATCCCAGCTCCAGGTAGACGAATAGCCCGCTGAACGACACCACAGCGGCAATCAACCACATGGAGAAGAATACCGCAGCGTTACCACCACACGCCAGGAGTATACCTGACGGAGTCGTCCATATTCCAGAGCCGAATATTCTCGAGATGAACAGCACAATAGTGGAGAACAGGCCCAGGTGGCGCCCCTGTGGCAGGTCTTCAAGGTCCACCTGGAACCCAGTGTACTCCTTCACTGTAGACGACATCGGAGTGAGCTCGTCGACCGAGGCGTCGGAGTTTGATCTTGAGGCAACTGTAACCTCGATGCTATCACCTTTGAGCATAATAACCAGCGTGCTGAACGTCTCTATGTCGTGATACCAAAGAATAGCTAGCCGCTACTGTGATGAGCCCACGAGGGATTTGAAATCTTGTCTTAACCGTACGCTTAAACCCCGGATCAGATAAGGGCAGAAGCTGCTTCCCGTGATGACAAAGCAAGGGTGATGCGATATAGTGTACTGTGCACAAGGTATGCTCAGCTATGAAAAGGCGATAGATACTATGAATCAGGGGTTTGATGGAAAGAATAGTGCTTCCTTTAATACCTTCAGCACAAACCGTGTGCTTCTATCCAGCTTCAAAGGCACATCCACACAGAGAATCACGTTAAATTGTGGTGGGCTTGACAACTCTGCTGACCCATTCGCGCTCTCGCGTGACAAAGCCTTATCGGACGCCACAGTTTTCCTGTTTTGATGAGAGGGCCCGTGCCGGTGCGAGCACGACCCAAAGCGGGATTTGTTTACGTTTGTTTACGTTTTGGTTGACACATTTGCGCAGAACATCAACACACACATACACACACCAGAAGCCACGGCGGGCAGAGAATGAGCGATTCAAAGGTGTTCAAGTTGCGCAAGTACTCTTCTCTTAGGGCCGGTGTGTGGGACCACTTCCCTTCGAGAAACGACATCTCGTTAGTTGTGTTGGGAGGAAATGTTTTCAAGGTGATCTGGAGAGCAACCGTATTGGTCTGGCGCTATACCTCTTATTTTGTATGTTGATGACGAGCGGTTGACTAACAGGATGGTAAGGTGGAGTTTTCCCTTGCCGAGGTAGACGGTCTCTCCGTGTTCCATAGGGATACATCTATGGGCTTTAGCTACATGTCATTGGGAAATGGATTGTCGGAACATGTCAAATTCCAAATCAAGTTCATCTCTGCGAGTGAGATCCAGAGCTGTTGCAATTACTTGAAAACGTTGCCAATATCACTCGTAGATACCCAGGTGTCTCAGTCTGTCTTTCCCAGTGACGGTGCCTTCCTGTTTAGTCAGAAAAGTCAGTTACATGATTTGAATAACTTTCAAGGCACGTACGCTGCAAATCTAGAACCGAGAGGTAATGAGCTGGAATCTTTAGACTTTGCAAACTTGTTGCCTCCAGTTTCTCTTTCACCGATTTCATTTCCCTGTGACCCACTAAAAGACGAGGGGATGTACCAAACTTTATCACAAATATTGAATTACGACTCACCGGGAAAAAAGTTCAGTAAAAGTACAAGCCAAAGTAATTGCAACGAAATGTCTGATGAGGAACTACAGAAATACATTGTTGAAAAGATAAAGGACGAAAACTTTATGAAGTCTGTGGAAAGAGTTGAGCTAATATTGAAAAGATTGCAAGAGACAACATGACCAGATGAATGCCCAAAATATATTGTGGGAGTTCGTATAGCTATGTCTAGAATATGGCAAAGAATACAATGAAAAGAATAAAACTCAAGTGGTATACTTTCTGCCGTTAAATTAGTGCCAAAAAGATAGAAACTAGTGACAGAGGGATGAGGAGAGCACTGTTGGCACCGTTTAGCGAAGAACTTGATGAATTGGATGTACTTGTGGTATCAGAAGAAGGTTCCGAAGTGGAGTCGCCTCTTGGTTCCGTGGTACTCCCAGTCTCCTTAGCTATTGTGTTTGATGTTGTAAGTTTTGCATCTATGACTAAGAAATCACTCGGAACCCAAAATGTTGACAGTTCAGCTGCAGACATCAAAGATGAATACCAAGGGAAAGCAGTTATCATGGTTTTAAAATCGTCGAATGGGAAGCTCATTGTATTTACGGCCTCGAATAGTGATGACTCTTTACTAATAGTTTGAAGTCCAACCATGTATTGGACAATGTCATCCGGGAATTGCATTTTGTTGGAATCCATATACTGAAGGTATGTGGTATAGCGATGATTTATATCCAACATAACGTCATAGATGAATGAAGCATCGGATGCTAAGGCTCTCGATGTTGCAGAGCTGAGTTCTTCAGGCGACCAAGAAGTTGTCGTTTGAGCGTTGCAGAGCTCAACCAAAACAAGCCAAAGAACAACGAGAGGCCGCATTATAGACCAAACACCGTGCTTTGGGTGAATTCATAGCAGACTGGGGGTTTATGAAATGCAGCGTTAACAAATGTACTTATAACACTGGTTTTGAGGCTACAAAGCAATTGAACTGGCAACCAATATATCTGAATGAATTGGTATAGCTCGCATTAAAGATTTCCTAATTGGGGTTTCTATGGACGCTTTTCTTCGATAGATACCGTGCCAATTTGGGAATGTCACATGCAACACCGTCAGAACACAGCCAACAAATACTACAGTTGGTTAAATCTACCACAACGCTACAGTGATCGACAGCTTAATTGAAATGTGATATCTTCTCTTTAGCTGGGAAAAGGGTAACAGCATCAACAGCCCTCTTCCATGTACTTTCCTGTATCTCATTCAAATACTTTCAAGCCGATTTGCCGGTGCTTGCAGAACTTTAGACCAAACGAGGCAAAACAAAAAAGCCCGAGAATTGTGTCATTTTGCTTGGCTTAGCTAGGTTAATGCACACGTCTTAGTATCTGTGTCTATGTAAGCCTTTATCCTATCAGTATCATTCCTCTCGTCACACCATTCTTGTATTACAATTGATATGCTCAATGGGGACTGTTGAGGCCATGGTCGGGAGTGTTTCACTGTTGGGTAACGCCGATGTACCTGAGATTAACAAAATTCTCGAGGCGTACTGCTGGCGTTAGTTTTGCATGATGCGAGCCCAACAAAATTTGAGAGAGGCCAGTGTTCAATGAATTGAGGGTTGACCAGCTTGCTCGATACTACACGGGGATAAACGAGTTATCGTGACATTAATTGGACATAGCTTTATGGTTTCCTATCAAAATATTAAAAATGGCACAGAGAATAAAAGGCCCTAGAAGTGATTGAGTCTTGTCAGCACCATTCTAGAAGCCTGCGGTATTATATCGCGTCAAGCTAACATTTTGTTGTTTGGTATCAGCACACAGCTAACAAGGCCGATGGAACGGTTTACAACAAGGCTGGGACCAACATGGCAGCCAAAGCGAATGGGCCCAATGCATTGATCATCATGGCCTCGTTAGCAGTGGAAGTGGAGGTGGCAGAAGCGGACTCGGAGGCACTGGTGCTGGTACCAGAGGCAGAGCCAGAAGCGGACTCAGATTCAGAGGCTGCAGATTCGGAAGCAGACTCAGAGCCAGAAGCAGAAGCAGAAGCAGACTCAGACTCAGACTCGGAACCAGAAGCAGAAGCAGAAGCAGACTCAGACTCGGAACCAGAAGCAGAAGCAGAGGCAGACTCAGACTCGGAACCAGAAGCAGAGGCAGAGGCAGACTCGGAAGCAGAAGCAGAAGCAGACTCATCGTCAGTGGCAACGGCAGCGTCAGCACCAAAGTAAGTCTCCAAACGAGATGAGTACCATGGCAAACCAGTCACGTATGAGGTAACCTCACCCATGTCAACCTCGGAATACAAAGTTGTGTAAGAGTCATCGGTGTAGGTCTGAACCTGTTGAGCCAAGGACAACAACTCAGCTGGTGGGATGTTTCCACTGGCAACTTGTTGGAGGTATTCAGAACTGTGCTGGGCCAAGTCAGACACAATGGCATTCAATTGCTCAGCAGTGTCATCTTGAGCGAGAGCGACTGGAAGCAAGGCAAGGATGAGTTGTGCAATCATTGTTCTGTTCTGTGTAAGGTTTACAATACAATCTGTTCTGATCGGTATAGGTCAAGACGGAAGCGGAACAAACATCCAAACTACAAAAGCAATCGAATTGGGACAGTCCATGAGCTTTTTATAGTCAAGTCGACCCCCGCCCATTTCACTCTCCCCCCGTTTAAAAGAGTGTGGGTTGATTATTTCCCATGGCCTTCCCTCTCGCACATGGTGAGTTGATGACCGGGACGCGAGTGCATGAAGGACAAAAGAAATTTGTCCGTGGGCGAGACACAGCGTCAATTCTCCAGTTTTTTTTTTCTTTCTTTTTTGTAATGTCTCTCTCCTATAGAAGAAGCCTGTCCAGTGTCTTCAGCAGCCACTGAACCGTGCCTTTCTACAGCCTTAGGTCAAAACAATTGTCAATTGTGCATGAATTTGACAAGCTATAGTTCCAAGATTGCTATGAATTGAAAACCACAAGCGTTTGCCCATTGCCAAATTTACCTACAGTTTAGTACTTTGGAGAAGTCGAGGAGAACGCTGGTTGGCGTTTGGTTGAGTTCGTATGCGGCGATAATTAAAATTCGGGACATGCTGATGTACGTTTATGCATGTAATTTTTTCAGCGTTTCTGTCCCTTCTTCGGGTTGGCCTTTCTAGCTTGCGGCTCGAACGCTGGTGGAATTCAAGACAATTTTAACGAGCAAGCTCGACAAGACAAAGACAAAGACAAAGACAAATAGAGCATGGATTAGGGTTTTCCTCTCTTCCTTCATTGACGGTGTTTCCCGGGAGATGATGAACACATCGAGTTGCACATGTAGTATGTGTACTTCATGTAGAAGTTTAAGACACGAGGAGGATGTTTGTCAAATGGCCCCCCTCAATTGTTTAAAGTGGATTGTGCAAAGCGTGTCTCTTTCATCCAGTAAACGAGCAGGAAAATAGTTTAACATTCACTGCCGTATGGTCCACAACTCTTGTTGAGACAAACGAAATTAGGAGAATGGTTAGAAAGCCCTTTGGTATTGTTTGTCAGGGCGAGCTGTTCAATGCTTGCGAACTGTGTGCACTGCCTAGTCAAACAATTGGAATTGTAAAGAGCATGTTCGGGCTGCGCAAGTGAATGGATTTCGATTGAATCAAGTGCTGATTACCTGCTTGAACAGATTCACAGTCAATCAATTAACTGCTGGGTATCTGATTGGAGGCTCATTTTTACACCAAGGGTTCCCCTGGATGATGGGCACATGTCCCTTGTACATGCTATATATGAGGTTGAACTTTATTCTTGGGACTAAAAGACGAAGAAAGACCTTAGATACATAGCAAACGTGTTGGCACATATGTACCTTGTCTGTTGACCGTCTTGTTCTTATAGATTGGAAGTTGTTGGGTAGCCTGACTCATCAGTGTATAGACGGTGGCAAGAGTAGGTAACCTCTGTTTCAAAGGTAACTCATGGTCATACATTTCTCATCACCACCAGTAATTAGAGCACTGTCACATGTAAGGAAACAATCCGTAATATCGTCATGGCTGAAGATTTCGGTAATGTGGGTGTACCAAGGATGTACAAAGGATGTACAAAGGATGTACAAAGGATGTACAAAGGACGTACTAGAGTAACAACTTGATGCATGGATTGACATTGTACTCAGCACGTTATTCGTGCCATATCACATTGCCCCTAATCTGTGGTGTTATACCAAGAGAATCTTACTCTAGTGGATCAAGGCCGAAATATCTTCAGTAGTATACCTAGGTTCGAAGCTCTGGTTTAATGGCTTACATTATCTGTCTTCCTAATAATTAACATCTCAAAATATGTAATGTCCTCTGTTTCTCGGTGTCATGGCCTCGTTTGATTTGTTTCATAGACAGCAAACAAATTCGACCCTGCATCTTACTGCTTCCTAATCGCAGTGATCTTTACAGAAGAGCTGTCATTTTCCCTCCTTGAAAGGTTGTACAACTGTAAGGCATTAACTGTACTATGTTAGCTTACATCTACAACACAGCCTTCTATGAGATATCAAGCACAATGTGTTCGTATCTGAGTCTCAGGCTCTTCAATGGTGCATTGTAAAGTTCCCTCCTCATACACCCTTGAACTGGAAAACGGGGCTTGCGTTAGTACATGTGTAGTCAATGGGTTTTCTTCTTTGAAAACTAAATACAACAAAAGTTGGCGATGTTATTGATATTTCCAAGAGTCTGGTTGCCTATACACGTGTCTTGCCTTTGTATGTTATTAATAATCAGATGGATGATGCTAAAAGTATGTACTGTGTGCCCCCACAATACTGAACAGCTTATAAAATTTTGGTCAACATTATCCAAATCGATAATAAATTAGCTTTGATTCCTAGAGAATATGGCAGACATAATCTCTCCAATTTTGTAGTTAAAACTACTTTCAAGAAACAACCTGAACTGGTCTTAGACTACAAATCAGTTGTTTTTGCACAGACAAGAAAAGAATACTTTGAAAAGAGTTACTTCGACAAATTATAAACAAACTTGGTATCAAATTAGGCGTGAGAAGACATAACCAAATCCATATAAGGGGTGGGTCAAAATGATTTGATTTGGTTAGTCGTTTGGTGAGCCATTGGTGTGTGATGTTCACAACAAAGCTGGGACCAACATGACAACTGCAGCCAATGGACCCAAAGCAGAAATGCCAACAGCATTGTTAGCAGTCTCAACTGCAGGCACCTCACTGGATGTTTCCTCAGTAGAAACTGTGGACTCAACGACAGTGGTCTCTTCTGCAGATGTCTCCTCTGCAGATGTCTCCTCTACAGAAGTCTCCTCTGCTGAGGAGGTCTCAACTGGTGCCTCTTCAGTTGAAGTAGCTGGTGCTGCGTCAGCACCAAAAATACTAGCCAAACGAGACGAGTACCATGGCAAACCAGTCACATAGGCACTAACCTCACCCATGTCCACCTCTGGGTAAAGAGTGGTGTAAGAGTCGTCCGTGAAGGTCTTCACCTGTTGAGCCAGAGCCAAAAGGTCTGCTGGTGGGATGTTGCCACTAGCAACTTGTTGAAGGTATTCAGAACTGTGGCCAGCCAAGTCTGCAACAAGGGCATTCAGTTCCGCATCCCTATCAGCAGCGAGGGCGATTGGAAGCAAAGAGAGGATCAAGATTGGGTTCATAGTTATAGTGAGTGTAATAGATTGATCGTTTTGTATAACGGTTTTAGAAAAGAGATGGAAATAGAAAAGGTAATTGAGAGAATGAGCTGGCCTTTTATACACAACTTCTCTACGACAGCTACAACAATTGCACACCATCAACAGGATTGCTCCCCCGAGGAGAGCTCATACTCACTTGCTCAACACTGGTTGATGATGATGATGACGACCGCTTCAACCAAAATCCCCTCATATACATCTCAATATTACTAACACAGTGTATTCACCTATAAGAGGTTAAACCTTCAAAGCTCTCCACCCCACAACTGTCATTCCACTCACTCTCACACTACACAACCCTGGTGCATATCACACTTGAGGGATTTGTGTGTCTGGAATAGGCCTGCAAGGTCCACAGCGTCCACTTTCATCTCCTCGTGTGTCGTGAAATGAACATCAATGTTGCATCCTTGTGCCATTTCCCTCTCCACCTCCCAGGCTCTAGCCAATGTTCTCTGCCGGTGGGGCACTCAAGGCCATGCAGCTTGAGCCGTTGGAAGATTTGAAGTGCGGGCTAGCTCAATTTCAGAGGTGGAAGTTAGCCCGCTTTTGCTGTCATTTGTTTTCCGTGCAGTCAAACGACAGGCAAAAAACCGACAGACGAATTCGGTCTTTCAAAGCCTAAAAAACATACACAAAAACGAAAACAGAGAGAACGCGCCGGATATTGAAAAAAAGCTCTGGATTCGGTTTGGACTCCACACTCCCCACACTCACATTCAGTCAACAGTTCAGTTTCTCAAGTTAGAGTAGAGGATCATCATTTGATAGTCATTGGTGTAATGGTTTTGATACTGTCAACAGTTGAGGATTTTATTCTAAAGCATTGCCATGATTGGGCATTCCTGGAGCATCACATTTCACACCCGATTTCCTTGAGAATCACCAGCATCGGAATTATCATTCTGACCCTAATCACCACGTATCATATTGTGGAGTATGTTGCTATAAAGCTGGGGTTCTGGACGGATGGACTGTCGATCCACGATATCCCGGAACACTGCGCTCATGTGTATGTGAAAGTGTCAGTGTCGTACCAAAATGAGATCAACCAAGTTGATTACAAGTTGGAGTTCTCGCCGGAGGAGTACAGCAAAGATCAACCAGAGTTTGGCACGGACCTACGCTTCCTGAAGCGGAAAGTGTACTTCCTGGTTAAGGACTCCAAGATATACAAAGAGCTGAACGAGCCGTTCTTCAGGATTGACGACGTGACGCTTTACTACAACGGCGAACAGCTCACAGAGCATTCCAAGCCGCTGATCCAACTAGGTGTTCGTACAGGGGACACGGTCGCAGCAACTGTTGAGATTAGTTGATGTATTTCTTTCATATGGACAATGTTTATACAGTTGTGTGTCATTTCCGGGAATTGACTGCCCATCTCTGTAGTTTTATCAGCTGCTTCAATTGTGACTCGTTGTAATCATCGCAATCGATGGACAGTACCGCTCCATTAACAACGCTTGCTATGTGGCGCCGTTGCTTCAAATCGAACAGCTTCGTCAACCGCTGTGGTAGCAACTCCTTGTTTTGCGAGTACAATAACAACGTCATAGTCAGCTCCAGTTCCTTCATGTATTCAGGGTTCTTGACTGCTTTGTTACTCAGCTTCTCCTGTGCAAACTGTATCACGCGAAGCACAAACTGTTCATCGCTCCCGTCATGATGCCGGATCATCTCAATCAAGTTCATCAACAGCAGCTTGAAGTATAAGTAGTCGTTCTCCTCTAGCAGCTCAGGATACCTCAAGCTTAAGAGGTCAATGGCGTTGGATATATCCCCTTTCAAGATGTGTAGTTTCAACTGATGACGTATTCCAATGCTCTGATATCCCCTTATCGAGCAGTCTAGCGTTATACCAACTTCTTTGGCAAACTTTTCAGCTGTGGATTCATGTGCTTCATAGATAAGATAGTCAAGTACGAGGTTATTCTTCGTCATTCTTCCCACCAGGCTGCTTGTATGATCACTGCGACGCTTTGCCTTATCTTGTGTAGGCACGATGGTACAGATATTATACAGTGTACAATTACCTGTTAAAGATCCCTGGTTTCTTAGGGGTGCGTGTCTCAAGGGTGTGGTTTCACAATTGCGGTTATAAAGTCGCGGCCACAACTACTCTCGCTTATGAGCTCTACAAAACCACTGGAAGTATTAGAGGATGGAACTATTAAAGGATGGAACTATTAAAGGATGGAACTATTAAAGGATGGAATTATTAAAGTATGCAATCGACGTAGTCATTTCAATCATTAAAAAAAGAAAACATAGTTAAGGGTGTGTCATTCGACGTCATTTCACATCTTCATGCCGTAGTATTTGTAGATGCCTCTTTCAATATCTCCAAAGGTTTCATCTGCAGTTCCCAATACACCTCTGCTCATGGAGATCTTCTTGTTAACGTACTTGAGGAAGTCTGGAAGCTTCAAGATTGGGAATATCTTCTCACCTGTTTCGATGTCGTACTCTATAATCCCTATTCTTGAAGTGTTGTCCTCGTTTAGCGGACCAACTTTAAATAACCATCCACGGCGTCCACCAGAGTCAAACGTCTTCCAAATGACTGGCTTAGCTGAGCCTTTTCTATAAATCAGCTGACCGCCAATGGATTCGATATCTGTGATTAGCTTCATGTTGAACTCAAAGGCAACCAAGGACGACGAACAATTGAGGAACGCTGGGTTATCCATGGTCCAACGAGTAATGCTTCTGTTGTTCGTGAGGTCGAGAAAGCACAATTTCTGGTAATATTCACCATCGTCATTCAACGGAGGTGATAGGAGTTCAATGATCTGTTGTTGGTTGAAATCGCAGTTCGCCAACCCCAATGATTTCAAGTTGACAAACTTCTTCTTGATCAAGGTCAAGTTTTCGTTTGAAACGTCCAACCCACCAAGATTCAAATAATGGAAGTCACAATCAAGCATCTTCAACAAGAACGTTAGTTGATTATTGGACAGAGTCGTATTTGTAGAGTTATCACACTGTAACGAGAGCCACACCAAATGATGTCCCGTAACGGCTGGATGGTTTATGAAGAATGAAATTAGTTCTCTTGTAGTGAGTTGAATGCAATAAGAAAGGTTCAAGTGTGTGAGTTGAGCAGAATGAGGAATCTTTTGTAAGTTCTTCGAGGTGATTTGTGTATGCGTGAGGTCCAATTTCTTCAAATTTGGCAAATTGATCAACACTTTCTCCAACACCCATGATGGTAGATCTGTGCAATCGTGGAACGAAAGGTCTGTAATGTTTTCCATACCCGGCTTCTTTATGATGACATTAGCAAAGTTGGAGCCAAATATCTCTCCAGAACAACCGCAAAAGTCAACCGCTCTGAGGTGTTTTGTCTCATTGAACAAATATTCCAATAGAGTTGTATCCAAATCGTCCTTGATATTTTCACTGGCAAGGAATTCCACCAAATTTGGTGTACGTTTTAGACATTCCAGGATGGTAGTACTCGTGACCATTTGGATCTCTTTATTCATTTTACCAGTTCTACCTAGCCCAATGGACGTGAACTCTTGGAAGTCTAACACCTTGACGTATTCCCCCAATCTCTCTCTATTCATGATGGAATGTAAGAAGTTGTCAAAGGTATGTGGCGTCTTGAATACACAATACCGATAAACAATCTTGACAACACATCTGTAAAAGACTTTACAAACGGGCAAATTACTTCGTAAGAAGTACTGTGTGTTTCTCGATATCGGCGATGTTGTGTTCTGTAGTAGTTGATGGAATTGGAATTCCAAGATCTTGAATATGATTTCTGCAGGAAACTGGTACTTCCCATTGGACACAAGCACCAGGTCCTCTGTCGATTCAATCATCGAAACAACAGCTTAACTGAATTGAGAACGCTCTGTGAAAGCCCGCTGTTGAAACTTGACACCCAAATGAGAACACCTCTAAAGGGAAGAAGGGGAAAAATCTGTGAAGAGGCTGAAGAAAAAAAATCACAGACCTGAGAGTGATGAGATAAGTAACAAAACGTAGCAAAAGTGGTAAAAGAGGTGTACTATTAAGGATATTTACTGCTTGATTATTTCAAGTGATGAGAGTCTTCCTTATGTTTTCCACGGTTTATTATCTGATTGGCTTTATTTATGGGACCTTTCACCTGCCTTTCACCTTCTTCAAAAAGAGTTCTAATTTGTTTTGATTTTCAAGAGACTGAATTTTTTTCTCTTTTCTTGGCCGAGCGTTCTTCACTTACACCGAGCGTCTCTTCATATTCTCCCCGTAAGTGTTTTTACTCTCAACAGCGTTCTTCAGCTTATTCTTCCGGCGCCAACGAGGTTTACACGGGCAGGCAAGGACATTGTCATTGGCAGAGCTGTGGTGTGTGCGTGTGTGTGTGTGTGGGGGGGGGGGGTTAAGGACCATACACCCAAGAGAAACTGTGCCGTGGTTATAATGGCGTACGGCATCTTCAACATGTGTGCTTTCTCGCTTTGTTTTGGAAATTTCTTTGTGATGTTTACGTGAGCTTCACGGTGTGAGCTGTAAGTTTTCTTTCATTAATATTTCGTCCATTATAAATATAGTGGTATCCCTTTCTGTTTCTATTTCCACTCCATTAATCATAGATATATGGCCTTAAAGCACATGTTATTCATTTGTTACCCTGAGAACCCTTCTGGAGTAATCAACGTCATCTGCAAGACTCTGTCGGCTTCCAGATTCCCAGTTCATGAACATCATCTGCCTTGGATCTAGTCGTTGGTCAACTTCTACGACTTCCCCGTGTCCGTTGTCTTCGAACTCGTCTGGAGTGAGTATTGGGCGAGGAACCTTTTCATCTTGATGAGACATCCCGTCTTCTTCATCTGACATGTGGTCGTCTTGTGAATGGCGACGATGGCGTAGACAGAGGAATACCAGCCCACCTATGAGTGCTGCACAGACAACACCCACTACAGTGAAAACTCCAGCAACCTTGCCTGTAGAATCGAAGAATCCGTCGCCTGAACCTGATGAGGTTGACGAAGATGCAGATGTTGAAGCGCTCGAAGCGGTTTGTGAAGGAACACTGATAATTGTAGATATCACCTGGGTTGTCGTCAGCGCGGTAGTGGCCGATCCTGTCACTGTCATCACGGAGTAAACTATTGATGTTACAGGTGCTAAGGAGGTGGTTTCAGTGGACGCTGGAGGTGTCGATGTCAGAGTTGACGTGGAAGGTGTTGTTGACCTCGAGGTTGATGAGGTGGACGTTGAACTCGTCGATGTTGACGACGATGACGAAGAGCTTGTAGTTTGTTCTGTAGTGTCTTGTGTTGTCTTCTGAGTCGACTGCTGAGTTGACTGTTGAGAGCTGTGCGTCGTGGATGATGTCGTTGACGTTGCGGAAGTGGTTTCTTCTGTACTTTGAGTGGTGCTTGAGCCAACAGTAGAGTATCCGTCACTCACCACTATGTACCCGTAGAGGCCCTCATCACTATTGCCACATAGCTCTTGAGCATAACCAGGACATGCAACATCACAGTTAGAGACCGACACTGTGTCTTCTGGCACACTATCGGAACACCAACAGCTCTGGTACTGTACGATGGCTATCGAATAACCAGCAGAACGACATGCATCTGAACAGTAACCATTCGACATATACATATAGGTGGTCACGAAGTGTGAGCCGAGGTTTGTGGACGAACAGTACGACTGTTCCCCATTCACCAGGTTGAGGAAGGTTAGCGTCACCAACAACACCGCCCTAAGTACCAGCATTGTAGCCATAATCGGTTAAGTGGGATATAAATAGCCTGTCACCTCCAACCCTCCAGACTCAGAAAGAGGGTATCTCAAGGAAAAGTGTGACGAAGAAGTGATACAAAATGTAGCACAAGGTAGACTCAACCTAAAAGGACAAAACGATACTTGGTATTCCACTCCGAGAGATGAATGCTTGACTCAGTCCTGTTTCGGTTTCCTTTTTTTCTTGTTTCCTACTTTTTTTAACTCCCCCGACTGCTCAAGGTGCTCTAATTCATCTGTCCAGGACTGCAACCTCCCACCGCTCTAAGAAATCCATCTGTACGCTTGTGTGTGTGTGTGTGTTTATTTTGGACCTGTCGCACCAACGAATTACGGAACGGGAAATGGAATTTCTTTTTTGGCGGAGGCTCGGGGTGACGGTGTCAGTTGATTGCAAAAGAGTGCTGATTAGATCCAATTCCTTTGAAGAGGATGCACGTTGGCGCAACAATGTGGAATTTCCATGGACCACTCTTGATTGATACGACAGTGGTAGCTTTGGTTTAAATGATGTCAACCCAGCTGAGTGTTTGTATAGAATAGCGGGTTTTGGTGGGCACAAGAAGTTTTTTGAGGTCTCCGGCACAATACACCGTAGACCGAGTAACTGAGGAAACCTTGTTTCCGCTTTGTTTTGTTTTGGTTTTCTCGCCCAAACTTGTCATCTGAGTGTGTACGTTGCTGTTTCTGCCGGATTGAGAAATGGCGAAACGTGCAATTGCGTAAAATCGGCCGCATAACATCAAGTGTAAACTACATGCCGGAACTCTTGTAATTGTGCGCCCCAACATGTACTTCACTGTACAACATGTACTCATCATATAGCAGAGGATTTTTTTTTCTATGTCATCTCTTTGACTAATCAGAGTACGTTCAGTAGTCACACACTACACAATTAGATCTTGAAACTTGTCAAAACCGACAGATACAATTAAAGATTAAAAACATGTGTGTGAAAAAGAATAGTACATAACAAAAAAAAATAGGCTTGGAAGGCCCTTCCCTGGAGGGAACAACTTACACAGATTTGGTTGAAGGAATGTTGAAGAGACGATAGTACTGTTCAAGACAACTCTGAATGCCGAAACTGCCAAAGAGAGTTACTTGCTATGGTGCAATATGGCAACCTCTAGAGGGTGAATTTATGCTTCTCTGTTGTGATGAATTGTAACAGTGGGGAATGAAAGCGTCTATAACAACTTCTTTTTCAATCTTCTAAAGAATCCCTTCTTCTCCTCCTTCTTTGGGGCCTCCGCGGTCTTCTTCTGTGCCTTTGGTGCTGGTGCTGGTGTGGCTTTCACCTCCTCCGCCTTCTTAGCACCATCCACCACAGCTTCTTTCTTTTCGGCTACAGTTTCAGATGGTGTTGAAGTAGCGGCGGCTTCAACTGGCTTCTCAACCTTTGGATCCAAACTCTTTGGAATTTCATCGCCATCTTCAAGCGGCGTACTGGAAACAACAGTCTCTTCACCAGTGACTTTGTTTCTCTTGATAACTTTCTTCACCTTAACGGTCTTTGTCTTCTTGTCCTCCGAGTTCAACTTCTCATTCAACTCCTTAGCATTGACATCGGAAACTTCAGAAAATTCCTTGATGTCCTTAGCGTTGGTTGGAACAACAATCCCAGCTTCACCTGTAGCTGATGTATCCTGTTGTCCTTCGGTGGATGGAAGAACTGTGGTGGATAAAGTTTCAGTTCCAACTGTCTCTGCACCGTTTAACTTCGCATTTAATTCCTTAGCATTGACATCGGAAACTTCAGAAAATTCTTTGATATTTTCAGCATTGGCTGGGATAACAATACCAGGCTCCCCAGTTGCAGATGTGTCTTGCTTACCCTCGTTGGATGGAAGCACAGTAGTGGATAATCCACTTGTCTCAGCAGCCTCAGTAGTCTCAGCGTTCAACTTGGCGTTCAACTCTTTTGCGTCAACGTCAGAAACCTCAGAAAATTCCTTGATATCTTTGGCATTTGAAGGGATAACAATACCAGGTTCTCCTGTAGCGCTTGTGTCTTGTTGACCTTCAGTGGATGGGAGAACTGTAGTTTTAGATTCGCCTTCAGAGGATGCGGTGGTGATTGGCAAACCACCGCTTTCTGGGATTCTAACTTCCTCCTTCTTCTCATCAATCAAGTTTGAAAAGAAGATGACATTGTTCGAGTTACCGTTGTCATGTTCTATTTCATACTCATCAGAAGTGTGCCAGTCACCATCGACGACGAACTTGAACGAGACTTTATCCTCGCCGTTCTTTTGCTGCAGGGGTAAGGTTATCTCAAAATCACCCTTTGAAGTCTTCACCAAAGGAAGGGATTGTGTCCAGTTATCAAAAGTACCTGTAACAATGACTTCAGAAGGACCAGCTGGCCTATTAGATTGATTGTTAGTACTGGCATGAGAAAGAATATAGATAAGGGGTAGATGTGCTTTCAGGAGCGAAAAACAGTGTTGTAAAGAGCGCTTGAAGGCACTGTGATGGGATATTGTAGCATTGTGAATAGCCTAGATTGCACGAAGAGAGAAGCAAGTACAATATTCTTAGGACAACTACTCAAGACTTTCAAAGTTGTTGTTCGTTTCCCTCGTTGCTTATCCAGGTTACTTCATTTGCAGATAGTGGTCACAGTAACAACCACAACACACATAGCACTAGTAGCAATTCAGTGCTACAACCAAGGCACATCAACTAACATAGACAAAAAAGGGAAAGACCCACAATACACTTACCAATGGAATGTATGATTGTAACTCATGTCTTGTATAACGTCCGTTATTGACCTGTACTTAAATCAATTAGTGTCCAAATTTACAAAAGAGAGAAGAGAGAGAAGGGAAAAAAATACAGCCCGGAAAGGAATTTGGAGATGACAACCTTGAGGTGGTTGGCTCGCGAATAATTCCCATTTAGGAAGTATTGTGGTGTCCAGATTTTAAAGCTGGCGCGTTCTGTTTCATCCAACTTTGTCACTTTTATTTCATCCACTTAGCCAATCAACAGCATTCTATGCCTGATCACATATCTTACAATACGAAATCAAATGGATAGTCAAACCGGTGAAATTTTTCATAAAAGGGCATCTGCAGCAATTATAAGGGGGTTTGGGTCTCTATTTATACCCGACGTGATTGAAATTTCCAGTTTGAACTCGCGGAGCCGCCATATGACACAAAAACGAAGCGCCCGCCCCACATGCCCGATGGCAGAAAAATGAAACACCGACCATACTCTGCACTCTTTACATTTCAGGTTTGCTTTGATTGTAGATATTGGTTTAATAGCGTTCCAAGTGTAACATTTGTTGGAAATGGTTGGTCAAAGGGAAATTTTAGGGCCGAAGAGTATGAACTGTCGTGAAGATACCAGAAAGGGAGGTCCTTCAACGCTCGAGAACTTGGTAGATAACGACACTGTGCTGTGCTTCAATGAGAATGTATATGTTGATTCTTCCTTTAGAGAGAATGAGTTGGGATATATGAACAATTTTAGGTTGAGAATACCGCTTGAAACCTCGAACAGTATTACCAAAAGTGGGAAAAGTACACCTACTGATGATTATAGTACTTGGGAAAAAATGAAGAAGCAATATGGTATCTCCTATGCAGATATCCATGGTCATTTGAGTTCTTTAACTGAAGGCAATTTGACAACAAGCAAAGTATCTTCAAGTACAGGTAAAATTAGTGAGTTGCATCTTCAGTCAAGTTCACCTTCCAAAGGAAATAAGAGCAAGAGCTCATTCCAGATACCTGACCCCAAACTCGTGGAAATTGCAAAGAAGTTGGTGTCATCAGTACGAGACGTTCTTCCACAAGGCTCAAAATGGGATGATGTAACCAGCCTAGAACTTCACAATGCAGATCTTAGTACTGCACTTTTCCTAACAGATATTTTACCCTCGTTAATCAGTATTGATCTCCTGGGAAACAAACTAGTTGATTTTGAGGGATTTCCAACACAAGTCCACTGCTTGTTTCTCTCAAAGAATAAAATTTCCACTGAATTCACACAATTTGATAAATTTAACAACTTGAAGGTGTTGGACCTCTCACACAACCAGATAACAAACTTGGAATGTTTCAGAACGTTGGTCAACCTAAGGGTTCTAAAATTGGCCAATTGTGATATTAGGAAGATGACAAGTCTCCCAGTGGTGCAAAAATTAAATCTCACCAACAACAAAATTCGTGGACTCGTGAATTTCGAGTGTCTTCATTTTGAGAGTTTAACTGAAATAAACCTTTCACACAATGCGATCACCAGGTTAAGGCTCTATCTGAGCAGTTTGAAAAGCCTTCGAGTTTTAAATCTGGTGGGTAATCAGATAACAGAAGTGCAGATCATTGATAAAATGCCGAAATTGAAGAAACTTACATTGCTCGGTAACAGGAATATTGGACAATTAAACGTTGGGTCCAAATTGAATCATCTTAAGTCGTTATCAGTTGACGGTAGATGTAAACTAAAAGGGAAGTTCGATGAATTGACTGATATCAATATAGAGCATGGCTGCCGACTTGAAGCAATTGTTCAACTGAATGATGGTTCTGGGTTGAAAATCAACAAACACTTGCATAGGCTTCGGATTGTTCACTGCGGATTAACCTTTGAAGATTTAAAGATACTTTACGAACATTACCCACACATTTCCGAATTTGACTTGAGCCACAATGACATAATGTGCTCATTTGAAGAGTTCGTTGAAGCCTTCACACGATTCAAAGGTGTAAAACGCATTGACGTTGAGCACAACCCCATGGTTAAGCGCCTCGATAACACCACTTTGGAATTATTCAGACTCATGGTTTACAAAATGACGCATAAATAGTGACGTC